ACTTGGACATTAGACTTTGAACAGAAATAAAGATATTATCGAATCATTTTCGGATTAAGTTTGATAACGATTGTATTTCTAGCGGGAGGCATTTTTATGGTTCGGAGCGAAGTTCTTCTTGATCAATTACATAATCTGGTAAAACATCAGAGGCCGCAGTATACGTGGCTTAGTGGGCAGGATGCCCAGTGATCTCGTGTATACCTGTGGTGCGACTGTATCGTTACTAACTCATTACATGAGGTGACTGTAAGGAAAATTCTAGATGCTTCGTTATTCCTGAATTATAAATTAAGTCTTTCTGAAGTACAAAATACAAAGTTATCCGCGGCACGCATCTTGTCGTGTAATAAAATTAAAGATTAATAAGTATCAATAATTATCGTGTTGCCTGTCAACAACGCGAAGCCGGCACATTTTCTGATATGATAGATAGCAAGAGGGATTGCTATGTCGTTGGTCTTTCCAGCTTGACCAAAGCGGAGGACGATTTCGGTGGATCAGCTGTGAAATAGTTTCTCAGCAACAGCTTTTTTTTTTCCTACCTTAGCTGAGAGCCTTGAGAGGCTATTTCAGCGTAACCTAAACTAGTAGGTGAGCTCACGGGGCTCAAACCTGACGACGTTGCTAACACGAACCCTAGCAAGAGCTGTGTTTCGCAGAATCTACCGCCGGATCGGAAACGCGACCCACTGAGAAGATCCGGCGAGAAACTCATTAGGCTGTGTCTGAGGGTTAATTTACTCGTCGAGCCCTTCGTCGCAAGCGACGGGTTCGACGAGAACGATGACCGGTGCTTGAGGTACCTAAAAGCACCAGCAACAGCCCGAGCGAGTCGGAAAGACGCCTAACTGCTCCGAGAGAGCTGCTTTGGGTCTGGATCGCTATCGCAAATCTACTATAAAGATCCGGTGGAAAGCAGCCTGGTGCTAAATATCACGAGTACGATGACCTCTGATTTGGCTGCGTCTGTAGAGTCGTCTAACAGTAATGAGAGTGAATCAGGTGGATCTATCAGGATGCAGTTAGAGCACAGAGCATGTTAGTCGGAATTTTCATTTTGATTTCGCCAGGGTAGATACGGTGGGAGAGGGCTGCTGTCTCTCAGCAGCGTGAACAGGAAAAAAATTCTCCCCGTCGGTTTTGGGATGCTGGGATGTATGTGACTAGGAGATGTATGGAAATGGTAGTGCAAGGTAGAGGGGTTTTTACGGGTGGTAGGACCTCTTATGAGTCCGCACGTGTAGGCAGTGGTACCTGGCCTGAATAGGCCTGGTAATCTGGCCTGAATAATGCCGTGAAGCAGTAATGCGTTTCGGTTTGAAGGGTGGGGCAGCCGTTGTAACTATACTTGAGACCTTAGAACTTATATCTCAAGGTGGGTGGCGCATTTACTTCGTAGATGTCTATGGGCTCCAGTAATCACTTAACACCAGGTGGGCCAGTATAAGGTTAAGTACATATTACAATAAAAACAACATTAAAAAATTTTTAACACTCCACTTGATAATTAAATGGTTGCTAATGTAATCATCAGGTAACCAAATAATATTAGAAATTTTCTCGTAAATGTAACATCAAATTTTTCCAAAAAAACGTCAATTATTTCTAATACAATTTCAACCATCAAAAGGTAAATATAATCGTGAATTTGCCGTGCATTATTTAATTATTATATAATTATCATTATACCTTCGTATTTTTGTGAAGAAAATTTTGTATTGTAGGTATATAATTAATTCGGACTTTGATTTCAATACTTTGGTCAAGGTCATTGAACTTCAAATGCAAGCGAGCTACGTGTTAAAAAAATTAAACTCTTAAGTTATACTTTTTTCTAGGAAGTATATATGTAGTGAGAGTCGCAAAAGTTATAAATTCTTGCTATCGTTTTCAATGTGGAATTTGAACTCTACAAGTTCCAATTTCAAAATTTAAAACACAGATTACGGACTCCTTATATAAGATTATTTTACATCGTCTTACCTTTAACTGAAGCAGACATGATTCAAAATTATACCTATCCAGTTAACGTAGAACTGAAATATATTTTATGATAGCTGAACTACGCACAGTGCACACGATAACTCACACACAACAGATGAAAACTACAGACAGACTAATAACCAATTAGAGATAACGCTAATAGATTGGTCGCAGGCAACTGTGAAATACACAGACTAAATAAATATTTTCATAATGACGCTTTTTACATTTTCAACTTAACTTTATTATGTTTATCATTGTATTACATTAAAGAAAAAAAACGGATTTGACGTATGTACTAGATTTAAAAAAAAAACTCTTTATTAGGTTTACTGTTTACTAGGCCTACGGTCAAAATTTTTTTTTTATTATTTTATAAAACTCATCTATGGTCGTCTATTGGTGAAGTGTCTTTATATACGTCTATTTGTGTCTAATAAACTCTTAAATGTTAGTTGTAATATCTGTGAGATAAACTACAAATAAAATTCTCTAATTCACATTGGTCTAATGGCAAAGTAATATTCGAGGTGAATGAGGTTAGCCCCTCAAAAAAATTTTTTTTTCCTATTTTATACTTATTTTCTATTAATTCGTTTGTTCATCATTTGTTCATGATTGTTCACTGTTAATAATTGTTTGTTCTGCGGTTATTTATTTAAAAAAAATATTTAAAAATATACCTACAAGTTAGCCCCTCTAATGCAATTTTTTATATTTTTTCATCCTTAATGACTCGTAAATATTCATTTTCGATTGTTCTTATATGAAACACGTTTGTTCTCTTTCGAAATTACTCGTTTTTTGTTTAATTTACTATTTTTATTAGTTGAATAAATGTATGCAAAATATGTGTACTGCGCATGCGTCAACTATAATGCCTAAACTTTCTACGCGGTTTTAATCGTGAATAAAAAAAACAAATATAAATCCTGAAGGAGCAATTAATTGGTATACAGTTTCATTAAAAAAATTAAAAAATAAATAAATGAAATAATGTGCATTGGCGTTAAGTTAGACCAAACACATTTTTTCCATCCTCCTACTTATCGTTACGAAGGTATAAAAAAGATAGGGAGTTCACATAGGTAATATAAACAAATAAGTAAATATGTTCATTATTTATCTTTCAAGAGATAACATAGGTATACATTATAATAACTTTTTTACACAGTCGAAATTATATTCCTAACATTAGTAAAATAACATTTTAATACGATAGGTGAGAGTATGGAAAAAATGTATTTGGTCTAACTTAACGCCAATGCACATTATTTCATTTATTTATTGTTTAATTTTTTTAATTAAACTGTATACCAATTAATTGATCCTTCAGGATTTATATTTGTTTTTTTTTTTTTCACGATTAAAACCGCGTAGAAAGTTTAGGCATTATAGTTGACGCATGCGCAGTACACATATTTTGCATACATTTATTCAACTAATAAAAATAGTAAATTAAACAAAAAACGAGTAATTTCGAAAGAGAACAAACGTGTTTCATATAAGAACAATCGAAAATGAATATTTACGAGTCATTAAGGATGAAAAAATATAAAAAATTGCATTAGAGGGGCTAACTTGTAGGTATATTTTTAAATATATTTTTTAAATAAATAACCGCAGAACAAACAATTATTAACAGTGAACAATCATGAACAAATGATGAACAAACGAATTAATAGAAAATAAGTATAAAATAGGAAAAAAAAATTTTTTTGAGGGGCTAACTTCATTCACCTTAATATTCGGATTTTAAACTATTATCAGCTGTTTCACTTTTGACATTTCATCTCTGTGTCTATGATGTTGCTGGCTCCAGTAAAAGATTTATGAAAATCCTAAAGTTAGAGCTTAAAGAAATCAGTTTTATTTCAATAACTTGTATGCTGACATATTTAAAGTGAAAAAAAGTGTGCTCGCGAGAGAAATAAAATAAAATACTTCTAGACCCTTGACTCCTATCACATGTGAATGTTACTGGGTTTTAATTAAACTTGTTTCTTTTTAAAATCATTCATGGAGGGTAGAGGTAAGGAGAACCGTCTCTGTTGTGAAAAGTGTCCGATAAAATCTGCTAAATAATGGTGGCGCTACAGTAGCAACCGGGCAAATTTTAAAAAAGGCGATGAAAGTTATTAGAATAAGATAGAGAAATAAAAAAAGTCGAAAGAACTGTAAGCACTACTAAATCACAAAAGGTATTTTATTTAAAGCTGATAAGAAAATGCAATCGATGTCTCTACGTTTTACCACAGCAATAATTTTAGGTTATATTGACGAAATTAGTTTAGACTACGTAAACATGTGAGGTCTTGTATATTACAATATATTACAATATATTACAAATATTACAATTACTAAGTCACGGTCCATCAGTTAATGGACCGTGACTTAGTCAGTTAATCAGTTAACAACTGCTCAATTCATATCATACCCTGTGCCTATGCTAGTGCCATTCTGGAGGATTTTTGAACTGTTATGTAGTGCTGAAAGTGGGACACTTTTTCAAGCTTCTCCCATATGAGACGGTTCTCTCTACCTCTACCCTTCATAATAATAATTGTTAAAAATGATAAGGTTCCTAATGTGTTACCTTCAAAAAATTACAGTACAACTACTTTTACGACGTACTTTGTAAACTTAACGTTACCTAGTAGCTCTAGAAGTGCACAAATGTGGGATAGTGAAACAAAACCACTGGACGTAGCTTTTCAGAATCTTCCAAAAAGTCCACCGAAAAGTTTCAATAAAAAACCCACCACTTTGCTGAGTCTATGTCATATTAACTCCATGGCTATCTCATGTCGTCTCATTTCTTTTAATTTTATCCCAATTGTTTAATGTTTCAAATTAATCAACGCTATGTGGTGTGATATCTTCGCCTTTCTAGTTATCTATCTATCTCTTAGGTTTATGGCGTTTCCTTTTAGATTTCGCCAATGTCAAGTGTATGCCTTTCTAGTTGGAAAATGGAAAATTGGAACTACTACTGTCAAATCTGTCAGGTGCCAACTAATAGTGTCAACCTAGTTTAATCCTTCCAATAGCCTTCAAGCAATATTTTAGCTTATGCAATGAGCGATGGTAGGCCTGTAAGTGGTCAGCTAAAGAAGTTTGTTTTCCGCGCAAGATCCTCTACAAACGGCGACACTCGAGGTGAATATTTGGAGATTGTTATCCCGGAGCTATTGTCAGCCGGTTATTCGTTTTACACGTGGCCATCTGCGCCTCTGCTAGCTTGGTACTTGTGGACGCAAAGGCGACATATTCGCGGTCTGAGAGTGTTGGAGTTAGGTTGCGGAACAGGACTGCCGGGAATACTCGCCGCGAAGTGCGGAGCGCTCGTAACCCTCACCGACAGTCTAACATTACCGAGATCGCTTCGTCACCTTTCTGCTTGTTGTGAAGCTAACGGCTTGGTACCCAATCGTGACTTGCAGATAGTAGGTCTCACATGGGGCTTGTTTTTGGGTGATCTACATAACTTACGTCCGGTAGATCTGATTCTTGCGTCCGATTGCTTTTACGAGCCATCACAATTCGAAGAAGTATTATCAACTGTAGCGTATCTGCTTGAAAGCACTGACGCGCGTTTTTTGTGTTCTTACCAGGAACGCAGCACAGACTGGTCTATTGAAGCTCTACTGAAGAAGTGGGGACTCAAAGGAGCACTTCTGGACCTGGACTCACTCAGTGAAAGCTCTGGTGTTGACTACAGGGCTTTGATCGGCGAACGCTCCTTACACCTGTTGGAAATAGTATCATTATAGGTTATGGCCAGTACGGCAAGAGCAGCCCGCCTGTATGTAGGCAACCTTGCCTGGACAGTTGGCCATCGACAACTACGAGAATATTTCTCACAATTTGGTCCAGTGCAGAGTGCAAGAGTAGTATTCGATCGATCAACGGGCCTCAGCAAGGGCTACGGTTTCATTGAATTTGTTAGTCCCTCAGCTGCAGCTGATGCAACTAATAAGCAGATTCACACACTTGAAGGTTTCAACTTAAGTGTTCAATTGCAAAATAATTAGATATTCTGAATTTTAGTTAGTTTTTAAAATGGCTGAGGCTCTTCCAGACTATCCAGACTCAGATTTTTCAGATGAAGATCAGTCTCCATTGGACAGCTTGTTCAATAAGGCAGCTGACCATCTTAGAAAGGTTACAAATAAATTAAACAATGGTCAACTTTTGGAGTTGTACGGGTTGTTCAAGCAAGGTACTGAAGGTCAATGCAACACTCCAAAGCCTGGGTGGTTAGATGGTAAAGGACGTAGGAAATGGGAGGCCTGGAAGAATCTTAAAGATATGCCCAGTGAAGAGGCTAAGGAGAAATATATTGCTTTGTTGAAAAAATATGATCCTGACTGGTCAGGTACACCTCAAAAGACAAATATTGATACCAAGGAAACATGGGTAGCTGTCTCATCAATGAGATATTCACCCGAACCAGACCTTGTGCACAATGAGCTTTCTTTGCTTGATGCAGCCAGAGAAGACTGCGGAGAGCGAGTGAAGGAACTTCTGATCAAGAAGCCGGAATTGAAATATGAGAAAGACGAAGATGGCCTCACTGCACTACACTGGGCTGCTGACAGAAATGCAATTAACGCACTAAGTGCAGCCTTAAGTGGAGGATGTCCTATTGATGCAGTCGATGAATGTGGTCAAACAGCTCTGCATTACGCAGTTTCGTGTGGTCATGTAGAATCAACTAAAATCCTGACGAAAGCTGGAGCTACACTGCTAGAAGACGAGGAAGGTAACACTCCATTAGACCTGGCTACTGATACTGAAATAAAGAAAATTCTGGAAGGTGCTGATTAATTTAGCATTTATGTAGTTTTATTATGGATGTAGATTTTAAATATATTATTAAACATTTATCAGAGTTTCCATAGCTTTTTTGCTGATCTGCCTATCAATGATATGAATTAATAGAATTTCCAAAAGGAACGTTCCTGCTAGCTAAAAATACAAAACACATTGATAAAAATGGTGGCATTTTTTACAAATTTTATTAAAATTGAAAATGCTATTTTTGTCAATTTATGGATTTCAATTCAATCCAAAAACGTTGAAAACAAAATAGTTACAGTTGGGCTGAAAATACAATAAGATTTTTAAGGTTGAATGCTGGTGAGAATGAAATAATTTTTAGTGTTCACACAATAATTATCTAACATATTTAAAAGAATACAATAATAATTAGAATATTGAGTGGTTTTGATTGAATTTTCAGTATTTAGTATTTCGTCCGAGCCTTTTAGGGTCGGTTATATGGTAATTGCAGAGTGAGCTTTGTTAAATCGGTTGCAGACCAAGAACGATCACGACCATGATTCACAACCCACCTGATTTTAAGTGATCCTCGAGACATGAGTTGTAAGGTCTCAGTTTTAACAGTAAATCGGCTGCCCCGCCCTTCACACCGAAACGCATTACTGCATTACGGCAGAATTAGGCGAGGTGGTAGTACCTACCCGTGCGGACTCTCAAGACGTCCTACTACCAGAACAGAAGTAGTATCAGTGAAGCTAGATTGAGTCAGCCATAGTAAACTAGAAACTTGTGTGCCCAGCAACTAAGCCACTGCGTAGTATTGTGAAAGTCGTCCAGGTTGACGCTAAAGGCTGGTGAAAAAACCAGGTGAGACGGGAGTTTTAGTTTTTATTACAGGACATTATTCCTACACTGTGGAAGTCTTTGATGTCTAATAGTCTTTGTACATGAACCCGTTCATCCAACTAATAAATAAAAATAGAACACAGAATATAAACTTTTCATATTGATTTCTTTAATAGAAAATAACATTTTATTTAGAAAATTCACAAAAAGTTTAGTGTTACACAGTCCAAATTACACATTTTAGCAAATTAAAATAACAAAGAACTTCAACCATTTTTTTAAATGTAAGCTAATTTTTGTAGGTACGGCGCTGTGAGAAGCGCATATTTTTCTGGTCAATAGGTCCTCTAAAAAAAAACAGAATTTGAGAATTTGAATTGTATTTATTTATTGACGTTTAATTTTACTAGCAAATTTAAGTATTAAATACAATATAGCCTCAAATCTTGATGCGCGATCTTTACAATAAAATAAAACTTAGGACGTTTGGTATATGTATAGCAATACTTAATTACTTAATAGCGATTTTTGTATAATTGTTTCAGTTGGTAATAATAATAACACAACCAGCTGTCTTACTTTTGCTGGAATAGAAACAACGACGCGCTCTTTAAAGCTTCATTTTGAATGTCACTGTCAATTTTCCTCCCGCCCGCGAAACCCTTCGGTAGGCAGCGGCTTGGCTCTGCCCCTGACATTGCTGAAGTCCATGGGCGACGGTAACCACTCACCATCAGGTGGGCCGTTGTACGCTCGTCTGCCTACAAGGGCATTAAAGAAAAACACGAATCTTTTTTTTTTTTTTATGATTGATGGATTATTGGTGGCCCGGAGGCCTTTCCAGTTTCACCAGGACAGGTGGGCGAGCAAAGGCTCAGCCAGGAGGGGTGGGATTTGCTAACAGCTACCCGAGTGCCTCCGAAGGAGACCTAACAGCTCAAGAGTAGCTGCTTCGCGAATGAATCTACTACCGGATCGGAATCGCGACCCGCTGAGAAGATCCGGCGAGAAACTCAGCGAGCTGATTCATGGGTTAGGTTGCACGGCGAACTCTTTGTCGAGTTCGACGAGTACGGTTACCGGGGTCCCTAAGCCTGCTCCTAGTGTTAGAGCTGAAGGCGTCTAATGCAAAGGTTATTGGATCTGATGGATCCGTAAGGACGTGTCTAGGGCGTCGACGGTGACTGGCTCCTGCATGATCAGGATTCGGGGAGTAGTCAGCGGCGGCTACGATAAGGCGATTATCATGACGCATAGCCTTATCGAAGTATGTTTGTGAAGTGTCGTGTTAAGTGTTCTAAGTGTTGAATACAGTTTTAAGTTGTACTTTGGTGAAATTTTATTTATCCCGAACCCCAGCGCGTAACACTAATATTTGACCACTCCATTAATACAAACAATTGCAGTACGAATGCATGGCCAAGAATAAGAAAAATAACACAGTTTAAATAATTATATAGTAGGTTAATAACATATAAAATACATTACATTATTTTCTTCCATACAACGAGCTATCGTTCGTTGTAAATATGGTCCTTCCTTATCGATTTAGATCGAGTCTTGACCCGACTTATGTTTGTTTACAAAGTATCCGTATCTCGATGAGTTTGCTCACGTAATTCCTTATCACAAATTTATCTAATACATTTTACTGAACGCTTTAAGTACTGCTTTATTTAAGCGGTAGGCAGCGGCTTGGCTCTGCCCCTGACATTGCTGAAGTCCATGGGCGACGGTAACCACTCACCATCAGGTGGGCCGTTGTACGCTCGTCTGCCTACAAGGGCATTAAAGAAAAACACGAATCTTTTTTTTTTTTTTATGATTGATGGATTATTGGTGGCCCGGAGGCCTTTCCAGTTTCACCAGGACAGGTGGGCGAGCAAAGGCTCAGCCAGGAGGGGTGGGATTTGCTAACAGCTACCCGAGTGCCTCCGAAGGAGACCTAACAGCTCAAGAGTAGCTGCTTCGCGAATGAATCTACTACCGGATCGGAATCGCGACCCGCTGAGAAGATCCGGCGAGAAACTCAGCGAGCTGATTCATGGGTTAGGTTGCACGGCGAACTCTTTGTCGAGTTCGACGAGTACGGTTACCGAACACGCATCTTGTCGTCTTATTCACTATAGCAGTTGAACATTGCTGTAGCCTTCGATTATTATTATTATTATTGTATTTTATACCCTTACTTTGATATATGAAAAAGGCAACGAAACATAATGAATTATTTGAGACGGTAATTAATGAGATGTGATTATATTAAGCAATGTCCCAATAAAATAATGAGAATTTACTAAGACTTCAAAGGAGGTTTTTTTAAATATGAAATATTCCATGTTATAGTCTGATAGGCTGTGTGGGTAGGAAGTCGATCTGAGAACGATTTTTATCATTAAGTCCAGTTTTTTTTTGTTAAGAACGCACCCATACTATAAATACATACGCGTGCATTATGGAGGGTAGAGGTAAGGGGAACCGTCTCATATGGTAGATAGAAGCTTGAAAAAGTTCACTTTCAGTACTAAATAACAGTTCAAAAATCCTCCAGAATGGCGCTAGCATAGGCACAGGGTATGATAATATGAATTGAGCAGTTGGTAACTGATTGAAGTATGCCGAGTTAGGAAATTTAATATATTTAATGACTAGAGTAGTTAGTGACAGTGTAATATACAAGACCTCACATGTTTACGTAGTCCAAACTAATTTCGTCAATATAACCTAAAATTATTGTTGAGGTAAAACGTGGAGACATCTATTGCGTTTTCTTATCAGCTTTAAATAAAATACTTTTTGTGATTTTGTAGTGCTTACAGTTCTTTCGTCTTTTTTATTTCTTTTTTATTCTAATAACTTTCAGCGCCTTTTTTAAAATGTACCCGGTTACTACTGTAGCGCCACCCTTATTTAGCAGATTTTAACGGACACTTTTTCACACCAGAGACGTTTCTCCTTACCTCTACCCTCCATAGTGTTCATTCAATGAATTGTACGGAGGTTTTAATTAACCAAACCTTTTCTAAGATCGGTAAAAAAACATTGTCCAATTGTCGCATGTTCGAACGATAGCAATACATACTTCAGTTTATATCTATTATCATAACAGATACCACAAGCCTGATGACTAATTCGTTTTTTATATTCCACATAAAGAGGTCAACAATTGCGAACTCAACTTTTAAGTTTATTTAAACACGTTTTAAAATTTTAATGTCGTCCGTGACGTTCCGTAAGAAAATATACAATTATATAGATTTAAATTTTTATTTAGTTCACGATAAAATATCTTTACATAGAAAAAATTGGAGTTTAGTATTTTTCAATCAAATCCTAATGAATCCAACTATATTCCAGATTCAGTTAAACTTCCCTTTAACACTATTTAAAGGTACTTGAAGATCATAGAGAGCTTTTTACAATTGCCTAAATGGGCCGTATCTAAATTGTTAATGTCTATTTATAACAAAAAACGTCAGAATAATAGATTTAGATGTGAATGCATTAATATTTATCAAATAAATATACTATCTAGATTCTAGAACTTTTATTTTGAATTATTTGCTACAAACATAGTTATTTGTACTAAACTTGCATCACCCTGCTAACATGCTTAGTGCGAGTTTCTTAACGTTCTCGACAGCGTAAAAGTTAACTCATATTTGTATGCAGTTGGAACAGCGCCCCTAGCGGCAAACGTAGGTAAACATTGCTGTAATTCAGTGCGGCGAGTCAATGCGTATAGCAGAGAATATAACAAAATAATACAAATATCGTCTTTTCGCATTAAAACTGTATAATCTCAAAACTTCAAACTAATTTTACAGGAGAGTGTTTTAAAGGTTTAATCTTTTTAATATTAATTATATTTGCAACTTTTATTTTTTATCAGTTACATTATCTGTCTTTTAAAGTAAGATAAAATTATGTATGTGGCGAGTGGGCAAGTCAACTCGCACATCTCAACACAGCACAGAAATCATAAGATTTTACGTCACATCAGGTGATCCGAGTGCCGTGTGCAAAGCCAGTTAAACCACGCCCCCTGCAACATGTCGCCGGCGCATCTTATTTGTCGAAGTGGTAAAGACACAAGATGGCCACGCTCTGATCTATTGTTCTTCAGGCGGAGGACATGTTGAAAGGGGCGGCAACTCCTGCGCAAATTATTATTGACTAAAAGTTATAGTTATAGTTTTGGTTTTTACTATAAATACGATTGTGCCGTAATTGTGACACAGACCACCTGGAATACTTCATGTACATATTAATTTTGTTAATAGTAGTCAAACCATAGGTAAACTAAAAAAACGTATAACTAAACTACGCTCTTTTAACAGTATTTACGAGAAATATAATGGTGATACCAAATGTTTACGCATATTAACTAAATTTCGAATATTTTTGAATATTGTACACTTTTAATGCGAAACGGCGAATTTAATTTTTTAACATGGGCGCTAAATTGAATGCCTCCACCGACCTTGAGACAAGAGGTCCGTATGTACAATTGTACAATGATCGATGCGCTCTTCAGTACGTAATACATTCAAATGATTCATGACTTAACTCTGATAGAACTACTGCCCATTCTCTAGTGAATCACTCAGTCGCCTTTTACAACAGACACAGAATGTTACACACAAAACCGATGCTGTCTGAGACACTTAACAAGATAGTATGAACACATCACTAAATAACGTAACAAAATCTAAAACTACACAATATTCCTAGTATTAACTGACGAAGGCAAAACAATGTTTATGTCACATCAATTTAAATGTATTCAATTCCATTTATTTCCATTTACATAGACCAGTACACAATCAATACTTTATAAAATTAAATATCAGAAATACTTCACTCCAAATGTTCTATCCGGCATATCTGGATAATGTCTGTATTCTAATCTGATTATTACAATCAATACTTTATTATTATTACTATCACAATTTTCACAGACACTCGATATTTACCATAACTTTATACGCACTAAACATTGTATCGGTTATGTTCACAGACGTAGGTCCTGGTAGAGCCTGCATTACCTTTTTGTGTGAGAGTGGACATTATTTCGTTGATGCTATAATAGTTGTTAGGTTCAAAACTAGCTGTCACAGCTGCCGGCTAATGTCTTATACCCGAGAGATATCACGAGTTTCACAAATTTAGAAAATAGGTCTTAGAGTGTACAAGCTTCCAATTGCTTATTACACAATTAATCCACAAAACTATTGAACGTTTAACACGCCACATCACAATTGTAATCACCGGTGGAACTGTTATAGTTTCAATGTCACAGCGGTGCGGTCAGCTGTTAGCTCTCCGTTTGGCTGGGGTCCCAGACGTGAGGCCGGCGCTACCTATTCGTGTTCGAGTAAACCCTGCTCTTGTGCCGTCGCTAGTTATCCTTGGGGTCCTTGTGGGCAGCCTCGCCGGAGTCCAGCTGCTTCAGGAGCCGAAACAGCGCAGCGGCCTCTCGGATCCGGCTGAACTCAACGCAGAACGCTTCCACTTCTATGAATAGCTCCTGGAAAACATTTGAAAAATCATATAATAATAATAATAATAATAATATTAATAATACAAGCACGTACAAGAATTCTTAACACTAGTATAATACCTTTGGAACCTCTGGGTCTGTGGAGGGACTTCGGTTCCCTCTGTATTTTATACCGTATGTTCCATGGGGAGTGCTCTGAGGAATTGTTCGAGATGATACCGGCATCTCGTTTTTACCATCGCACCGCCCGCCACCGGAGTAGAGTTCATCCATACTACCTGGAGCCACTGCGGTCATCCACAGTGCGTTTCCAGAGATCTTTTTTGCCACGTACCATCCGNCGTTTTTACCATCGCACCGCCCGCCACCGGAGTAGAGTTCATCCATACTACCTGGAGCCACTGCGGTCATCCACAGTGCGTTTCCAGAGATCTTTTTTGCCACGTACCATCCGGCTATGGAATGAGCTCCCCTCCACGGTGTTTCCCGAGCGCTATGACATGTCCTTCTTCAAACGAGGCTTGTGGAGAGTATTAAGTGGTAGGCAGCAGCTTGGCTCTGCCCCTGGCATTGCTGAAGATGGGCAACGGTAACCACTCACCATCAGGTGGGCCGTATACTCGTCTGCCTACAAGGGCAATAAAAAAAAAAAAAAATTATAATATACATGGCTTTTTTATGAGGTATATAATAACAATATGAATTTTCTTTGCACCTTTTTTTAAAGTGTTTACACTAGAGTGTAAGCATGTTATAGAGTTATACCTCAGATTATTATTACTTTCTCCTGAGTTCATTAAGACAAGACAAGGAGTTCTGTGATCTTGAACATAAAATATCTAACAAAGATACTTCTGCATCACTTACATTTATTATGTGCTATTGAAGTCGTCGTGGCCTAACGGGTAAGACGTCCGGTGCATTCGTGTTGAGCGATGCACCGGTGTTCGAATCTCAGGCAGGTACCAATTTTTCTAATGAAATACGTATTCAACAAACGTTCACGATTCACTTCCACGGTGAAGGAATAACATCGTGTAATAAAAATGAAACCCGCAAAATTATAATTTGCGTAATTACTGGTGGTAGGACCTCTTGTGAGTCCGCACGGGTGGGTACCACCGTCCTGCCTATTTCTGCCGTGAAGCAGTAATGCGTTTCGGTTTGAAGGGTGGGGCAGCCGTTGTAACTATACTGAGACCTTAGAACTTATATCTCAAGGTGGGTGGCGCATTTACGTTGTGGATGTCTATGGGGTCCAGTAATCACTTAACACCAGGTGGGCTGTGAGCTAATCCACCCAACTAAGCAATAAAAAAAATAAAAACATTATATTGAGAACATGCTACCTATTAGTAAATCTCTTAGTCGCCTTTAATTACCCCTTGCAGGGACAGATGGGCTGGTACTATTTTAGGCTAACACCACAGTGTAAAAATTTTATTAACATCAGATCTCAGTCTTACAACAAAACATAAAAATTAAATAACCATGTAAATACCTTCACGTTGATGATCTTGTTCCTTATCAGCGACTGCAGGAAGACACACACCAATCGTACGAGCCTGTTTTGCATGTATCTGTCCCGTATTGTCTCACACGTCGAAATACAATTGCTTATGTAGAGGTGAACGAACTCCACCGGCAAATCCACTGAGGTCGTTAACCTTAAAAAGAAACATTCTTTTTACTGAAACATTTTCTGTCACTTGCCTAGATTGATTTTAACCTATTGTTTAATCCATTTTGTTAATTCAAAGTTACCACAAATTAAAAGCATATACATGTTTACATATAATATATTCTCTTTTTATTCTCTTTGTAGTCAGACGAGCATCCGGTCCACCTGATGGTAAGTTGTCACCGTCACTCGTGGATGTCAGCAATGCCAGGGGCAGAGCCAAGTCACTGCCTGCCATTCGCATTCTTATTTTTTTAATTTAACTGTCCAAATCGTTGGAAATGGATTCTCAGGTTCTTTCAAAAAGTCCATTGAACTCTCAGTAAATTCCCACCATTGTTTTGAACAATTATTTCATTTTATCACCTTCGTCATCCACCATGCTGTATTATCTCACCTCATTCAATTCCATTTCATTTCCATAATCTGACATAGCCTCAGCCTATGTTTGTACAGTTGGTTGTATGGTCTATGATCTCTATGCCTATCCAATGATTGAAAAAAAAAAACAAAAAAACGTTTATGTTATTTAGGGACAATTTCTGTTATGTTTGACAATATGCTATATTTTACCACCGCTTCCTCCAATAAAAATATTCGCAATGGTTGATTGCACCATTAAGTGGAAATATTTAAAAAAAATATTCATTTTATGAAGGCAATTATCAAAATTACTTTTGAAATGACCTGGCTATAATATTACAAATATACTAAGCCATCTATCTATCTCTATGACTCTCTAGTACTGCAATAGTGGTTACGTCACAGGCCATATATTTTTTGTTTTATCTCAACTGCTATAACAAAATTTGCAAGGTTTCAACTATTTCTGTATGTAACATTGAAAGAGCATTGTTTTAGAATTTGCAGTATTCATAATTATTTATGATAACGTGTCCGAATGATAACTGTTGTTGTAACTATACTTGAGACCTTAGAACTTATATCTCAAGGTGGGTGGCGCATTTACGTTATAGATGTCTATGGGCTCCAGTGGCTACTTAACACCCCACCTGGTGAGCTCGTCCACCCATCTAAGCAATAAAAAAAAATGCAAAAAAGACTTCCACTACATATTATTATTTCATGATAGAAGATGCCAGTCATGTGTCAGCAGCATCTAGGACACGGGGGGCAGTCTTATATTCTAGACTAGCGACCCGCCCTTGCTTCGCTTAGGCAACTGTATTCTATTATTGATTATAAAAATAAGACACCATTACTGGTGGTACGACCTCGTGTGAGTCCGCGCGTGTAGGTACCACCGCCCCGCCTATTTCTACCGTGAAGCAGTAATGCGTTTCGGTTTGAAGGGTGGGGCATCCGTTGTGACTATACTAAGACCTTAAAACTCATATCTCAAAGTGGGTGGCGCATTTACGTCGAAATCCTGCCCTGCATGCTAAATTTTATAAAAATCGTTGGAGCCATTTCCGAGATTCAGATTATATATCACAAGAATTGCTCGTTTAAAGGTATAAGATTATTCTAAAGGTTCATCAAAATCCATTTACTAGTTTTTGCATGATAGTCTAACAAAAATTCATTGATACATTCTTACAAACTTTCCCGTTAATAATATTAGTACGAACTTGTAGGAAGGTAGGATATTGAGCGTTACCTGTTGACCACCTCCATGGAGTGCAGCGACATTTCCATGTTGACGAGGACACTGAAGTACTCCGTGATGTGCTGAGAGTGGATCAGTTTGAGAAGCACCGATATGGCGACCATTGGATTGTTCTCGACTAGGTCCGGTAGCTGTCGTAGCAGAAGACATCTCATTATTTATTAGTTTTAATGAGCTATTACTACTAATTTGGGTTATGATACCTAATGTTAAGCAGTTAGTTTAGTCAAGTGAGACCACAAACTGACTATCAAGATGGACCATTGGATTCGTTCAAGCGATTCAATAATAAAAATTAAAAACGTCGAACTCAAAGTTACATATGATACCAATCGATAGCGTGGTTTCAGCTTACTGAGGCTCACAACTACTCACTTCTGATCATCTGTGTGTTTAGTGTGAGTTTTTTAACCTCTCGATCGCGTAAAAGTTAATACAACAGCTTCCCTTCGTTTGCCGTTTGTAAGTTTTTTTTTTTTTTTCCCTTCCTATACTAACAGAGGCTATATCAGCGTCACCCTAGCATGCAGGTGAGCTTACGGGGCTCAGACGGGAAGTGTTGCTAACAGTGTTGCTAGCCCTAGCAAGAGCAGTGCTTCGCAGAATCTACCACCGGATCGGAAACGCGACCCACTGAGAAGATCCGCCGAGAAACTCGGTGGGCTGTGTCTGTGGGTTCGACCCGACCGACGACGGCGCTTGAGATGCCACTAGGGGCGCTGTTCACGCAATCGAAAAGTTAACAAACTCGCACTAAGCAAACTGTACTCGACATAGGTAAGAGGGGTTTTTCATTATTTAGATTTTTGTATTTGTGCAATAACATACCTGGTTAGGTGTAACACCTATTTCGTAGACAATGTTAGGTTCCTGATCCAGCAGTGCCAGTAGTCTTTGCTGTTGCTGTACACTGAGGGCTCCCCTGAGCGCGATCTGGGTCAAATCTTTAGCTTCACTCACTAATGACACAGGATCTTTATCTTCCTTTTTCTCTTCTTGTTTCTCTTTTTTTTCCTCCTGTAGACAGGGCATTTTACCATTTGGTATTACCATTTTACCATTACATTACATTACCATTACATTTTACCATTTGTAAAATACATTAACTTTTTGGAATTTTAGGAATGAAATCATGTCGAAAATGACATTTATTTATTTATCTTTATTGCATAGATGCGTGGACGTGCTCATAGCCCACCCGGTATTAAATGGTCACTGGAGCCCATAGATATCTGCAACGTATATGCCATTACACACCTTGAGATAACAGTTCTCAGTATAGTTACAACGGCTGCCCCATCCCTCAAACCGAAACGCATTACTGCTTCACGGCAGAAATAGGTGGGGTGGTGGTACCCTCCCGCGCGGACTCACAAGATGTCCTACCACCAGTGAATCACTAGTAGCCTCATCACAATGGTGTCACCTACTGTGATACACCAGGACTTTAGGCTCATCACCATCATCAGCCCAAAGACGTCCACCACTGGACATACAGCTGGACAATAGTTTGTACTCAAGTTTTATTATATACTAGCTGATCCGGCAGACTTCGTAGTGCCTCAATCGATAAGCAAAAGACCTAAACTTTTTTATACAATAAACTTTAAACAAACAAAAGGAATCCGTCCGACGGGGGACACATCAAAGGAAGAACAAAATTGTTATTTTTATTTAATTCCGAGCATTTTCATATTTATTTACCTTTTAAACCTTCTCTAGACTTCCACAAATAATTCAAGACCAAAATTAACCAAATCGGTCCAGCCGTTCTCGAGTTTTAGCGATACTAACGAACAGCAATTCATTTATATATAAATATATATAGATATATAGATTAGACTCGAGAAAAATATATTGCGTATATATTGTGTATATTATGTATATAGATTGGATTTTTCAAACACGAGGGCTTCACTGATGTTGCCACAGTACACAGTAACTTTACCTTGACTTTGTGCTGTTGGTTAGGCTGCGATCTTCTATCTATCTTCTCAGGTCGGAGGCCGATCAGTCCGTCGTAGTCGGAGTCATACATCGGTATATACGTGCCGCGATTTATTAAATTCTTCCAAACGCCCTGTACAGAAAGCGAACAGTGAGTTGCGAGAATCTATATATTAATACGTGAAGCAAATACTTTGTACCGCTTTTTACGAATATTCCGCAGACGAACGAGTATGAAATTTCCCACACTTATTGAGAATATAGAGAAGGAGTGCAGAATGTAATTTTTTTTTATGCATAAGAAATATTTTAAATCAGTAAAAAAAAACATTACACACACTACCATGTATTTGACACACACACACACATTTATACTCTTTTGTTTATTGTTAAAGTCTGTGGTCAAATTGAGAATAGATTAATATTGTTCGTCTTTAATATTATTTATCTATAGTGTAGCCTTGGTGAAATTTGTTATTAAAAAAGTCTATGAAAGTCTTTGACAATAGTCCCTTAATAATGTTCAAGCTTATAGTTTACGTTAATTATATTCAACTATCGAGCAACCACTGGTTATATTAGTTATATGATTTAAATTGTATAACATTAGCAATTCGTTATGAGCTTACACACAACAAACAAACAAACCAGTGATCGTTTCTATAGATTGGTATATCGGTGGATATGAACATATAAAAATGCTCACAACTACAATCTCAAGAGTTTAGGTCATCAACTTTATTCCTGAATCGTTTTTGAGTTTGTCATAATGCCTATCCCTATAAAGCCGCTTTCAGACTACGCTATAATATAATAGCATATAGTATATAGCTCATAGCACAACAATATCCACTTCGATAAAGCGGCACGACACGAGGACCCTCTTATCGTGGCCGCCGGTAACTACATTCCCGATCCTGCGGACAGAATGGAAAGCAGTCGACGTCGCCCAAAACACGTCATTTCGGATCCTCCCGATCCACTAACGGTGCTTCTAGGTACTTCAAGCACCGGTCACCGTTCTCGTCGAACCCGTCGCTTGCGACGAAGGGCTCGACACAGCCCACTGAGTTTCTCGCCGGATCTTCTCAGTGGGTCGCGTTTCCGATCCGGTGGTAGATTCTGCGAAGCACGACTCTTGCTAGGGTTCGTGTTAGCATCGTAGTCAGGTTTGAGCCCCGCGAGCTCACCTACAAACGTTAGGGCGAAGCTGAAATAGCCTCTCAAGGCTATCAGCATAGGTAGGAAAAAAAAAAACAATATCGCGGACCATACATTGTTATGGACACATTCACATTGTACTGTACTATATATTATTAAGTATACGCTGCTATACTATATGGCACTTAGTATAGTGTAGTCTGAAAGCAGCGTAATGCTATTAACCTCGTCAGCAAAAGGCACATCATTGGTGTCGATGAGGAATGTGGGTGGTGGGATGGGTCCGGCGGCCGATAGCGTTCGGTGCAGCGGGAGATACTCATTACTCATCAAGGCTTCTAACAGTTCTTTCAAAGCAAGGCGGTTCGGTGGACTCCTGGAAACATCATTTGAAAATTTTCATTCAAATTTTATAAACAATTTTAATGAAGGTTTAAGAAAATATACATGTTTTTTTTATTGCTTAGATGGGTGGACGAGCTCACGGCCCACCTGGTGTTAAGTGGTTACCAGAGCCCATAGACGTCTACAACGTAAATGCCGCCACCATCCTCGAGGCATTAGTTGTAAGGTCTCAGTTTTAATAGTACAACGGCTGCCCGGCCTTCAAACCGAAATGCATTACTACTTCACGGCAGAAATAAGCAGGGCGGTGGTACCTACCCGTACAGACACATTAGACGTCCTACCGCCAGAAAATTGATCAATTGATTGTCTGTACCTATTAAGAAATAAAATCGTGTTATAATGCTTCTATATTTTTAATGAAGCGGTTGGTACCACCGCTACCTATTTTATGCCATCACTTCATTGGGAATTTAGACCTATGTAATATTTTGAATTGAAAGTTCATGAGGTTGTAGATGGCCAAAATCAAGTTGTGATTACTAATAGGTTCCAGTAACACCTTAACTGGGCCAAGGCTCATGCAATAAAATATAAACCTCTATTAGTCATAGCTCAGTCGACTTCTATTACTTTAAAATCAGCCATACCTCATAAGCAATACAATCCCAGAATGTTTTTATAGAAAACTGAATTTACATTACAATTTCTCCAAGTTTTACTAAATGTAAATTAATCATGTTTTTCATAATATATTTTGGGTCTTACCCATCACTAAGTGGTATCAATGCAGAACAAGTAGCCCGGGCCACAGCACTGGTGTCGGTCAAACGTTCGGCCACAATCGCCTGCAGCGGTGAGTAATCAAACTCCAGTTCCTTAGGAGATACTTCTGTCATCATTACTTGTTTTGCTGATTTTTTCATCACCTACAAATTCAGTGATAACTGATAATTTTTTTTGGTTACATCAGTAAATGGTAAAAAGGAAACCAAAATATACATTTACAGTATGCGAGATATTATGTAAGCACATCCAATTGATATTGTGTGCTCATTCTAACTCACAGACAGGTTAAATCATGCGTGTTTTGATATATAGGTTATTATCTATATATTAATACATGAAGAAAAAACTTTGTATCCTTTTTACGAAAATTGCGTGGATGGAAGAGCATGAAATTTCCCACACTTATAGAGAATAATATAGAGAAGGAATGCAGAATGTCAATATTTTTTTAAATTAGGCTTTAAAAATACAATAAATCAATTAAAAAAAACACTACACACACTACCATGTATTTGACGCACACATGCATGAATACTATTTATTTATTGTCAAACTTTTGTTCTTGACGTCTGTGGTTAAATTGAGAATAGATAAAATATTCTTTTTCTATAAATATTCTTTGTCTGATAAAATATGAATATATTTTTCTATAGTGTAGTCTTGGCGAAATTTGTGATTATAGAAGTATAATAATATAATGTACAAACTTACAATTTCAATTAATTATAGTCGAATTTCGACTACTGCGGGATCACTAGTTTAAAATAAATTTCATATCATACAAATCCAAAATAGTTAAGCATAACTCACATCTTTAATGTTTACAGGCAAGAATCCATGCAGCTGTCCTATAAACAGTCTCTCCTGTGGAGCTAGAGGCAGAAGACCCAGCTTCCCTTCTAGGAGATGCAAGAACAATGGGCTGAATGGGTTTTCTCCCTTGTAGAAGTCATATAGAAGAGCCAGCGCAACAACACGCTGCCCAGGGAGTGAAAGATCTCCGCCCGTGATCAGCGATGACAGGAGCAGACTTACTGAAATTAAATTTATATTGCTATATAACTTTAATGATTGTTATTAAATAGATATCAATATAAAGGTTGTGTATGGGTACTTTTATTTCAAAATGAAGTATAATCCAACAAACATTAAAGTGAAGATTTCCAAACAGAGAAATTTGGACATTTTATACTCCTGTTAAGGTTTGTGAATGTTTTCAACAACACATCTCAGGTGATGTACTTCAAATTTTACCTGGGTAAGCATGTAACAGAGATAATAAATACCACAACAAGGTGCTGCTGCCTAGTTGACGAGCTTTGAAATGTTTGAAGATGAAACAAGCTGGCATTCACTAACAACTACAATTAATTACCATTACACAGCTGCACAGGTGAAATGGACCACTTATTATCAACATTACATCTTATTAGGGTTTCTTAGTAAGGATATTGCTAATTTACAGTACAACAGTAGTTAACAGACACTAGTCTTGTACACAGATACCCATATCTTTAGGTTGATTTGAAAATGCTAATACATTATCATCCTGAATTTACCACCCTATTATTATTTTCATGTAACCTACCTTGAAAGGACAAATCCTGTAAGTGTGGTGTGTAAACGTAATGTTGATAAGCACACGGCTAAACTTAAATTCCCAGGAAAAGTAGTTCTTTAAATTTAAGTCAAGTCTCATAGTTCTGCCAGTGGAATTGATATTTAATAAAAATATATTACTCACGATTAAAATGATCGGTCTTCGGGAACTTTTTTTGAACTTGAACACATATTGAATCTAAGCCCTGCGAATCGACTGTCTGTTCGGAAAATAAACTAAAAAGAAAAAATAAATAACAATAACAACATAAGCAACTTTACAAGTTTAATTTCTCGTGGTGTTTTTACTTACTCGAGTATGTATTTACTGTTTTCATTAATCAGATGTTGAGACATTTTATTTATTTAACTAATACTTATCAAATAAATTTATACGCTTAGACGAAACACAAAATAATGAAAATAGAAGTTTTTTAGTAAAAGTCAAAACACAATTCGTTATCAATACAAAATTGCTTCATTAAGAAACAATTATACAAATTTTACAAGTTTATTTATAATTGGAGAATTAGGTACTGTTTGGAACTGTTGTATGTACACTTGATATGTCATTTACGAAAACAGTATAACCTTACAAACTTACAACTTCTTTTAGGGCTTGTAGTTCATAAATAGTGTAGATGTAGTTATATAGTATATTCTGTATATTGAAGGCATTAGCTGTTTAAATGTCTTATCTGTGGCATTAGGCTTAGCTCTACTGTAAGGATGTGTAGCTCCTGAGTGAGTGATATAAAAGATATATATCACTCACACCGATAAAATGTATCACTAACACTGGCTCCAATATATCAGTAACTCAGTTATAGCTCACTGGATCACTAGCTCATTTGTCTCATGAAAGTATCGTGAATTGATGAGCGAACGAAAGAAAAAGGAATGAGTGAGATAGATGCATCGTGTGGCCGGCTGACGAGAATGACCGTTCACTTCACGCTAATTTCGTTTCGACGTATTGGGTTTTCAAGGAAAAATGTACATTATTTCTCTAAGAGCAAAGCTTAACATAACTCATGTATTTTTGAAACTAAATTTATACTTGCTTTATTTTCTTACACAAAAAGCTAGCCATTAATTTGCGAAGTTAATATTACTTATTAACGCGATGCATTATCGAAAAAAATATTTAAAAAAGTTTCTTAATGTGTTTAGTTCTGTGGTAAACTGCATGTTGTAAATATTCAATGTTTTTTTTAATACTTAGTTGGGTGGACGATCTCACAGCCCACCTGATGTTAAGTGGTTACTTGAGCCCATAGACATCTACAACGTAAATGCGCCACCCTACTTGAGATATAAGTTCTAAGGTCTCAGTAAAGTTACAACGGCTGCCCCACCCTTCAAACCAAAACGCATTACTGCTTCACGGCAGAAATACCTACCCGTACGAACTCACTAGAGGTCCTACCATCTATAAGTTTAATCATAAAACAGTGTAAATAAACTATATTGTTTATTACTATGTGTATAAGAGGCCCTGACAGTTACAAAATCAAACGACTATTGTAAATATTCCAATACAAAGTGAGTGATATATGTATACTGAGCTAAATAATCTAGGCTAAGAAATGAATTAATTGAGAGACCAATCTATTTTAATTGGATCACTGAGCTAGTGAGCTAAATTAGTATCTTTAGAGCGAAATGATTGGATTTTTTTTTATTGCCTTTGTAGGCATACGAGCGTACGCCCACCTGATGGTAAGTAGTTACCGTCGCCCATGGACTTCAGTAATGCCAGGAGCAGAGCCAAGCCGCTGCCTAATATGTATGTGCGATTTGCACAATGTGAACACTAGGAACAAACATAGGCTTGTGTTGCCGGCGGCTTGAATTAAGAAAATAAGCAACTCTTTGGGGGGGCTGGGTGTACAACTTTTCAACAAGATCCCACTAAACGTTCAATTACTACCTGTTCATAGATTTAAGAAAACTGTCAAGGAACGTTTGTGCAACAAGGCATATTATTTATAAAGTTAAGGATTATTTACTAGATGGCACTACGTGGGAATGAGGCGTTCGCTCCTGGCCTTTTAATTTTTCATTAATATTATTATTTTTTTAATTGTATTTTTTGACTTGTTTTTTCCTTTATTGTAAATATTTTTATTTATTTAAAAGAAAAAGAAAATATTTGAGAAAAAAACAAAAAAAAAACCCGCTGAGTTTGTTTCGCCGGTTATTCTCAGGACTGTGGCTTTTTTGGAACCGATGGTAGAGTTAAAACTACTGAAGTAGGAAACCTATGGAAATGAAACGTCAACAAAAAATTCGTGCCACTGTGACGTCATCTGGCCACAAAACATGGCGGTTTTAGTGCTGCCCAGAAGATTTTAATGTTAGTAGGTTTTATTCCGCACTAAACGCTTCACTTTCCTCCCTTTGCCTCTTCATGAGTTCTGTCTCATGCGAGGTTTGGACGTTGGTTGTTGAGCGACAGGAGGTTTTAGTCGGTTCGACTCCGACATGCCCCACCCTCCATCCCCAGTGGAGGGTGGGGCATGTCGGAGTCAGGCGATTTCCTCCTGACCAAAAAAAAAAAAAAAACCGATTCGATTCGATCGATTGGGAACATCATTTTTCGTCAAATCGATTACTATTAGAACGATTCTATTAGAACACTATCTACAGTTGTTAGTTTAATATATCCTTTGTGGGACACCTGGTATGTGCAACCTCATGTTATGAGCCGTAACTTAAAGAAAGCCTTATATATGGGGCACCACTTTAGGGACCTAATAAACGACTCATCTGTACTCTTTGCCCGTCCAAACCTCAACCAGATGCGTGGATATATTCTTTTTTTATGAATGAGGGATTGCTGGTGGCTCGGAGGCCTTTTCAACTTCATCAGGACAGGAGGGCGAGCAAAGGCTTAAAATAAATATAAATAAAAATAAAATATAAAAATAAATTGCTGTTCGTTAGTCTCGCTAAAACTCGAGAACTGCTGGACCGATTTGGCTAATTTTGGTCTTAAATTATTTGTGGCAGTCCAGAGAAGATTTAAAAGGTAGATAAATATGAAAATGCTGGAAATTAAATAAAAATAACAATTTTGTTTTTTCCTTAAAGTTTCCCCCGTAGGACGGATTCCTTTTAATTGTTTTAAGTTTGTTTTATACAAAAGTTTAGGTTTGAGGCACTACGAAGTCTGCCGGGTCAGCTCCTCCTCTTCCTTGCGCCGATAATCCTCAGTGCTGAGGGTCGTGGCTTCCTCTAATAACTTTCTCCTGCATTATCTTGCGCCATTCCTGCCTGTCCTCGGCTGTGTGGATAGGAACGTGGACTGAGGTATTGAGAGTGGAGCGTATTTGGTCCGACCAGCGCATTGGATTTCTGCCTGATTTGTGCCTTCTCCCGCATACCTTGCCGGGTCAGCTAGTCTAAGATAAAACAAAATCTTAGTAAAATAGTAACTCTTTACTGCGAGTTCGGTGGACTTTTTTGAGGAACCCTAGAAGCCACGTCAAGAATCTTTGGTTTATTTTCCAACATTCGTGCATTTCACAGATGCAAAAAAGTTAATAAACCACCGCTAATAACTGTTTAAATCTGAAGAAACATCAAGAAAATTCAAAACAATTCAACTTGGCTCCTCGCGTTTCTACAATAAAGTCCTAGTACATTATTTATTTCACTATATAGATGGATTTACTCTAGAGCTCATTGGAAGAGCGAGACAGCTGTCGTTCTGTCAAAGACTCTTCGGCAAAAGATTGAGACTATAAATTAATGTTTCAAGGCAGATACCTGCAGGATGCATTTACGTTGCGATATCCACGGAAACCCCCACTATCAGCAGATCGGCAAGTCCCACATACCCCGCGCACCCTCGTAGGAGGTTCGCCCACCGGCCCGAAAAAAAAACCAGGGAAGCTGGTAACCGTTTAACATCGAAGCAGTTTAGGATACGAAGTCACCTCTACGAATTGACTCTTACCTAACGTAACTTTATTGAAACTTCTGATAGAGACCTCTAAAAAAGATATTTTGTGAGCTCCTCCGAGATCATATATTGCAAAAGGCTGGTCAGCGCTTCATAGATTAGAGGCTCAAAATAATTGTTGTTTCGATTTCAAATCGCGAGATGAACGTTCACATTCGGCGTTGCGTTGTGGTGTCTTTGTCCTATTAGTGAGCAAACGAGGTCACAGCTCATCTGGTGATAACAAGATATAAATTTAGATGGTTACCGCCACCCACCCACATTTTACACACGAGTCGACCTCATTTGCAAAGCGCTATGCAACAAAAGCGGCACGAGGAGGTCCGAAGACCAAGGTCAGAAAGAAATAAAGAAGAAGAAAGAAACGCAGAAACGAAAGAAGTGACGCTTATTCGGCGTACGCGGGCTGTTGTTGATATGTTAATGATGGTTAATTGAAAAATCTCTAAGCAGTGCTTTGCATTTCCCTGGATAGCAGCGTCATTCTACCGGGCGGGCCGATATCCCATTTCTATTTCTTATGAATTAAAATAAAATCGGATTTAGTAAGTATATTGTGCTGAAAACCTTATAGCTAGGTTGATAGCTTTAAGTCTCTTGTTAATATTATTAAGTATGTAAGTAATGTAATCACTGGTGCCATCAATAATGCCGACAACCAGGTATATTTCAAAAGGACTGCCATACATTATCACATCGGAACAAGCTTCATGGCATGTGGTCTTCAGAAAACAGTGGTACACGCCTTTGATGGCTTTGTTGAGATACACCGAAAACACTATGCTACATGTGCCTCAAAAGCGTTTCAAACAATTATGAGAAAGCAGATAAAAAAACAACCATTGTTAAGAATGAATTAAAGGCTATCAAAAAATTTTTGTGAAACGTTTATATTCGTAGACGTCAAAGCTTTACAATGTTTTCAACATTTATGTCTTTATGATCCGAATTTCAACCTTAATCTAACCACATTGTGTGTACATAACTTTAGCTCAAATGAATTTTAAAAAAATGACCTAAATATGTAGCGCAAGGTATTCGGAACAATGTGAATTATTTGAACAAACAATGTGTCAGAGCGAACACGGACGCAGCTATGACGCAGAACGGAGACAAACTTCACGACTAAATTAATACCGTTATCGAACAAACTTCTGAACTAAACTATTATAATCGGACATTGGAGTACACTTCGCACGACTTGCGGCCGTATATTATTATGTTAATCATTTCCATACTAATTGTAAACGGAGAGTTCTTTTATCGTGCCCACTTCTTGAAGATAAGATAAAAATGTCATTTGTGTCTCTTCGTTGCAACTATAGAGCCGTTTTTTAGTTATCGTTTTTTCTCGTTATTTTAACATTTTTGTGGTGTAAAAAGTGGAAATGAAAAGTGATGAGGTGTTTGTATGCAGTTTTTTTGAGAAATGTTAGATTCACGTACGGTTGCAGTGATGCATAACGCTAGGCCTCTCGATGTTGCTGAAACAGGTGAACGTCACAGAAATCGGTCATCATCGTGGACGTCAAGGCGATGGCAAAATGGTCTTTTCAGACAAGAACCAAGATATTCACTGCAATGTCAGGTAAAGGAATAAAAGGTTTTTTTTTAAATTATATTCTAAAAATATTTTTATGAGTTTTAGATGTATATAATGAATCTTGGATAGAAGGCTTATTTAATTTAGAAGTCAATACGAAATTAGACCCCCGAAAAACATTATTTTAAATATGAAATGATGAACCAGTTTCATAATGATAAAATCATGACCGATAGCAAAACACGTGATTAGATGATCGCGGCACGTATGTTTAATTTTAACGGGGATTTCCTACCAGAACAATATTAAGTTTATATTTGGAAAGTATTTAAAATTTTCCTTATTAGTTAAGATTACGAATCTATGCAGACAATATTTGATTTAAAAAAAATATATTTTTCCAAAATTTGTTTTATACGAAATTGCGTGGAACGGAGTGTAATGCGACAACAATACTTGCGTTTCATGATTTGGTGTCATGAAAAGTAGACATTTCAAGCATTACAAAGGATAGGAAATACAAAAGATTCTATATGTGAAGGTGAAATGTTCGTTTAAAAAAATGTTTCTTTTTGTTAACGAGTTGTCATGTTTGTTTGACAGTCACATCTGTCAAAAGGTGTGATTTAATTACCGTAGCAATTTAGTTTTATTGTTTCGCGTTGGATGTATTTCTTAACAATTTAGATTATATTGTTGTTAAATTTTTTTTACAATACATAACCAATATCAGTACCAATGTGAACAAAGTGTTAGACAAGTTGTGAAATAAATGTGAATAGTAATTAGAAAACGTGTCAACATTTCAACAACTGTTGTTTGCGACTTTTACGTTGCTTAAGGAATGTGAAGTATTTCATATTCCTTTTTATAATCATTAAATCTTCACATGGGTGATGGCTTNTGTTGTTAAATTTTTTTTACAATACATAACCAATATCAGTACCAATGTGAACAAAGTGTTAGACAAGTTGTGAAATAAATGTGAATAGTAATTAGAAAACGTGTCAACATTTCAACAACTGTTGTTTGCGACTTTTACGTTGCTTAAGGAATGTGAAGTATTTCATATTCCTTTTTATAATCATTAAATCTTCACATGGGTGATGGCTTGGCAGTCGGATACGCGTGTAAGTTTAAAAAAAAAAACATAACATTCGGTATTTAAATTAAAAATATCGTGGTAACATAAAATGTCCTTGTAAGTCTAAAGTTAAATGCGTTTTATTTTGCGGAACGGTCTTAATTTATTCAGTTTTTGTAAATGTACGGACGAGGATTATTATCAATTTTCAGGGTACACTCTAAAATGTGTAGGCGTCGAGGTTAGGCGCTAATAGGATTTGTTGTCTGGGTCTTCAAATCCGACCGATATTAACAAAAAATAATTCAAAAAGAGACTCATATATTCGTCCTCACGAGATAGGTAATGATGAATATGTATGATTACATTCAATCACTTCATCTCAAATGGGAGAACACAAATTGTATACTCTGTATGCTTAGAAACAAATATGGTTTTGTGCTATTTTTTCGTCAGGTGTCCTCTCTACTACTAGATTTTGCTGGTTAATACATCATATTTTCCACATCAGTTGTTAAGCCAAACAGCTTTTCAACACAGTATTATCAAATTTCTTTTTTGTGGAAACAAAATATTAGTTGACCCATCTCCTGTAATGTTAATCAGTAAGAGTTATTTAATAATTTAAATAAAAACCTGAGATTCAATTTAAATATGTTTTTTTTAATCCATCTTGTAGCTCTAAATGTTAGTGCTAGAATTAACAATCATCATACAAGCAGATAGAAGAAAATCACAACTCTGTTATATATTAGGTCAGATACACCTAAAATACTAAAATTCATTTTTTTTTTCTGTATGTACTGTACATTGAACAGTTATGCTTTTGTTATGTTATAAAATAATACACAGAGATGTTACAAGGTCATACAATATTATAACTACAATCAATAATGCATAATTAATAATTCAATTTCCATAAGTGATCACATCAAAGTTTAATTATTATTTATTTTAATATTTCTTTAAAATATAAAGAATACAATTTATTGCTTAGCTAACTATACTGCACAAGAAACAAAAATTGGGAAATATTTTTTAAAGATATCGTCAGACATGTGGTGGTTCCATGAATGGGTATATAATATGTTCTTAACAATAATATAATATGATCGTTGTTGATGTTCATCTCCGGTCATCGAGTCCGTCGCTTGCGACGAAGAGCTCGTCGAGTAAATTAACCCTCAGACACAGCCCACTGAGTTTCTCGCCAGATCTTCTCAGTGGGTCGCATTTCCGATCCGGTGGTAGATTCTGCGAAGCTTCAATAATTTCAAATATGTGATTTTTTTAATAGTGATGATCAATAACATTCTCAAAATTAAACTTCGTATTGAAAATGATTGATGGTGAACATCTATTTTTTTTCCTACCTAAGCTGAGAGCCTTCAGAGGCTATTTCAGCGTAACCTTAACTAGTAGGTGAGCTCACGGGGCTCAAACCTGACGACGTTGCTAACACCATTCCTAGCAAGACCAGTGCTTCGCAGAATCTACCATCGGATTCGCTTCCCACTGAAAAGATATGGCGAGAAACTCAGTGGTCTGTGTCTGTGCGTTAGTTTGCTCATCGAGGACAGTGATTGGTGCTTGAGGGTCCTAAAAGCACCGAGAGAGTTAACAATAAATAAAAATAATCACGGAACAAAATTAAAATCAGCTTAGAAATGAGAAGGTTAGAATTGTTTAATTTCCTGCTGGGTAGAGCATGCACTAAATTGAATTGATTAATAACACTAGTATTGAAATGTACTCTACAAATTCAATTCCATGAAATGCTTTGTAGGAAAAGATTAAAACATCCCCTCTTAATAACCCTCTAAACTCTTAAGTAGTAAATAGAATTTTATCATGTCGGTCAAGTGATTTGTTTATTTCATTCAATTCATGTATATTTTCCAATAATTATATCATCATTGAGCTACCCAGATGTAACCTACTCAACCTGATGAAGGGATAAACGATTAACATATTTAGATAGATAATTCATTTAGGACCTTTTTTTTTTCCTAGCTAAGCTGATAGCCGTGAGAGGCTATTTCAGCGGAACCTTAACTAGTAGGTGAACTCACGGGGCTCAAACCTGACGACGTTGCTAACACGAATCCTAACAAGAGCCGTGCTTCGCAGAATCTACCACCGGATCGGAAACGCGACCCACTGAGAGGATCCGGCGAGAAACTCAGTGGGCTGTGTCTGAGGGTTAATTTACTCGTCGAGCCATTTGTCGCAAGCGACGGGTTCGACGAGAACGGTGACCGGTGCTTGAGGTACCTAAAAGCACCGTTAGTAGATCGGGAGGATCCGAAATGACGTGCTTGGGGCGACGTCGACTGCTTTCCATTCTTTCCGCAGGATCGGGAATGTTTAGGACTAAATTAATAAACAAACAGAACTTTGTTATTAATTTTTCAACAGCTATTCCTTTACTATGTATAAGTTGTAAGGGTATTCACATAATGCTCATATAAATTTTTAATTAGTACATAAAATCGTTTATAATAAAAATATACTGTTCTGTCCGCTTTAGTCATACATATGTTTATTTATATGTACAATTTGTTAATGTTTTCCCTGATTGTAAAATCGAAAGTCCATATGTACTTAGTTTTACAATTATTATTTTTACTTGTACAGCTATCTACATTATTAGTACTGAATGATCGGTTCGTTTGTTTGTCGTTTATTTTAGGTACATATGAGAACGGTCAATTCGTTCCTTGTCGACTCGTTCGTGTCCGTCTTTTATGCCGGCCACTCACATGCGGGCAAATATTCGTACATTGTACGAATGTTTGCGCGAATGTGAAGGGCCGTCAAACATTCATTCGCAAACTTAGCAGCTGTGCAAATGGGTTCGCATACTCAATTTGCGAACCCGTTTGCGCTTCCTCCTACACTTGTTTACGAATGTCTCACGAATTTCTCCTCCTTTTTAATTCGTCAATAGAACATTGAAGAGAAAAAGAGTTTTGAATTTTTTCCCAGACATCATTAACAGCCATGCTGTTTTTATGGGATTTCTTTTGATGAAGATACGCTACACAGTAGACGTCACCAACTATGAAAATGGCGATAAGTCCGTTACCTTCGCAATCGTCGGCGCAACTGGGCAAACGAATGTGTGGGAGACTACGCGAAGGTTCGCGGTTCGCGCGCTTTGATGTCTGTTAAAAAACCGACACAGCTTGGAAAACCACGAATGCAGCGAAAACTTTGCATAATCATTTGCAAATGTCGTCCCACACTTGCGGGTTTGCGTATTCGTGCGCATGTGAGTGACCGGTGTTAGGAAGGCATTAAAAGTTCTGCATGCCGCTAGTCACGTCCGCCCTCGTTCTATTTCTTTCTTTTCTATGTCTAGTCGTTGTAGTTCTTATGTCCTGTCAAAGAGGTTGCAAGACACGACAAGTACTACCTACAATTTTTATATAGTGGTTTCTGGCCACATTTTTATAGTTTTAATGAATTTCCAATATTTTCGTGCCATACAAGCTATCATGTTGTCACTGATATATGCTATCATCACTAATGCAAAAATTGTTGTAGAACCCATTAAAAAATGTTATTTATAATACTTGTTTTATCTTGATGTGAATATGTGTGTGTAAATGGCAATTCTGTTTTTTTTTTTTTTTTTGCTTAGATGGGCGAACGAGCTCACAGCCCACCTGGTGTTAAGTGGTTACTGGAGCCCATAGACATCTACAACGTAAATGCACCACCCATCTTGAGATATAAGTTCTAACGTCTCAGTATAGTTACAACGGCTGTCCCACCCTTCAAACTGAAACGCATTACTGCTTCACGGCAGAAATAGGCAGGGTNGTGAGCTCACGGGGCTCAAACCTGATGACGTTGCTAACACGAACCCTAGCAAGAGCCGTGCTTCGCAGAATCTACCACCGGATCGGAAACGCGACCCACTGAGAAGATCCGGCGAGAAACTCAGTGGGCTGTGTCTGAGAGTTAATTTACTCGTCGAGCCCTTCGTCGCAAGCGACGGGTTCGACGAGAACGGTGACCGGGTATAGTTACAACGGCTGCCCTACCCTTCAGACTGTAGCTGAGATTTAATTTGATTATGTGATTTATAATATAAGTAAACATTTACGTGAATTTAAAATGAGTGATATGGCTCATCTGGTCTGGTCTCAGATGTTATTATTGTTTAAAATTCAACATTGTTTCCTGTACACCTAAATCAACTCCTAATTTTCATAGAACATTTTGTTTATAATTTTTTGTTCAACAATTTATTGTTCTAAGCTTTTCGATAAATCAATCAGTCATTTGACTGACCGTACCTAAATATATTGATTAATCCAAGAGGCAACTGGAGTTTTGACAAAACAACCTTAATGTAGTTAAAAGAGATCTTAATTGAACTGATTTGTTCAATCACTATTTATGTTTTTTTTTTTTTATTGCCCTTGTAGGCAGACGAGCATACGACCCACCTGATGGTGAGTGGTTACCGTCGCCCATGGAGATCAGCAATGCCAGGGGCAGAGACAAGCCGCTGACTACCGTTAAAACACGTTAAGACATGTTTTTCTTCAAATTATGTTTGAAAACAGTAAATGACCTCACAAGTCATAAGTTTTGGATGTCGGCTTAACATTACTATGCGACAATAATCTCTTCCCGTTGTTGCTGTAAAGAAATACACCCCAGAATAATCAGCCACATTTTTTGAGCCTACTAACATACTACGATCGAAATTTACTGGTAATAGGGACATTGTAACTGCACGGGCAGGCTCTACTATTAGTACAAATTTTGTAGTATTTGTACCAGTACCTGTAGTTACCAAATATATACTTGTGATCCATTTAGAAGGGCGGGCTAGCAGCTATATAATACAATTGTGATTCAGACCTCATGTCTCAAGGTGGGTGGCGGTAATGACGTTGAGCCGTATATGGGTTCCGGTAACGACTTGTTTACTGGTGGTAGGACCTCTTGTGAGTCCGTGTGGGTAGGTTCCACTACCCTGTCTATTTCTGCCGTGAAGCAGTAATGCGTTTCGGTTTTAAGGGTGGGGCAGCCGCTGTAACTATACTTGAGACCTTAGAACTTATATCTCAAGGTGGGTGGCGCATTTGGGTCGTAGATGTCTATGGCCTCCAGTAACCACTTAACACCAGGTGGTCTGTAGAGATCGATGACCCATCTAAAAAAAAGGTCATAAACAATGGATTGCCATTTAAAAAAATAACTTCCCTCTTGTTTAAGGTCATGAAGGCATGTTTTGATACGGCCATATTTATGTTTCATTATTTATGGCTAATAACTTGTCAATAGTTTTGTTATGAACATAATTTATTATGTAATTTGTCCGTATAAAATGTTTTGATTTTTTCCTTACAGACTGATGAGAACAGCTTCCTGCTTCGTCTGAAGATAATAGGAGCTAATTCATTGGCGAAAAAGGATATATTTGGTGCTAGGTAATTATTTGATTTTATTAAATAAATAAACATTAGCGTAAATTTTTCAAAATTGAGTCTGATTATTATTATTATAAATACTTTATTTCAGTTTAAAAAAACCATAACATTTTGTTAGCGAGTATTACGTATAATTTATGTTAGTAATTTTAAAAACTAAAACATAACTATCTATCCATAACAATTTTTTCCTTCCAAGTTCCAAGTGCCTGCTACTGCGTCACTTCGAAAAGGCGGCACGACATGAAAACCCTCTTGTCGTAGCCGCCGGGAATTACATACCCGATCCTGTAGACCTAATGGTAAACAGTCGACGTCGCCCTAAACACGTCATTACGGATCCGCCCGATCCATTAACGGCGCTTTTAGGTACCACAAGCACCGGTCACTGTCCTCGCCGAACCCGTCGCTTGCGACGAAGGGCTCGACGAGTGAATTAACCCATAGACACAGCTCAATGAGTTTCTCGCCTGATCTTCTCAGTGGGTCGCCTTTCCGATCCAGTGATAGAGTCTGCGAAGCACTGCTCTTGCTAGGGCCAGTGTTAGCAACACTCCCGGTTAGAGCCCCTACATGTCAAGGAGAAGCTAAAATAGCATCTCAAGGCTATCAGCATAGGTATGGAGAAAAAAAAGGCTATTAATTAGCAGTCCCTCGATCTTGCTCGATATGATGTTCAGAAGACTGTTGCCACTGTCACGCACTCGACGCAAATTAATGGTAAATTGAATTTCAAAAAAGCAAAATGACAGCGTAATGACTTTATTCAAAAACACGGTCTGGTCCGCGAGTAGTTGGAATAGCCCCTTAGGCTACCAAAGATTTGGCAGGGGAAAAAACCGTGTAAATATCCCTTCGTCTTTTGTTTCTTTCGATCATGCTTAAAGCCAAAATCGAATGCTTGAAATCGTCCGGTGCATTCGTAACAGCTTCCCTTCGTTTGCCGCTAGGGGCACTGTTACAACTCCTTGAAAACTTTGAGTTCACTTTTACGCGATGGAGAAGTTAAAAAACTCTCAATAAGGATACTGGCATGAGCTTTACGGCCAGTAGTATATCCGTTGCACCATGATATAGGGTTAGACTTTTTTGTTTCTTTTTTTGGTGTTTCATTTACTTCATACCCTTTTGGTTTTGTGATTTCTATTTTATTATATGAACATTGACACTAAAATTTAGATTTTCGAATACCAAAAAGATATATATTTACCAAAAAGATAGATATTATTCGTTTTTATGGAATATTTTAAACTTTTTATTAAATTTGCGTAACCCTATTGTGCGTACCATCTTACCGATTTCTACAACGAAACACTGTACTTCTGTGTTCTAATTTGAAGGCCAGTACGAAATATAATTAGTAGTTCTACATCAAGGTGGGTTCCGCTAACCACATAGTATCAGATTGGCCATGTGAGCGCGTCTTTTCTATCTAAATCGATAAAATCAAATTCACGCTGTTTCGTTCATATTATGTATGATTGGAATCGCGTGACGCGTCCATGATTACATGCATATGTCGTCTAGAAATCAACATTCAGTCAGATACCAAGGCAGTGTGATGCCAAGTCTTGATTGGCTATTGCTGGAATTGGTCAGTCGTTCACTGATGCTCGTGTTGACCCCAATTACGATTTCAATGTAACGCGCCGATCATTGTCGCGTTATTTGCGAAGGTCTGTTTGATATCTGATATAAGTATCGAAGTCGTCGTGGTCTAAAAGAAAGGTGCAGGAATAACATCGTGTAATAAAAAATCAAACCCGCAAAATTATAATTTGCGTAATTACTGGTGGTAGAATCTCTTGAGAGTACGCGCGGGTAGGTACCACCACCCTGCCTGTTTCTGCCGTGAAGCAGTAATGCATTTCGGTTTGAAGGGTGAGGCAGCCGCTGTAACTATACTTGAGACCTTAGAACTCATATCTCAAGGTGGGTGGCAGCAATTACGTTGTAGATGTCTATGGGCTCCAGTAACCACTTAACACCAGTTGGGCTGTGAGCTCGTCCACCCATCTAAGCAATAAAAAAATCGTGTTACCAGTAAGCTTTTGAAGGACCCTAATGCGTAAAATGGGGGTTAGCGTGCGGGCTATAGTTTTTTTTAAATGTACAATAAACATAAATTATGTTATATAATTGCTTACATTGGATCGTGGATGCATTGTTTATTAAAACACGCAAATTTTTATTAATTTGCGAAATTGCTGCTTTATGTGGACAAACCGGCTAACGGTTCAACTGGTGTTATTAAACAGAAGCCTGCATCGTTCTTGTCGAAACCGTCGCTTGCAGTGAAGGGCTCAGCGAGTAAATTAACCCACAGCCCACTGAGTTTCTCGCCGGATCTTCTCAGTGGGTCGCGTTTCCGATCCGGTGGTAGATTCTGCGAAGCATTGCTCTTGCTAGGTCAGAGTTAGCAACGTCGTCAGGTTTGAGCCCCGTGAGCTTACCTACTTGTTAGGTTACGCTGAGATAGGAAAAAAATATATACATATGTAGTCAGCGCAAGGTGATAACACTACCTTGAGACAACAACTAGATTTTTAATATTGTTATACGGCCATTATGCCTTTTTCTCCAAAGTAATCGATGGTCGCGTAAGAGCCTATTCCAACTACGCACCGTCTGGTAAGTGAGCTTACGGGGCTCAGTCTATGAGCATTTCCCAACATCTGATCTAGCCAGAGCAGCGATTCGCTAAATCTATCACCAGATAGATCAGAAAGGCGACCCAGTGAGCAGATCCGGCTAGTAACTCGATGGGTTGCGTGTTTTTCAGCGGAATGATACAGTCAATTGTTGAAAAGCAATTTATCCGAAGCGATTCGTGACTCACCGATGCGTCAGGAATCTCAGACATTGGCGCCTGGAATTTATAACTTTAGGAATTTTACGAATTTCCATCATTCTACAAAGTGTGTATCATTACGCACTGACAACTCCTCGTAAACAATTTTCAATGTTTAATGTCGCGTTTATTATTTACAAATTTTCCGACGTTCGAATACTGTATAGTTTTCGTAGGGCTTAATAAAGTAATTATGTCACTGTACAAAAATATATACTTGATTAGTCAGTGCTTAAACACCTCAGGGCTTTATTTACAATGTCTCCCTATATCATTTAAATATTTTTGATGATTGCCAACCCTTGGTGACCTTTACGACCGTACCTAAAATCCGGGTTCAGTCCCGATCGGAGTCAGTACCTTTGAGCAAGATAGTTATCTGAAGCTCTAGCGTGGTGTGGACATGTGATGCGTAGAGAGAAGATGCATGTGACTAGGAGATGTATGGAAATGGTAGTGCAAGGTAGTGGGGGAAGAGGTCGACCGAAGAAGACATGGATGGAGTGTGTGAATGATGATATGAGAGAGAGAAAGGAGTGAGTGTTAAGATGACGGCTAATAGAAGAGAAGGGAAGAGAAAAATTAGCTGTACCGACCTCACCTAGTGGGATAAGGTGGAAAAAAATAAGAGAGTTATCTGAATCTTAGTATATCTTCCTGTCTCGTCTGTGGATTTGATCATCATCATCGTCATCATAGCCCATCAGAATATAGCATCTCGGAATTGTTAAATGCGTAAGCTTTGGTTCAAGTCATGCAGCTACAGAACCCATTCAATTAGCTGCAATTACTGATGATGTTCCAAGGTGGATGATGTGTGTTCCACAGCAGTGTGATTAAAACATATCGCTCTCTGATAATGTCTCGACTACGTTCGTCCAGTAATAGAAATGAGAAGTTCATTCGAAAGAGACTTCGAGAAACTTCTAGAGAGAATGTTCAACAGAATCGTATGACGCATTATTAATGTAACGGGAGTCACTCATGTCGGTCGTTTCGGCAATAATTGTGGGAAAACGGTTTCGATAAAAAGAGGAAAAAAATAATGTTTCTATAAAATCTTGAAAATTAAGGCGTAAGATCAGATATGATTTGAAATATTCGAATTCTAATCAGCTGTAGTGCAACGGAGATGTACAAATCACTGATTATTTCGTATATTATATTTTCGAACTAGCGACCCGCCCTCGTTTCGCTTCGGAAACTGTAATTTAATATTGATTTCTCCACTATTTAATGGATGTTATTATACATATAAAACCTTCCTCTTCAATCACTCTATGTATTAAAAAAAACTGCATCAAAATCCGTTGCGTAGTTTTAAAGATTTAAGCATACATAGGGATATAGGGACAGAGAAAGCGACTTTGTTTTATACTATGTAGTGATATTGATTTGAGGATACAGTCCTCGAAAACAACAACAAAAAAACACGACCCAAGAAATAGACACGACTATGTCTATGTGTAAAAACGGCTCTACGAATAAATAGATGCGTCCTTCTGCTCCTGGTATTCAGATATAACCTTTGTTTCGAAGTTATCAGTACGGTAATCACAATAATAATAATTTCGTTACGAACTAGCCGTTCCGGTCCTGAACGTACCGATAATACAGTTTTATGAGTCATTGCTTTAGTCATGCTTCGTTTATAGGAACGAAATTAAAGAAATTTCAAAACAATCTTAATTATGTGTGTCGAAGCGAACGCCGATTTTGATAACCTTAGCTATCTCTAGCCTTTTCTTATCTCTTAGCTAGCTTTAGGTATATGTAGCTAGCTCTACTTAAGGGATGTTTCTCTATATTGTCTTTTTATACAGGCGAGCGTAGGTTCATGGACGTCAGCAAATGTCAGGGCCACAGCCAAGCCGCTGCCTACCGATGTTGAATTTATTGTTGAAAACATATGCTATTTTCAACCTTAGGTTTTTTTTATTGCCGTATAGGCAGACGAGCATACGGCCCACCTGATGGTGAGTGGTTACCGTCGCTCATGGACGTCAGCAATGCCAGGGGCAGAGCCAAGCCGCTGCCTAACGTTTAATACTCTCCACAAGCCTCGTTTGAAGAAGGACATGTCATAGCGCTCGGGAAACACCGTGGAGGGTAGCTCATTCCAAAGACGGATGGTACGTGGCAAAAAAGATCTCTGGAAACGCACTGTGGATGACCGCAGTGGCTCCAGGTAGTATGGATGAAATCTACTCCGGTGTCGGGCGGTGCGATGGTAAAAATGAGACGTTGGTATCATCTCGAACCATTCCGCAGAGTACTTTTTAAGGCGGGGAGGTCGTTGTTGCATTTCGATCGACATCTGCCCGTGCAAAGATACTTTTTGTGGCCGAATTGATACTCCACTCGTATCTTAAAGAGTTAAATGTATTTATAATTTGTTCCAGCGATCCATATGTCCGCGTCGAGCTGCAGAAGGTGGACGGTGACGTCACGATTGAAACATTCCTTACTAAGACGAAGAAAAAGGTATTTTAAATTTTTTTTTAATGGATTTTATGACCTGGTAACTAAGACCTTTAAGTCATGTCTTATTTTATTTTATATTCTTATTTTAATGAAAAATGATAATATGGAGTGAAATGAAATGAAGATGATTAATTTGAGACGTTAATCAACTGGGATGAAATTAAATGAAATGGGATAAGGTGATATAGGATGAAATATAATCTCAATAAAATGGTGGTCATTCACTGAGATTTTTTCAGTGGACTTTTTGGAGGATTCCGAGAAGTTACGTCCAGCAGCTTTGTATCATTTTCCCACAATTGTGCACTTTCACAGATATTAAACAGTTAATAAACCACCATTATTACACAATTAAGCCTGAAGTAACACTAAATAGACAAAATAAAACAAATCACATAACTTCACTCATCGCGTTGCCGCCAAAAAGTCCTAGGTACTTTAATCAAACATCATAAATAAAGATTACGATTTTGTTGATTAATAAATTCTATAACTAATTAAAACGAGTGATTAAGTTATTTTTGGCTAAAGTAGTACCCTTATCAAAGCTTATGGACATCACGTGTATACATGCACCGGACATCCTGCCTAAAGCATGAGGTCCCACCTTGCTAACCAGGTAGGATAGGCAGGATATTGGTTCCGATCCGAGCACGCTTCTGCCACTAAAAACAAGTGTGACCTTGGGTGACTACCATAAAAATATAGTGCGGCTAAACCATCGATAAAATCTAGTTAATAAAGGATAATCAAGTTTGTATAAAAATATTTTAATTTAGATTTAAAAAAAGGGATAAGTAATCTGTTGAGATTATAAATTGTTATAAATAAAATAACTAAATAATTGAGAACAAATCATGCACGGTCATCTGGCTCAAATTTAGTCCTCCACTCCCATACTCCATATTAACATTTTTCATAAAAATAAGAATATACATTAAAATAAGACTTGTCCTAAAGGTCTTAGTTACCAAGTCATAAAAATCCCTTTAAAAAATCAGCTGACTCGCCTCCATTTTTATTAAGATGTGAACATATCGTTCGCGAAAATCGACAAAGGACTAAGGTACACTAGTTAACGCTTTACTAGTTACGCGCTCCGGTTTGAAGGGTGGGGCAACCGTTGTGCCGCGCAATTTAGACTTATACCTCATGTGTCAAGGTAGGGGGTGGCATTCGCGGCTTTTTCTATGGGCTTGGTAAGTCTAAAAAAATAGAATTATCTCTAAAACGCGCTTAGTTTACCAACCTTTTTTGCATCACTTTGACTGTTCTTTTTATAAATCTATTTCAGACATTAAATCCAGTATGGAATCAGGAGTTTATATTTCGGGTGAGTTTTTTTTCTCAAACATTGTCTTTATATTTTCATCAATCAAAACGATATATGTAAATGTAAAGAATATATTTTCATTCTATATCCTTTATTTAATAACATTATTAGGCTATAGTTTAGTGGAATGTTACAGGAAGAATATGCTCTTGTTGACTTTGTATTGTTTACCGATTGTATGGGTCTGATGGTACTGGCTGTCACAAGGTTTTGTTTATTTTAGCTACCAAGTTACCGAGTGGTCCATCCAATTGAGACATCGGCTTCAAGTCTCATGTCTCATAGCGCCATGACTCTGGGAAGTGTGGCTTGTCCGGTTTCAGCGTTATTTTAGGTACCAAATTACCGAGTGGTCCATCCAATTGAGACATCGACCTCATGTCTCATAACGCCGTGACTCAGGTAAGTGTGCTTGCCCGATTTGACCGTTCTTCTTCTTGCTTCGGTTTCCTCAATACTGAGGGTCGTGACCACCTCCTCGCAACAAGAGTTTATTGCGGACCATTCCACGCCATTTGCCTCTATCTGCCGCCGAGTGTAGAGCATCGTGAACTGTGGCGTCGAGGGTAGTGCGGATCTGGTCAGCCACCGTTAACTAAGTGATAATTCGAAACTCTCCAGGTGAAACCTCAAGAGCACAAGCTGCTGATACAAGTGTTCGACGAGAACCGTCTGACGAGGGACGATTTCCTGGGCATGGTGGAGGTGCCCCTGGGGTCCGTGCCGGCCGAGTCGGCGGCCAGCACTCGGCCCAATGTCGTTAAGTACCCGTTGCGACCGCGCAGGTCCGTGTAAGTGCATGCCGCAGTGTGCTGTGAGCTTTACAGTTTTTTTTTTTTTGGTAATGCCTTAAAATCTCGTAGCTAGTGTAAAACGCGCATGTTTTTATTGGCTAGTTTGCGGTTTATCGATAAAAGGAAGTGCAGAGAACTTTGATTTGAGATCGAGCTTAGAGCGAGTTAAATTTTGACGAAAATATAAGTGAACATAATTACTACGTAGGTGGGAAAATTCGTTTCCTGAAAAGCGTATTACAATGTGGTTGGAAGGTTTTTTATCGACAAACACAACGTGCCGCCCGACGAGTAGAGATAGCCATTGTAAACCTCGCCCTTCCGTGCGTAACTAGAAAAGCCCCTTAGGCTACCAGCGAATAGGTAGAGGGAAAAAAGGGAAAAAAACCCAATACTCATGTCCCTATCTGGGCCCTATCGATAACTTATCGATGACTAATTAAGCCCTATCGCTCTTGATTTCGATGTACTATGTATGCTGTGTATGTATACGAAATACCAGCATTTTATGTGCAAATTGTTGCCATATATTTTCCATTCTATGCTTTTTTTTGTATTGTCTTTTTAAATATACACAGATTACAATAAAATTGTTGTGAACACGTAATTTCCTTGTTTAGCAATTTAGCTTTTAGTTTTGCCTTTTATTGTGAATTTGAAAGTTTTGTCGTAGTTTTGTGAACATTGAATATGAAGCATGTTTGTTTCTTATCTCTAATGACGATACCACTGAGTTTCTCGCCGGATCTTCTCAGTGGGTCGCGTTTCCGATCCGGTGGTAGATTCTGCGTAGCACGGCTCTTGCTAGGGTTCGTGTTAGCAACGTCATCCGGTTTGAGCCCCGTGAGCTCACCTACTAATCCTTTCACTTACACCGGTCTTGGGCAGTCTGTTCTCACTCCTTCCACGTCATGCCAAAGACACCTAACTCCTGCTCCACCGAGCGACGCCAATCACCAGTAGACGAACATATTCATATATTTTTATGTGAAACATCTAAGAGTATAACTAAACGTAATCCCGATTGGTGGTGTGGCGACGCGTCGCCGCGCTATATCTATACTAATATTTTAAAGCTGAGGAGTTTGTTTGTTTGTTTGTTTTTTTTAACGCGCTGATCTCAGGAACCACTAGTCCGATTTGAAAAATTCTTTCAGTGTTAGATAGTCCATTTATTGAGTAAGGCTATAGGCTATATAATATCACGGTAAGACCAATACAAGTGGAGCACCAATAAAGAATGATTCAAAAATGGCGTTTTAAAAAGCTCCTTAACATTCTATAATTCAAAAATATTTTCACTTTCTACGTAAATGAAGTGGAGGTAAAATTTAGCGTTATGCCAAAGTAACTATTCCACACGGACGGAGTCGCGAGCAGAAGCTAGTGATCGAGGGGTAAAAAGCTATTTGGAATAAGAGACATTTCACTTAATACGCGACATTTAGGTATCTTTGTAATTAAAGGTGCTTTCATTTGGTATTAGCATCATCAGTATGATATTTTTAATTTAACTTCAATTAAGTTTACTCCATTCAAATATGTAGCTGAAGATTTTGTTTTTGTTTTTTACTGGTGGTAGGACCTCTTGTGAGTCCACACGGGTAGGTACCACCACCCCGCCTGTTTCCGCCGTGAAGCAGTAATGCGTTTCGGTTCGAAGGGTGGGGTAGCCGTTGTAACTATACTGAGACCTTAGAACTTATATCTCAAGGTGGGTGGCGGATTTACATTGTAGATATCTATGGGCTTCAGTAACCACTTAGCACCAGGTGGGCTGTGAGCTCGTCCGCCCATCTAAGCAATAAAAAAAATAATCCACATTTTAAACTTTAAATAGCTCTCCTGTAAAGTTGCAATAATGTCGTTTAAACGAAATAGCTTTTCACCCCTCGATATAAATTTACAGTCTATATGTAGTAGTGTGTCGCCATGCGCAAGCGACTGTTTCTTAATCTATATATAAAAAAATGAGTTGCTGTTCGTTAGTCTCGCTAAAACTCGAGAACGGTTGGACCGATTTGGCTAATTTTGGTCTTGAATTATTTGTGGGAGTCCAGAGAAGGTTTAAAAGGTAGATAAATATGAAATTGTTAGGAATTAAATAAAAATAACAATTTTGTTTTTCCTTTGATGTGTCCCCCGTTGGACGGATTCCTTTTGTTTGTTTTAAGTTTATTTTATACAAAAGTTTAGGTCTTTTATTTATCGATGGAGGCACTACGAAGTCTGCCGGGTCAGCTAGTTATTAATATTTTATTTTTTATTACGCCACGTGAATTTAAACTATCCTTTAATGCGCCTGAACAAAATAATGTTAATGTTCCACATCTGCCAGCCTTCCCGCGATGGCTCATTGTTTTGTTTGTGTGTGTGTCGTAACTGCTTGATTTGGAACGAGCTTCTGTTATGTGATTGTATGCTATATTGATTAGTGTGTAAATTTAAGGGTCGCATTCGGGGCCTTTGGAGCAAAGAGACCACGACATCAATAGACCATGGGGCGGCTCGATTGGTTACTAGGAGACGCGGGACTTTTTTTTTAATTCCTATTTGGATGGACGAGTTTCACGGTCCACCTGATGTTGAGTGGTTACCGGAGCCTGTAGACATCTACAACGAAAATGCTGCCACCCGCCTTGAGATATGAGTTCGAAGGTCTCACTTGTAACAGTACAACAGCTGCCCCGCAATTCAAACCGAAACGCATTACTGCTTCACGGCAGAAATAGGCAGGGTGGTACGTTCCCGTGCGGACTCACAAGATGTCCTTCCACCAGTAATTACGGAAATTAAAATTTTGCGGGTTTGATTTTTATTACACGATGCTATTCCTTCAATGTGGAAGGCAATCGTGAACATTTGTTGAGTACGTATTTCATTAGAAAAATTGGTACCCGCCTGCGGGATTCGAACACCGGTGCATCGCTCGATACGAATGCACCGGACGTCTTATCTTTTAGGCCACGACGACTTTGCAACTTCGTCGGCTTCGTGGGACTGGGCATTGAGCTTGTAAGCACACGATCCCGATTCGTTAAGTGGTTACTAATGCAAATATTACAACGTAAATTGAGAACTTAAACATTAGTTCAGAGTCTTAAAACGGAACACATAATTGTTTCGCGACTAAGATGAGCATACTGGAAGCGACCCGTGCAGGCTTACAATACGATCTCGCACCAGTATACTAGTGATTTCTTTAATTTTATTGAAACGTTCACGCGAAATGTGATTTTTGTCTCTAGTGACACCAGGTTGAGGTTTCTTGATGTCTTTAGAATAATCTTAAATTTTCCCTTCATATTCCTCGACATACGGGCTATATCAGGTAGGATCGAAAAAGTACGACAATCGAATTTAAAAAATCGATTTTTCCTAAATATCGATTTTATATAAAATTCGTGTGTCACTTTGGTCACGGTACTCTGTGCTCAATTTTATATGTTCACTTTAAAGAATGAATTTTATTTACCCTATTCTTGTATCATGTAACATCTGATGTTATGATGCGTAAGCGTCAACTTCTCGTTGACATTATCACCACTGGACATTGTTAATGTCAGCGCCACTGACACAATCCAAGCCTCGAATACTGTAAATACCATAAATTTCACATTACAAAAATATATTGTTCCTCAACAGTGCAAGATCGAGAGTGCGTGGCTACATCGAGGTGTACCACGCTCTGGTCGGCAGAGTAGGTGATCCCGCCACGGACGAGGCCGCCAACCGCACCGCCGACGACTGGGAGATGGTGGAGCCTATCAACCAAGTCGGAACCGTGCAACCGGTCAGTACATCCTTAACATCGTATTCAAGCAGATGATACAGGCGGCTACTGACTGAAGGAGATTCTTCCAGCTAAAAACTCTGTAACGTAACTCAAGAGATTGAAGAACGGATACATCACCAAGCTAGTGGGATTTTATAACGCTACAGACATCTAACGCAAACATACGTCATTTCGGATCGTCCCGATCCACTAATGCTGCTTTTCGGTACCTCAAGCACCGGTCATCGTTCTCGTCGAACCCGTCGCTTAAGACGAAAGGCTCGGCAAGTAAATTAACCCACAGACACAGCCCACTGAGTTTCTCGCCGGATCTTCTCAGTTGATCGCGTTTCCGATCCGGTGGTAGATTCTGCGAAGCACGGCTCTTGCTAGGGCCAGTGCTAACAACGTCCACAGGCTAGAGCCCCGTGAGCTCACCTACTCGTTTTGTGAATCTAGTATAACCCCTCGAGGTAATTAGAATAGGTAGGGAAAAAAAGATGTAACATATTCACAAAGGTCGTTCGACAAGCGAAATAATATGGAAATCGAAATTCTATTATCTTAATATTAAGGATTAGTTTTGCTTGTAAATTGAATCGGTACACAGTGTAATTTTGGAAAATAACATCAGCTAAATAAAGGCAGGTATATATATTTAGGTATAGGATGATGAGAACCCGTTTCTTCAAAGGGACATCCGATTAGTAAGTCACATTGCGACCTCATTGCATTTCATTCATACAATATTCTGTTGAGTTTGTATAATCTATCTTCTATCAGTATAATCTGTGTCATTCCATTTTCCCTCCATTTACTGCTGCAAAATTTCTACCGATTGTTTTTGTCTCATTATGATAAAGTTTAATAAATTCTAGAAACTTATCCAAGTTATTATTTAAATACGAGAAAGTGGGTAAACAAAACACATACATTCAGATGAAAAACGCCTAAAATGAAACACAATTTGCACATAAAAAATTGTTCTACTTAGCTACACTGTACAATTTTTTTTTAATTACTGATATGGGTGGACGAGCGTACAGCCAACCTGGTGTTAAGTGGTTACTGGAGCCCATAGACATCTACGACGTAAATGCGCCACCCACCTTGAGATATCAGTTCTAAGGTCTCAGTATAGTTACAACGGCTGCCCCGCCCTTCGAACCGAAACGCATTACTGCTTCACGGCAGAAATAGGCAGGGCAGTGGTACCTACCCGCGCGGACTCACAAGAGGTCCTACCACCACGCTACTGGAATCCGCAACCAAGTGAATGTCTAGCTTTATTAAAGATAAGCTTCCATTCATCAGCTAAGTGTAGTGTTATCGTTAGGTCCACGACACGAGTGCGGGCGGGGCCGGCGCTGACGATGATTGGGAGCTGGTCGACGCGAGTCAACTCCTTAACATTGTACGTTGTACTTATCATTATGGGACGCGTTTAGGGAAAACTGGAGTTTTGGGTGGGGGGTGTTTTAACACGTTGATTGCCATGTAGGTCACCGGTGCCGTACGCGGCGTTCTGAAGTAATTATGCCGGTTTCTGTTATTGTTACTGTTCTTGCTGGTGGTAGGACGTCTTGTGAGTCCGTACCACCACTATCGTTTTTAAACGTTTTTAAATTAATTGACAAATTAAACAATAAATTTCAGCTGCACCCTTAACCTTATGAGAACGAACCTTCTCCTTGTATTATATTATCGAGGGGTGAAAGGCTATTTGGTTTAAGCGACATTTTCGCAACTTTACAGAGGGAGCACTTTTTTATAAATTTGGAAAAAAATCTGACAAAAAACTACTTCAGCTATTTGAATGGACTAAACTTAACTGAAGTTCAATTAAAACACATCGAACTTTTGATGCTGATGCCAAATAAAATGCACCTATCGTTATAAAGATAAATGTCGGGTATTAAGCGGAAGCATAAGCCTTTCACCCTTCGATATGTTATATGGCATTTGCTTGAGGCCTTCGAAAACTGGCACAGTCACATCGCGATTTCGCTACTCGTGACTTCAGGAGTAGTCACTAATAGAATAGCACCGTCACATTGAAGTCGTCGTGGCCTAAGGGATAAGACGTTCGGTGCATTCGTGTTGAGCGATGCACCTGTGTTCGAATCCCGGGCGGGTACCAGTTTTTCTAATGAATTACGTACTCAACAAATGTTCACGATTAACTTCCACGGTGAAGGAATAACATCGTGTAATAAAAGTGAAACCCGCAAAATTATAATTTGCGTAATCACTGGTGGTAGGACCTCTTGTGAGTCCGCACAGGTAAGTACCACCACCCCGCCTATTTCCGCCGTGAAGCAGTTATGCGTTTCGGTTCGAAGGGTGGGGTAGCCGTTGTAACTATACTGAGACCTTAGAACTTATATCTCGAGGTGGGTGGCGCATTTACGTTGTAGATGTCTATGGGCTCCAGTAACCACTTAACACCAGGTGGGCTTGAGCTCGTCCATCCATCTAAGCAATAAATAAAAAAAAAACACACGCTAATCACAATCGTAACGCGACCATATTTTGTTTACGCAAAAAACTGTTGACAGTGGCAACAGTCTTTTGAAAGTCATGTCGAGCAAAATCGAGGGACTGCTGATTAATAGCCTTTGCAGCAGACACACTTGGAAGGAGGAGAAAAAAAAATGTAATGATATAAAATGTATATAATGATAGTTATGTGTTAGATTTTTTAAGTTACTAACATAGATTATAAGTAATTGTTACTAACAGAATGTTATGGTTTAAATAAAAAAGAAAACTGAAATAAAGTATAAATACAATAAAAAACACCTAACCAGTTTAACGTTGTCAAAAGATTTTAAGTAAAAGATTACCAAAGTTGCTGATTGTATCAGAAATTAATTGCGCTTCTCGCATTGTTACAGACGATAGGAGGCGACGCTTTGCCGCCGGGCTGGGAAGAGAGACAGGACGCTAATGGCAGAACGTATTACGTGAATCACATTGAGAGGACCACGCAATGGGAAAGACCAACTTTCACGTGAGTGCTCTGTTTGTGTATGCCTGTGTATAATAATAACACTATTGCGTTTACCAACTTACTTCTTACTGGTGGTAGGATCTCTTGTGAGTCCGCGCGGGTAGGTACCACCACCCTGCCTATTTCTGCCGTGAAGCAGTAATGCGTTTCGGTTTGAAGGGCGGGGCAGCCGCTGTAACTATAATAGAGACCTTAGCACTTATATCTCAAGGTGGGTGGCGCATTTGCGTTGTGGATGTTTATGGGCTCCAGTAACCACTTAACACCAGGTGGGCTGTGAGCTCGTGCACCCATCTAAGCAATAAAAAAAAAAACGGATAATGATCATGAGCTCTCGTGAACATGTTTCTTGTAACGTCTTCAAATACTTGTGTTAATGCTGCGATATCAACGTAATAATAAATCACGGACAGACCTGTATGGTTAGTGCGAGTTTTTTAACGTTCTCGATAGCGTAAAAGTTAACTCATATTTGTATGCAGTTGGAACAGTGCCCCTGGCGGCAAACGTAGGTAAACTCGCACTAAGCACACCGGTCGTGTTGTATATAAATCATTACGGATCTTCCAGATCCATTAACGGTGCTTTTAGGTACCACAAGCAACGGTCACCGTCCTCGCCGAACCCGTCGCTTGCGACGAAGGTCTCGACGAGTAAATTAACCCATAGATACAGCCCAGTGAATTTCTCGTCGGATCTTTTCAGTGGGCCGCGGTTCCGATCCGGTGGTAGATTCTGCGAAGGACTGCTCTTGCTAGGGTCAGTGTTAGCAACACTCTCGGTTGAGCCCCGTGAGCTCACCTACTAGCTAGAATTTAGAATAATCCCTCGAGGTTACTAGAATATGTAGGAAAAATATATCGACGCTTGAAAGGCAAACGTGACTAAGCGACAATAACTGCTTTGTACAAAAATGATAGGCAATAATATTCGATGCGCAAAAAATTTATATTTCTAGGTCTATTCAAATCTTTTCAATCCTGCAGCTAGATTCGTTAAAATAGATTTTTTTTCAGGTATTTCTCAAGTATATTTTAAATTAATTTCAACTTTAAAATAGTCTACTGTAAAGTTCACGCATTGTCGCTTAGTCACGTTTGCCTTTCAAGCGTCGATATATATAAAAAGGATGTTGTCCTCCAGTCGCCACATGAGCGTGGAGTCCCAGGCCGAGAGGATAGAGAACGCCGCCACCGAATTCCAGAGGCGGTTTCACATCTCGGCAGACGAGGAGCGAGCCTCCAGCCCGGCGCCTGCGCCCCAGCAGGTACGTGCCGAGGAATCGATGTCTCTAGAGACGCTCTTATCGAATTATCGTCAGCAAATATCGAAAGAATGTAGTAGTGCAAGGTAGAGGGGGAAGAGGTCGACCGAAGAACACATGGAAGACATGGACGTCATTTGTGTGAATGACGATATGAGAGAGAGAGGAGTGAGTGTTGAGATGACGGCTGATAGAAGGGAATGGAAGAGATAAAAGAAAAAGAATCGAAAAAATTTATAAAATTAATATTTATATAATTAAATTAATATAAAGTTGGGAACTAATTGTGTTTATTGCGTAGAGTAAATTTTAAAATTAAAATTCTTTAGTTTGGTCTGTGTGAAAGTATGAGACGAACCGTTTCCAATTTCAACTTATAAAGACAGCTAATTAAAAAAATGTATTGTTTTCAGTTAACAAAATAGTATTCACAAATGTGAAATGTGTATTTTTAGTATAGTTTTTTTTTTAGTACATATGACATCATTTTCTAGAATCGGAAGGGCTTTCTATTCTCATTTGCCTAAATATATATAGTATTAAGAAGTACTCAGAATATAAAACGCGGAGTAATCTTAAAAAAATCAGTTTAGATTATTTCTAAGTGCAGAGTTACAGGAAAATCAGTTTTATATCACATCTTAATTAGATTGACCTAATTGCTCAAGATATGTTTGGTGCGAAAAATGTATGGAACAAAGCCTTAAAATATAAAAATAAATATGCCATACTGTGTATTGACCTTACCAAGACTAAAATGGTCAAAAAAATTGAAAAAGCAACTTAAAGATTACGAACAATCGTCATGAGAATCCCTATTTTGTTATGAAAAATTGACTCTTTAAATTCATAGTTACCGAAGATAATTTTTATTTGATAAACAAAATTCATGACAATAAAACATTAAAAATATTCAATTCACAATATTTGTGATATAAAATACTTTGAAACATTATGGATACATTATATGATATTACACCTTTAGAATTGAAGTGGCTTAATCCAAAATTCTTGTTTTTTTTTTGTAAACGTTAAAAATGTAATTGATCATTTTCGATTTTAATACATTAAGCCTTAAAGCTCACAACTTAGAGTTTAAGGTATGCGCTTTGATTTTAAACGACAGAAAGTGTACTTTGTCCTATTCTAGACAAAAAATTTAAAAAACTGCTGTAATACGTGTTTATAAGTCGTTCAAAGTATAAACATTTATTATGCATTTATACTTTATTTATACGCATTTACGTTGTAGATGTATGTGGGTTCCAGTAACCACTTTACATCAGGTGGGCTGTGAGCTCGTCCATCCATCTAAGTAATAAAAAAAAAAACTTATTTTCTTAAAATGTTAAGTTAAGCCCCTTCAAATCTAACGGTACGATATAGTATAGTGTTGTAAACTTGTCGTTTCGATCAATGCCTCACAGTTTCACACACAAAATACTTTAAAGTTTCTTTTATTAATACGTAAAATTATTAGGATCAGTAGTTGCATGTTGATGCATGGATTGTGCATGCTTCTATTTATTCTAAAGGCATTGCAAAGGCGTGCAATTTTAGGCGGGTGGTAAAATTTATATATTAATACGTGATGCCAAAACTTTGTACACCTTTTTACGAAAATCGCGCGGACGGAGGAGTATGAAATTTTCCACAGTTATAGAGAATATAGAGAAGGAGCGCAGAATGTTTTTTTTTTTTTTTTTATTAAGCATAAAAATACATTAAATCCTAAAAAAACATTACACACACACTACCACGTATTTAGCACAACACTTATACTTTCAAAAACTCTGTGTTTATTGTCAAACCTTTGTTATTATTTAAAGTCTGTTGTCAAATTGAGAATAGATTACTATTGTTTGTCTTTAATATTATTTGTCTATGGTGTAGTAGACTTGGCGAAATCAGTGATTATAGAAGTATAATTGTCTTTGACAACAGAACCATAATAATATTCAAAGTTTATAATTTAAAATAATTATAGTCGAATTTCGACTACTGGGAGATCACTAGTTACAATTATTATTGTTTCATATACATACCTTACAATCACAACAAATATATTGGATTTGTAACATAATGATGGGTGACATTTATTATATTATTATTACTAGATGATGACCGAGTTTCGCTCGGTTTTTTTTTTATAACGCCATCTTGTTGTGTCTTTAAAGCGGTTAGTTGCCCTCAATTAACAAAAATAGTATTATTATTCGCCAATAGATGTCGGGAAGAGTTGATTATAGAAAACACGAACAAAACAACATTTTCTGAAAATAAATCGTAGCTGGATCGATTTATCGCCCCCGAAATCCCCTGTATACTAAATTTTATGAAAATCGTTGGAGCCGTTTCCGAGATCAGATTATGTTTATATAAATATACAAGAATTGCTCGTTTAAAGGTATAAGATACTGGCTGTGGCAATATTAAATTCAGACGATGTTGACAATACTCGTATGTATCATTATCAGATATGAAAATTTACCAAAAGGAAATGTATAACGATGACGTCATTCCACTCCATTTACTGATGTATATTTTTTAATCCTACTAATTCCGGTCAGGGCCATAGTGATAAAATTGTTGCCTTGTAATCGTTCCATTGGTATATGTGGGAATTTTTTAATTATTTTGACGTTTTGAAGTTGCTCGAAATTACGTTGGAACAATACCGTTACATACATAGATAATAATAAATACATACGAATCATTACAATTTTTGACTGACGCCGCGTTGACGTAGTTGGCAACCCTGACTGTTGCGCTGAAGGTCGTGGGTTCGATACCCGCATCTTGTATCTTTGTTTGGGTCTTGATTATCTATATATCGACGCTTGAAAGGCAAACGTGACTAAGCGACAATAACTGCTTTGTACATAAATGATAGGCAATAACCATATTCGATGCGGAAAAAATATATATCTCTAGGTCTATTAAAATAATTTCAATCCTACAGCTAGCTTCGTTAAAATATAATTTTTTTCAGGTATTTCAACTTTAAATTCGTCTACTGTAAAGTTCACGCATTGTCGCTTAGTCATGTTTATCTTTCAAGCGTCGATATCGAGGGGCGAAATACGATTTGGCTTAAGCAAAATATTTTCAACTTTACAGAAGAGTCATTTAAAGTTGACAGTTTGAAAAAAATATCATAATAAAAAAAAACTTGTGCAGATATTTGAATGGAGTAAACTTGATTGAAGTTAAATTAAAAACATCGAGCTGTTGATGCTAATACCAAATAAAAAGGACCTTTAATATTTGTATGATAAATATAAAAATATCTTTTCCAGGGTTATGGATGTATATTTAATATATGTATGTATGTGTATAATAAAAATATTACATTTATTTCCGTTGTCTGGTACCTGTAACACAAGTTCTTTACGAACTTACCACGGGACCAGTTAACGTGGCGTGATTGTTAGTAAATATTTATTTATTTATTATTATTATTATATTATTATTTTAGTGTTAATAATTAGCAATTGAAAATTACTGGAATTATTATAAAATGGGTGTAGTAGGTAAGCCTCAAAACTACATGTATATGAAAAAACGTATTTGACAAAATATGCGACATGTGCCCTTTTCGAAATCGCATATTCAATTATAAAGATAAATGTCGCGTGTTAAGCGAGATGCCGCTTAATCCCAATTGCTTTTCATCCCTAGAAATATAGTACATTTAGGAACAAATCCATATAAGTATGTTTATCAGTCTCTGGTACCGATAATAGAGGGAATACTAAATTGGGACCGGATAATTGCGTGATTTGTTCCCATTTGTTAGTTGTTATTATTATTTATTTACATATATTTATTTAAAATCTTATTAATTACATAATATTTTTTAAAAAAGATATTAAAAATACAATTTTTAAAAAACACTATATAAAAATAGATTGCCGCTGATGGCGGTGTCTACGACACAAGCCACCAGTGGTTAGGACTCCAGAGTGAGAAACCTCCTCACAATGCGTGCAGTATCGAGGATAACTGCTTTCTGTATTAGGCCCTTAACCCAGCTGGATAACGAAAGTTTCTTAAGATGTTGATCGAAACTTTTCGCTATCAAGTCGCTATCAACCGACACAACTATTGGAACAATGATGGTTGAATCAACATGCATTATTAACATTATTTATTATTAAACTATTTCAAAATTAATACGGCAACTAATCAAATATCCGTATTTTGAGGTTTGTCTTTTTAATGTTTTAATTTGAACAGTGCCTTTAGAATCAACTAGAAGTGCATGTTCGTCGATTTTGGTGTTTTTTTTTTTTTTAAATTACGCATTAAAGCAATTTTCATTCTTTATTGAATTTGAATTTTTTTGTTATTTTGGATAATCTTTCGTTTGATTCGTGATGCGTTTTCACTTGCAGCACGGGCTTCGGCGATTCTAAACACTAACAATGCATACATACATACTCCTATATACATACATCACTTGCAAACCAAATTTGTTCGAACATAATTTTAAGGTATTCATTTTTTTTGAACGATCGTGTAGCCATTTTCGTGAAGTATATAAAAAATATGCAACATTTTAAAATTTTTTAAGTAGGTAACTTTACTAGTGGTAGGACCTCTTGTGAGTCCGCGCGGGTGGGTACCACCGCCCTGCCTATTTCTGCCGTGAAGCAGTAATGCGTTTCGGTTTGAAGGGTGGGGCAGCCGCTGTAACATACTTGAGACCTTAGAACTTATATCTCAAGGTGGGTGGCGCATTTACGTTGTAGATGTCTACGGGCTCCAGTAACCACTTAACACCAGGTGGGCTGTGAGCTTGTCCACCCAACTAAGCAATAAAAATAAATGTATCCTGTAATCGGGTTACAATGTAATTTTATTATTTGCGCGTTTTGAATAAAAAAATATTGCCCCTTTAGGCAGACGAGCGTACGGCTCATCTGATGGTGAGTGGTTACCGTCGCTCATGGACGTCAGCAATGCCAGGGGCAGAGCCAAGCCGCTGTCTAAATCTAATCCATAATAATCACCAAATTTTGATCTGTCTCGATTATTTTAGTACAAGTATTAAGATAAACTGTTGGATTATGTTCTGACAGAGATGGCACGCTTAGATAAGTTTATATTTTTATTTTTTTATTGCTTGGGTGGTTGGAGGAGCTCACAGCCCACCTGGTGTTAAGTGGTTACTGGACCCCATAGACATCTACAACGTAAATGCGTCACCCACCTTGAGATAAGCTCTAAGGTCTCTAAGTTAACTTGATATGCCGTGTATCATTTGTGTTCGAAGGTGGTTAACGCGAAACCACGAATTAATTCATTGTCCCAAAGACTAATTTTTTATTATTAGTATATAATAATATCGCACTTAAAGGATTGAAGTGGCTAAAGTAAACATTTTAAGAAAATGAGTCTTATACTTTGAACGACTTATTAACATTGTATTCTATCAGTTTATAAAACAAAATTTAAATTTTTGTTCGAAAAAGACAAAGTACACTTTCCATCACTTTTTAAATGAAGCGCATACTTTAAACTTTAAGGTGTGCGCTTTAAGGCTTAAAGTATTAAAATCAAAAGTGAAAAATTTCAATTCTTATTTTTGGCGTTTACAAAAAAAAAAAAAAAACAAGTATTTTAGATTAAGCCACTTCAATTCTAAAGGTGCAATGTATCGATTGATTCTTTTCTAAATATCGCTTCACGAAAATGACTGCACGTTTCGATAATCATAGAGGCATCATTAGGCGTTCTTCATTTAACAAACTAACAGATTTGGATCACAACGGATCGGTGTAAAGAAATACATTGCGTGTTCTGACGGCACCGGCGTAGACAGTTCCGCGCACGTAGCCATCGACGGGCAAACACAAACTTATCCGAGCAGTTGAGTGGTGAAATTTGATGCGCCGATATACCGGTGGCGTTTGAGAACTGCCAAAGTTTCACGACTGGTTTTCTTTTAATAAAATAAAAAAAAGACTTAACCTAAATTCATGCGGCTTATAACCGAATAACGCTTGCTTCGTTGGCCGTAATAAAGTAAACTCTCAATTGCCTGCGTAAGTTTGGACGTTCGTAACTAATGTAATCTCTGACAGGGGGATGTAAACAGTACGAACTCGGAAGTGACGTCAGCCGAAGAAACCCCGTTCGCCACGCCCGATAGGTCGCCGGAATTGAGGAGAAACGAAAACGAACCAGAGCCAAGGATAGCGACTAGCATTAGTGTAACCGACTGTGATAATATTGATAGTAGTTTAAGCAATAATGATACAAGAGAAGACGACGACGTTGTCTGCGCTAATGAGATTAGCAGGGACGAAGCTGTCAATGAGACGGTCAATACGGAAGCCGATGAGACAGAAAGAGACGGAAACAACACAAACGCTCAAGACGACGCAGACGATAACGATCAGGCTAGTCAAGACACCGTCGACAATGGAAACGTTCTACAGCAAACCGAGAACAATGGAAACGATCTTAACGATGAAACAACGAACGAAGCGCGCATAGAACAACCAGTTATTGAAGACACGTTGACGTTCGACGAGAATCACTTTAGTACGCCGACAGGCGGGGTCTCTCCGGAGAGGTCGCCGCGGACACGACGCCGGAGGACCACGACCAGCTCGATGGAGGACTCGGAGGTAAGGAAACGAATGGACGGGGCAGCGGGGTGTGACGAGCCCATCAAACGGCTAATAGTTACTAAAGCAATAAAATTGATTTTAGAACAAAATTATAAATGATTATGAAAGTATCCTCCCCGTCACATTCCGCCCTCCTCCACTACCATCCCGCGTGTAATGTTGTCGATGAGGAGTGATACGACGCTGCCGCGGTATCTATAAGTGCTTAGGTCGCCAAATCGACCGGACACAGGCACTTATACTTATAGTTGTGACGTCATTACACTAACACTCCCGACTTGTGGCTGTATTCAATTGAATATCGAATTCGTTTACATCATTACGATTTGAATACGGTTCCGAAAAGCTCTGTCTTTTTCGTTCTAGTCGTTCTCCTATTAGAATGAAAGAGACGACAATATTTCCGTATTAACACATTCACGTAACGGCTTACATTTATTTCATTATTAAAACATTCATGCGTTTCGCTTGTGCTTTCCGCTTTTTTCTAATCGTAGCTTGCTTTTTAATATGTAGTTAGTTGGTGTTGTGGTAAATGTTACCAAAATAATAGGTTAAAAAAATTATCGAATCGATTTGTAAACAAAAAAATCGATTAGATTGATTATCGATAATCGTGTATTATGATGTAGTTTAAACTTTACCTATATAACTGTACTAAGTATCTTACGATAAATTAATTTAAAAATATGCTTTCGTTATGGGGTTAAATATTTTATAGGAGAAGCTAAATAATGTTCACATTATAAATATACATATGTACACCACATTCCATGCATATGAGAATACACACTGCGCAAAATGTATGAGGGATGTAGTGCCAAATATAATCTAGGGTTGTCTGATCAGCGCTGCATGTTTTTTAGTGCACACACATTTACGACACTGTTAAATTTGTCGCCCTGGAGCTTCCTGATTCGATCTTATTAATTCAAATGAAAATTACATAAACTTTAAAAAAAAAAATTAAAAAAAGATTTGGGTATTATTCTCTCACGATTTGGCACTGCATATTAAGCTTCGGGTAGCCCTATGGTTATTTTTTCTAATTGACCTAAAATGTTTTGTTAAATAGGACGAGACCGATGGCTCCACCGAAAGCACGAGGAGTAGCGCCAGCAGCAGCCAGAGTCAGAACTTGCCCAGCAGTGAAGGTAACACTTGAACTGACCAGGAGATTTTATATTAAGATACCAGAAAACCCGGAGAAGTGCAGAAAGAAATTGGAAAACTAATCTGTGTACTTCGTATTTATGTGTCCACGTTCGGTCGCGCTAGGGCTGTCAACTTCGACTTATGCAAAAATGTGTAATGTGAAAAATAAGAACTATGGTGGTGACCCTAGTATCTAAATGTTTGATTGATTGACAATGAAACAGGAAGGCGAGAAAAAAAGAATCTGAATCTAATGAAGCTTAATATTATTTAAACTATTACAAAAAAAATTAAACTGTCGAAAATAACCTTATCTTACTTACAAATAGAAACTAATTTAGTGAAATTTTCGTAACTTGTCATTAGACGTTTAATTGTCAGCTCGCATTTTTAGGTACCATAATCTTGCCTATTTCTGCCGCGAAGTAGAGAAAAATGAGTTGATACACACAACGAGGACAAAAATTTAATGTCCAATTACTTTCTTTCCATTTGAAAGGCTTACCTCCTGGTTGGAGTATGCAGAGAGCGCCCAACGGCAGGATATTCTTCATAGACCACAACAAGAAGACCACCACGTGGATAGATCCCAGAACCGGTACGATTATATAAATACATGGAGATAGACTTTAAAATAATTTCTTTTTTTGCAATCTCTACACTATACAGGGTGTATTTTTATGTGTGGATGCGGAGAGACTCGGCTAACTACGAAATAATAACGCATCCTGTGATTGATAACGTTGCTAATAATTTCCGGGAAAATTTTAAGGACCTTAATTTTGTTTTAAAAAGCATCTTATGAATTTTTGTTTATTTGTAGGTAGTATAGTCGATAATTGTAAATAGACATGCTTGAACAAAAACTGACTTCAAATAGAAAAAAAAAACAGATATTCCAAAACAAATTAATATACACTAAAAACAATAATCATCGAAATCGGTTGGCGTGATATTGAATTATTGAGTTATTCATCTATTTGTCGCGCACGTACTTCATGCAAATTTGTGACTTCTAGACGTTTCACATTTTCACATGGATACCATTATCAGAACTGGATTCAACCACACGGGAAGCGTCAGCTTTCTAATAAAAAAAGAATCATCAAAATCGATTCACTGTGTCAAAAGTTATATGAGGTAACAAACATAAAAAAAATTTAGCGAATTGAGAACCTCCTCCTTTTTTGAACTTGGTTAAAAATTATATTAGTTGCTAAAACAATAACTCGACTTGAAATTGTCTCTCTTGGAAATCCGAACTGTTTTGATTTGGTTTTTTAAACGGTTATAGTAGTGCCGGTCCTTCCTGACTGAGCCCTTGCTCGCCCACCTGTACCTACTGGTGAAACTGGAAAGGCCACCGGGCCACCAGTAATCTTTCAATCATAAAAAAAGTAGTGCCGGCCGTGAGCAGAAAGAGAGAATAAAAAAAAAGAGCTCTAATTACAGCCGAACAGGGTATTGTGTTGTGTGATTCACTGCAGTAAGTGTTTGGCACGTCAGGTTGCGCGTCCAGCCTGCCCAGCGCGGAGGCGGGCGGTGCGGGGGGTGCGGGGGATGGGGACGAGCTCGGCGCCCTGCCCGAGGGCTGGGAGGAGCGCGTCCACACCGACGGCAGGATATTCTTCATCGACCACAGTGAGTCTGTTCGCTATATTTAACTTGTCTACATTTCTATCTGACTAGCTGTACCCGTCCGCTTCGCTGGCCATTTAAAATGATCCTTATTATTTCTCACCCCCACAAAGATTCTCATAATTAACGCCCCCGCAACTGGTGTAGGGAGTCAAACACTCATATAAATATTAGCCTATCCATTAAATACGTGGATTTTCTACATGGACACCAAATTTCAAGTCAATCGGATGCATGGTTCAGTAGTTATAACGGAACATCCGTAAAAACCACTGTAGATTTATATATTAGTATAAATTACTGGAGAATTGTTCTCTGCTCGTTACACTCTCTACACGTTAAGGTGAAGCTGAAATAGCCTCTCAAGGCTATAAGAACTTAACTAGACGCGACCTGAATGTCCTCGTCCTTAACAACCTTCGCTCTACAACTGCATATTGTACAACCAAGCGCTTTGGGTGATCTAGCAAAATATGCATTATTGCAATGCACTAAGAACTTGGTGAAAACGACTCAAGGCAGCCTCATGACGTCGAACACGTTCCTCAGATACGCGTACCACACAATGGGAGGACCCTCGCCTCTCCAACCCTCAAATCGCTGGACCGGCCGTGCCTTACTCGAGAGATTACAAACGGAAATACGAATACCTTAAGAGTCAACTTCGTAAGCCTGTAAGTCTTTTGAACAGCACAGTCTATGACATTGACAATGTAATTAGGTCGTCAATTATGCGTGCAATGCTTCTGACATAGCTGATGTCGAAGAACGATAATAATAATCTCAATTGAAAAAGCTGTAGGCTTGTGTACTTTCACTAACAAACAAAATTGATAAAATTTATTTTATTAATGGAAATAAGTTTGTATACATGTAGTTAGACAGGTAAAGCTATGTGCTTAATTAAACCGCAGATGGGCTGTAAGCACATCCGCCCATGGGCAGTAATAAAATATTGAAAATAATGTCTATGGCAGCGGCACGAGAGCTCTCCAAAATGTAATAAAAGGTAACTTGTGAATAAATGGGTTTATATGGAAGTCCCTACTATTTGTTTACAGAACAACGTGCCAAACAAGTTCGAGATAAAAGTGCGTCGGAACTCGATATTGGAAGACTCGTACCGCATCATCAGTTCGGTCAGCCGCCTGGACCTGCTCAAGACTAAGCTGTGGGTCGAGTTTGAATCTGAAGTGGGGCTAGGTGGGTAAACTGACAAACCTGGTTTCCTCCTCCTCTCTGGTTTTTTAAAGTAGAAGTAATTTTTGAACATGTGTTAAGTACGCATTTCATGAGAAAAAATCACCTGCGGGACTTTCCCTGACACTCATGCAGCTGACGCGAAATCTTCAAAATCCTAAAACCGTTAACTAAATTGTGCGATTGGTGCGCAGATTATGGCGGCCTCGCCCGCGAGTGGTTCTTCCTGCTGTCGAAGGAGATGTTCAACCCGTACTACGGCCTGTTCGAGTACTCCGCCATGGACAACTACACGCTGCAGATCAACCCGAACAGCGGTGTGTGCAACGAGGAGCACCTCAACTACTTCAAGTTCATCGGCCGCGTGGCGGGCATGGCCGTGTACCACGGGAAGCTCCTGGACGGTGAGTCGCCAGCTCGCACTAGCCCTTTTGTAGCGAAAAGGGCCTTACGTTTAGATTTTCGCGACAAACTCAAACTCGCGTGCGTCTATTGAGTCCGCCAGGGTCCGTATTATTCCCGTTTTCAGGTAAGGACCTGAGTACCTCTAATATAGAACTGTTTTATCCAATATTAATGATGTACAGTAAGATAAATGTACCTTCATTTGAGTGTCGCAATTTTGTAAAGAGTACGTTAGGTACTTCACTGAATTAGATAATGTGCTCTAATCCGTGTCTCAAATTGCATCTCGGTGCCCTGACCCCGGCTGCTAGACATGGGTCTAGCTCTAAAACCTTTATGGTGTAAGGAAACAATATTAACGAATGATGTATCTATCTCTTCAGCGTTCTTCATTCGACCGTTCTACAAGATGATGCTGGGTAAAGCCATCGATCTACACGACATGGAGTCCGTGGACTTGGAATACTACAACTCTCTGATGTGGATCAAGGTACGCTCTGATGAGATTATACTACTTGTTGCGAAATGATCCGCCCGCTGCAAGACAGTTCGATCTCTTCGGCTTTTAGCGAAGCTATCAGCCGTTTTTTTTTCTCTATTTTTTTTGTGTTAGTGTGTTCGCACGGCTTAGTATTTCTCTGGTGTCAATCGCGAATCAGTAATGAGTTTCGAAGCGAAAGGTGGGCCAGCCGTTATACTTATACTATTGAGACTCCGTTCTCATGTCTAAAAGCGGTTTTTGACAGTTATGTAGTGATGACTACGAGCTCCGGTATATATTTAACACGTGAACTGCCATGTAGGTCACCGGTGCCCTACGTGACGCACTGAACTAATTATGTTGATTTTTCTCTTCGATCTTCTTACTAAGACGCCGGAATATCTAGTAGACTCTGGGAAAGACGAATCTGAAGATATTGAAAAATGAATCTATTCCTAAGAAGGCTAAAGGACTAAAAATTGCATTAAAAACAAAAGAAGGCAAAATTAGGCAATCCAGACGCTTAGTGACAGAAATCGATATAATTCCTTCAGGGCGCCACGTAGGGCACCGGTGACCGGTGAAATACATTAATAAATTGTAATGTATAACGTTACAACTGTGACTAAATCAATAAATTCGGTTTGAAGAGTTTTTTTTTTATTGCTTTGATGGGTGGACGAGTTCACAGCCCACCTGGTGTTAAGTGGTTACTGGAGCCCATAGACATCTATAACGTAAATGCGCCACCCACCTTGAGATATAAGTTTTAAAGTCTCAATATAGTTATAACGGCCCCACCCTTCAAACCGAAACGCATTACTGCTTCACGGCAGAAATAGGCAGTGTTAGCAGGGTCGGCAGGCTTGTGAGTCTCGGATTACCACCAGTACTTGTTTGTAACGGTATCGTGTCACGGCCTGATGTCCACGGACTGCTGTGGCTTGAGCCATGTCTAATAAAACTTGTCTGCGCGCAGGAGAACGACCCGTCGGAGCTGTACCTGACGTTCGCTGTGGACGAGGAGCAGTTCGGCAAAACCGTGCAGAGGGAGCTGAAGCCGGGCGGCTCCAACATACCCATTGACAACGACAACAAGCTGGAGTACATCAAGTTAGTACAGCTTCATAATATTTAATTAGCGTTCATGTCAACCCTACTGTGTTCCCTTGTAAGGGCGCCGTGTTCAATTTAGTACAGCTTCATAATATTTAATTAGCGCTCGTGTCAACCCTACTGTGATCCCTTGTAAGGGCGCCGTGTTCAAGCAAGTACAGCGTCATAATATTTAATTAGCGTTCGTGTCAACCTTACTGTGTTTCCTTGTAAGGGCGCTGTGTTCAAGCAAGTACAGCTTCATAATATTTAATTAGCGTTCGTGTCAACCTTACTGTGTTTCCTTGTAAGGGCGCTGTGTTCAAGCAAGTACAGCTTCATAATATTTAATTAGCGTTCGTGTCAACCTTACTGTGTTTCCTTGTAAGGGCGCTGTGTTCAAGCAAGTACAGCTTCATAATATTTAATTAGCGTTCGTGTCAACCTTACTGTGTTTCCTTGTAAGGGCGCTGTGTTCAAGCAAGTACAGCTTCATAATATTTAATTAGCGTTCGTGTCAACCTTACTGTGTTTCCTTGTAAGGGCGCTGTGTTCAAGCAAGTACAGCTTCATAATATTTAATTAGCGTTCGTGTCAACCTTACTGTGTTTCCTTGTAAGGGCGCCGTGTTCAAGCTAGTACAGCTTCATAATATTTATGTAGCACTCGTGTGTAGCAACCCTACTGCGTTCCATAGTAAGGGAGCCGTGTTCGAAGACGCAAGGACGACATACCAGTACTTAAAGGTCTATCATTCTAAGGGCGCATTGTGAGTCCCCACGGGTAGGTACTACATCCTGCCTGTATCTACTCGAAAGTCATGTGTACCAGTTTGAAGGGTGGGCCAACCGTTATAAAAATAAAATATTGTTACGCGCTGGGGTTCGGGATAAATAAAATTCTACCGAATTACAAAATAAAAACTGTATTCAATACTTAAAACATTTAAACACTTCACAAACACGCGTGCCATCTCTGCAACGCTTTTATAGTGGACACCTCATCCCTAGAATTATCGAGAATATTCCACACATCTCTAGTAGTAGTTTCCGCTATCTGTCAATAGATGGCGTTGTACGTCTCGAACGTTCTAGGTGCCACTAGTTCCTTCGATATTCGTTCGACTATTCGGCGATAGATGGCGTTACTCTTACCGGCGTAACAGTGTATAAAAATATTAAAATTATATTGCAAAACTTTGGTTAAGTCGCCGATCTTTTATTTTAGTAAGTAAATGTAAATTAATAGTGTATTCATTTCCTAAACATGAATATCTGGCTGTCCACAGGCTAGTGATAGAATGGCGGTTCGTTAGTCGAGTCGTGGAGCAGATGGTCGCCTTCCTGGACGGGTTCGGGGCGCTGGTGCCTCTGCCCCTGCTGAAGATCTTCGACGAGCACGAGCTGGAGCTGCTGCTGTGCGGGATCCAGCACATCGACGTCCGAGACTGGCGCGCCAACACGCTGTACAAGGGAGACTACCACGCCAACCACCTCGTCGTGCAGTGGTTCTGGAGGGTCAGTACCAGCCCCGGCATTGTTAGCGATAGGGCGGCGTTACTTGCCCCGACACGTTACTGTCTATACATTGACAATACATTGAAGTCGTCGTGGCCTAAAGGATAAGGGTACCAATTTTTCTAATGAAATACGTACTCAACAAATGTTCACGATTGACTTCCACGGTGAAGGAAATAAACATCGTGTAATAAAAATTAAACCCGCAAAATTATAATTTGCGTAATTACTGGTGGTAGGACCTCTTGTGAGTCCGCACGGGTAGGTACTACCACCCCGCCTATTTCTGCCGTGAAACGGTAATGCGTTTCGGTTTGAAGAGTGGGGCAGCCGTTGTAACTATGCTGTCTTAGAACTTATATCTCAAGGTGGGTGGCGCATTTACGTTGTAGATGTCCACGGGCTCCAGTAACCACTTAACACAAGGTGGGCCGTGAGCTTGTCCACCCATCTAAGCAACTAGCTGTACCTGTCCGCTTCGCTGGGCATTTAAAATTAACATTATTATTTCTCACCCCCACAAAGGTTCTCATCATTAACGCCCCCGCAACTGGTGTAGGGAGTCCAACACTCATATAAATATTAGCCTATCCATAAAGTACATGTATTTTCTACACGGACACCAAGTTTCAAGTCAATCGGAAGTATGGTTCAGTAGTTCTAACGGAACATCCGTAAAAACCACTGTGGATTTATATATTAGTATAGATAAAAAAGCAAACCGTGTTGGTCCGCAGGTGGTGCTGTCGTTCTCCAACGAGATGCGGTCCCGGCTGCTGCAGTTCGTGACGGGCACGTCGCGGGTGCCCATGAACGGCTTCAAGGAGCTGTACGGCTCCAACGGGCCCCAGCTCTTCACCATCGAGAAGTGGGGCTCGCCCGAGAACTACCCGCGCGCGCACACCTGGTCAGTGCACCCGCGTGGCCTTACGTGCTGCGAGAGACTCTTGTTGTCTTAGTACTGTGGCGGCAGCCATCATACAACGCAAGATAATTGACAGATGCCTGAACCTCGCTTACGACATTTTCAAGATAAAGCGCTACAAGTTCCGAACAACAACATTCGGACCGTCGGTCTACCGAGCAAATATCACCCGCTCGGCGGAAGGTATTTCCTCCGTCGTTTAAGCCTCCCCAAAGTACTTTCAAACCCGATCCTGTAGACCGAATGGTAAACAGTCGACGTCGCCCTAAACACGTCATTACGGATCCGCCCGATCCATTAACGGTGCTTTTAGGCATCACAAGCACCGGTCCCGTCCTCGTCGAACCCGTCGCTTACGACAAAGGGCTCGACGAGTGAATTAACCCATAGACCTAGCCTACTGATCGCGTTTCCGATCCGGTGGTAGATTCTGTGAAGCACTGCTCTTGCTAGGGTCAGTATTAGCAACACTCCGGCTTGAGCCCCGCGAGCTCACCTACAAACGTTAGGGTGAAGCTGAAATAGCCTCTCAAGGCTATCAGCATAGGCAGGAAAAAAAAAGTACTTTCAACTCCTGTAACCGAGGTATAAGCCCGCACGAGTAGAACCGCCATGCTCTCTATTTCTACCACAAAGCCAGGATGTGTTCTCGTCTTCATAACAACCGGACTATGATCCGTCCGCTGGTCCATGATACATTATTATTATAATTTTATTGCTTAGATGTGTGGACGAGCTGACGGCCCACTTGATGTTGAGTGGTTACCGGAGCCCATTAACATCTACAACGTAAATGCCGCCACCCACCTTGAGATATAAGTTCTAAGGTATAGTTCAGTATAGTGACAACGGTTACACCCTTCAAACCAAACCGCGTTACTGCTTCACAGCAGAAATGGCGGGGCGCTGGTACCTACCCGCATCCTACCACTAGTAACTTGTCTTTTCAGTTTCAACCGTATCGATCTACCGCCATACGAGAGCTACCAGCAGCTCAGGGAGAAGCTGATCAAGGCCATCGAGGGCTCGCAAGGGTTCGCCGGAGTCGACTGAACGACGTCGCCAAACCGAGACCCTGATCAACTAACAAAAGACAAGAACTGAAGGGCATGACTGAGGCTGTGTTCAGGGTACAAGCGAGACGAACCCGGGCCAAGGATTGTGCTACAAATATTAATTATTTTTATTTACACCGTCTGGTGTTCTTTCAAAAAATTAATTAATTACCTTTGTTTCGATTCAACGCAAAATATAATATTTTATTTGTTCTCATAACACTTGTGTACTTAAGTGTACTTAAGTGCAAACTTCAAGGCGTATCTACATTTAGAAGACATTTCGATCTCGGGGCGTGCGCGGGACATTCGTGACGGAACACATAATTCACTTGTAGAACTAACGTTTTAGTAGATGCATCAGCGCTCGCGCGGGGACATTGACCCCACTCTTTTTATGACGTCACCCTCAAAATAAAACATCTGTTTGTATTGCATTTAATGTCATTGCGTGAGCACTATGATCGACCTTTGTTCAAGAGGCGGTAAAAATAATAAGCTAAAATCTGATTAAGTGTTCTTAAAAACCTTTCGCATGTCCACTTCAAGTCTATAGTATAGTACGCTTCATAATTAATATTTATCAATAACAAAATTTAGTAACTGTATAAAAAGATATGGGTTCGCATTTCTATATTGCGACGAATTTTGCGCGCTTCTTACACGCGTGCACTCTATCGTGTAGCAATAAGACTTAAATTTAAATATAACAAGATTCTGTTATGTTGGCCATAATCAGAAATTGAGGGGACGAATTAAGTAAGGAGTTTAGTCGTCAACGAATTTCTGTGAGCAATAGTAACTCCGGCGCTAGTTTTTGCTATAAAAAAGTTTTTTTTTAATTTACGTTCCATAGAGTTTTTAATGCCCTCCCATACTTTACAAATAGTATCTAAATTTATATAAAAATAATAATTATTATTATTATTTAAAATGCATGGTGCATTTTAAACAATTATATACATTAATTCCCTTGCAGTATCGAAATGTAACGCATAGTTGAATTGTTCAGAAGGAATTTTCATTATTTTTATTTAACGCAACACGATAACNTTACGTTCCTTAGAGTTTTTAATGCCCTCCCATACTTTACAAATAGTATCTAAATTTATATAAAAATAATAATTATTATTATTATTTAAAATGCATGGTGCATTTTAAACAATTATATACATTAATTCCCTTGCAGTATCGAAATGTAACGCATAGTTGAATTGTTCAGAAGGAATTTTCATTATTTTTATTTAACGCAACACGATAACATAAATTAGTAGGTACCGCGTTTGCTTCTCTGAACGTGTTTGACGTTTCGAGCGAGCTGTCACTGTCACTCACAAGTGTCAAAACAGAAAAGTCATAAAAATAAACGCGGGAATCCTATTTATTATTTTATGTGGCTCTGTGGAGGCGGCAATGTGGTTTTTTTTACGTTTATTAGTTCCTTGTGGTATGTACATGAGTGGTGTATTACCAGAGTAATGAACATCAGGTAAACCGTGACACGTGACATGGAAATTAAAATATTTTTAATCGCAAAAGTAAATTTTGATTTTATTTAGTAACTGTAAAAAAAAGCATATTGTCCGCCATAAGTTGATTCGTGGAAGTTTTAATTTTTATTATAAATTTATGAATTGTAAAAAATCTATACATCTATATACATAGACGAGAAAGCAATAATAGAAATTACTATACTATAGTAGTGGCGACGCGATTATGTCGCTTACAAATGAATTATTGTATAGATATAAACGCGTTTATTTTAGTAATAATTACGAAAACGAGTGCCTATTGTTTCCTCTTAAATATATTATATATATATGAAAAATAAAATCGTATATGTAGATTATATTATGTATATAATTAAAGTTCGTTATAAGGAATTTAATTTAAATTAAAACTTTAAAAAAAAATACAATCACGTAGTCAATTTTGATTTTGTCAAATTACTAATTTAAAATTGCGATCAAATTAACTGTTTGGACAAGTAATTGGAAATATCCCGCGTATTTTTCATATTTTAATTCAAGATGGTAGCGTACCGTCTTCTTCTACTGCGCAGTTACCTTGGGTTCCTATTTGAAGGAATATGTCTGTAGTCGTCGCGCACTTGAGACATCGACCTCAAGTCTCAAGACGGCGGTATTCACGTTAAAATATCCACGGGTTCCGGTGACAACTTACAGCCTAGTGGGTCGTGATCATTGAGACTAACAATAGAAACGTTCTAGCTAGGACGGTAGTAAACGAGATGATGGAAGCATCTCAAACAATTCCTCAAAGCACTCCCCATATACGATGGTGGTAAATCTGATGGTGAGATATTCACATCAACGTATACGTCAGCAACGCCGAAGGAAACTTCTAGATACTTTTTGGCTCCTGCCAAGTAAGTACTCTGTGACATAAGTGTGCCTAGTGCGAGTTTCTTAACGTTCTCGATAGCGTAAAAGTTAACCCAATTTTGTATGCAGTTGGAACAGCGCCCCTAGCGGCAAACGTACGCAAACGATCCCGTTCCATACAAATATGAGCTAACTTTTACGCTATCGAGAACGTTAAAAAACTCGCACTAAGCACACCTATTAGTCAATGTCACTTGTTTTATTTCCGTCCTTGTTTAATCTTGAGATTTCTTAAAGTATTTAAAAAAAAGAAACCTTTATTTAATCGTATTCGCTTTAAGGTGGTCTGTCGATGTGTATTTTAATATGAAATTAGAAAAACAATTTCCGCTCTTCGCAATTGAAAAACAAAAAAAAAGGCATATGGTAATTATTATTTTTTAACATACCTTAATTAAGTCATACGATGTAATGATGCTTCTCCGTCAGCTATGTTAACATGTTTGGTGTGAATAAAGTTTGTCGGCTCAATTGCGAATAGTGATAGGGCAAACTGAAAAGGATTTAAAAATTTTAATTAATGTTCTTCAATGTATTCAATATTTTTGCACTTATATTCAAATTTTGCATCACTCCACGAACTTGTACACATAATCTGATGTGATAGTAATAGTATTTTATAAACAAAAACATTGCAACGACTCTTTTAAATGAGAAAATCGTTTTTTCATGACAAACACCCGAACTGTCACATCTGACAGCTGTCAAGACAGCTGTACGTGTCGGACCGGGCTCATACATCCGGTTACCTGATTAATGTTTGATATTGAAAATTTACTGAATTTTAAATATAATCGAAACATTGTACGTGCGTATTTGTAGAACTTCAGAACGGAAATGAAAATAACAATTAATTATTATTACTCAGTGCCATGTCAAAACATCAAACGTGGAATAACGTATATTCAAATTTTCACCTTATACGAACTATGGAGGGTAGAGAATACCGTCTTGTTTAAGGGATAAGTTGAAAAAGTTTTCACCCGTAATGAGCAAGTTCGAAGGCTCACCGAAATAGGTCTAGTGTAGGAAGTGGAAATGATATGAATATAGCAGTTAAAACAGAGTGAAGGGTGTTGGATTGAAGTGAAGTGTTCAAATCTTTCCATTTGCTACTATGGCGCCATCTTTATTGACTCCTTTTTAGCGGACGCTTTTTCCTACACTGTTTTTTTAAGGGATTTTATGACCTGGTAACTAAGACCTTTAAGTCATGTCTTATTTTAATTTATATTCATATTTTTATGAAAAATGTTATTATGGAGTGAAATGAAATGAAGATGATTAATTTGAGATATTAATCAACTGGGATGAAATTAATTCAAATAAGATGAGATGATATGGGATGAAATATAATCTCAGTAAAGTGGTGGTCATTTACTAAGATTTTTTCAGTGGACCTTTTGGAGGATCCCGAGATGTTACGTCCAGCGGCTTTGTTTCATTTTCCCACATTTGTACACTTTCACAGATATTAAACAGTTAATAAACCACCATTATTAGACATTTAAACCTGAAGAAACACTAAATAGACAAAATAAAACAAATCACACAACTTCACTCCACGCGTTCCCGTCAAAAAGTCCTTACTACACTGTAATGTTGCGCTTTATATGTACCCTCTATAAACCGAACGAATACAGACTTCAAAATATTATGACAAATGGAACCATGTGTAGGAACCACAAATGTCCCCACAGCAACTAATAATTATATGTATGTGTTAGCGGTAATTATATTGCAACGATGCTACTTCAGTCTCGGCATTGTCGGGCTGTCGATAGCCTCGTTGCAATGTAATCCCAATATACGTTAGTCACTTAACTGAAAACGTGTCTTATTAATCCTTGCCCGATATAGAGACTAAACAGGTGTATAGAGTTCTTTTTATTATTATTGAGTTAATATTTGAAGTGATTGTTTGTATTAAATGTTAATGAGAGAATAAATGCAAATGTACGTCGGATTCATAGCGGATCGGTCAGTGTGCTTAGTGCGTGTTTTTTAACGTTCTCGATAGCGTAAAAGTTAACCCAATTTTGTATGCAGTTGGAACAGCGCCCCTAGCGGCAAACGTACGCGAACGATCCCATTCCACACAAATATGAGCTAACTTTTACGCTATCGAGAACGTTAAAAAGCTCGCACTAAGCACACTGGTGGCGATGGTCGCCCCACTCTCTGTTACTCCCAGTTCACAGATAGTAAATACTAAAATTGTAACGTACATACAACATACATCAACTTGTCTCGCTAGCCTGCTCAGTGCTATCGCGCCTACCCCTCAATCAAGACCCGAGCAGGTTCAAACTCGAAGTCATACATTATTGCCTTAAGCTGTGTGCTTAGTGTGAGTTTTTTAACGTTCTGGATAGCGTAAAAGTTAACTCAAATTTGTATGGAGTTGGAACGTTTGCTTACGTTTGCCGCTAGGGGCGCTGTTCCAACTGCATACAAATTTTAGTTAACTCTTACCGTATCGAAAACGTTGAAAAACTCGCACTAAGCACACTGTATTTACTCTAGTTGTCTTGTTTGAAATGTTTTTTTTTCAGCGTCCTAAATAAACGAATCGCATTTTCGCTTAGATTTATAAAATTATTATCGTAATTTTTATCCTTAAAGTAAAATACAAAAAGATATTTTCGTATTCAGCACATAAATGTAAATAAATTAGTTTTTAAGGTGTACAATAGAATGCTAAATTATTTAGGGAATATAAACGAAATTTAATTACGCATCCATTAAATGGTGAAGTTTATAACTAAAAAAAAAAAAAAATTATAATAATGGTAAAACGAAAAATTCTTTAAACATGTACCAGAATCCCATTCATCATTATTTTCTATTTATATTTAATTAGTAATGTTTCGTTAATGATTTCCATTGTTAATTAGGAATATTACTTAAGTTAGCTAGCGATGTGTATTTCAAATATTAGTTTCTTTTGAAGTTTTGACGTTTCTTTTTTTTTTGGTATTGAAAGCGAAAGCATTTTTTTTTTTCAAAATTTCAAGACATAGTAGCTACTCTTTTTACTTTTTTTTTGTCTACCTAATTCTAGTAACCTCAAACGGTAATACTAGGTTCACCGGACGTGATTGCGTATAGTACTTTAACAGATTTCAATTTAAAAACACACGATTTGGCGGTTTTTTTTTCATTCGCTGTTCTAACAAGGAAGATTGCGGTTATCCTGATGATTCCCACCCATCTGAATTTCTTTGCGTAACTTCGAAACTTCAAAGGAAGATGAAAATTTATATTCCATTATTAAAACGGTTTGGTGAGATTGTAACGCATCGGCGAAGAAACGCGCCGAGCATCCATCACCAGGACTGTGTAAAGATTCTAAAAATTAAAAATAATTATGCAAAATTATGAAGGCAATGTATTTTATTTTTGTCCCTTTTCACAGGTTCCTGTAGGAGTTTTTTTTATTTTATTTTGATTTATTGATGCACAAAACATTACAATCATTACAGTAATGTACTGTAATGTTTTGTGATATTTATTGGCTAAATCGTACAAGTAGTACTTAGATCTAATCTGGATTGCAATCTGAATAGTATGTGCACTCAGCAAAACCATGTTAATGTGCCTAGCTTTGGCTATTGAAAACACAATTGAAATTACAAATATTGATAAATAGCCATTGGTAAATAGGATAACATTTGACAAATTGACAAATCCCCTGAGTCTAGGTTCAAAGATATCAATGTTACACTGACATTTAGCCAAATCATTATACCGCCTGACCATTCTTACCATAGGGTATATATAGATTATAATTATTAAAAAGTGTTTTTTTTTTCTTCTGGACCTGTATGACGTACTATTGTAAGCTGTCATCTGTGTTGCCAAACTGGGAACACACAACTATTCGGGCGCCACTTGTCGTTTGTTGATCTTAATTTAATAGAAGTTACTCTAATTTGCCAATAATTGCACAAAATCCCAACTTAATGTGACGATTCGTGTGTGGAAGCATCTGTTGATGCTCTGACACAAGAAACAATCCTTCGAATCCATCAGATCCAGTAACACTTGCATTAAGCGCCTTTCGCTCTCACACATCAGCCCGCTGAGTTTCTCGCCTGATCTCAGATCTTTTAAGTTGCTAGGTCTTCTTTAGAGGCGCTTAGGTGGCTATTAACAAATTCCAAATTCCCCTCCTGGCTGAGCCCTTGCTCGCCCATCTGTCCTGGTGAAACTGGAAAGGCCTCCGGGCCACCAGCAATCCCCCAATCATAAAAAAGACAAGAAATTGACCGGACAGGAATAATATTGTGCAAAACGTGAACGTGTCCCCACTTTGGGGCGTTACTCAATAAATAGCTGGTTTAGCATAAACATTATTGCACTAACAACAAGTTTCAGTGCAACGTTTTGTTTCGCAAGTACATCTCGTGTTTCAAGGCGAACCGGCTCTGCTTACGATTTTGGGCCACGTTTCTCATATGTAAACGAAATTGTCGTTAAATAATGGCTCTATTGATTGATTTAGATATACATACTGGTGGAAGGACGTCTTGTAAGTCCGCAGGGGTAGGTACCACCACCCTGCCTATCTCTGCCGTGAAGCAGTAATGCGTTTCGGTTTGAAGGATGGGACAGTCGTTGTAACTATACTGAGAGAACTTATATCTCAAGGTGGGTGGCGCATTGACGTTATAAATGTCTATGGGCTCCGGTAACCGCTTAACACCAGGTAGACCGTGAGCTCGTCGACCAACCTAAGCAATAAAAAAAAAACAAAAAAAAATGTGTATGGTAGTGTGGGTGGGCACCTACCAACCGACGACCTAGTGAAAATTGCTGGGTCACGTTGAATGTAGGTGGCAAGAGACCGGCCGCATTAGATCAATTTTAGAGGCTTAAGCTCGGCAGTGGACAGCTATAGTCTGAAATCATAATGCTAAAATCACGCAGCCGGTAATATAAACTTTATCTGAAGCGGCAGAAGGTCGTTCCTTTCCGAGTACAAATGAAAGAACTAAACGTTTCGAGCGAACTTCACTCTTCGACTTATTGACAGATTTATCGAAGAAGAAATAAATCTATTAGTAGCCATTGTAGCCAGCCATTAAGAACAAAAGGTCCCAAGGGTGTCCAGTGATAATTTTCCCTAACCCCTAAAACTTTTGAGAATCCTTATGAAAATTTTACGTATAGCGTCTTTTTTTATTGCTAGATGGGTGGACGAGCTCACAGTCCACCTGGTGTTAAGTGGTTATTGGAGCCCATAGACATCTACAACGTTAAACGCGCCACCCACTTTGAGATATAAGTTCTAAGATCTCAGTATAGTTACGGGCGTAGACGGGCAATCTTTTCACTTAGTCCAGTGGCTGTCAAACCGCGTCTTTGACTCTTCAGCTACGGCTTCTTCGGCGATATGTTTAGTTCAAGCACGAACTATTACTTATTAACTTGGCTTGTAAGAGACTATTAAACGTTTTCGAAACATAATAAAAAAATATATTAAAAAAGAAGGCTCTTTGAATATATTTCAATTAGGTGTTATCTATATTTGGCTCTTTTGGTTGACAAGGTTGTCGACCGCTGACTTAATCTAATGCTGTAACCTATTGATAACACAATACGATGCCGGGGTCAACACCCAGAGACAACTTCGAAGCCTCAGTGACTAAGTAATAATCGCGGCTTACAAATCTAAATACGCGACGTTCGTGACACGAAAACCGCGCACTACACAAAAGACCCCACTCAAACATAGCTAAAAATTTTAAAAACAAAAAGTTCTCGCATTACACAAGTAAGTTACAAATATAGAAACACGCATTGCGAACTTATCATAATAACAATGAGCATAATGCAACACTTGTGTTTAAGAGAAATAGATTTGCTTGTTTCGCTGCGTATCGAAATACTGACGAAAGCGTCGGGGAAGGGACGCCGGCCTTATTGGCGTTGCGACAGCGCGCCGCCGGTGACAACACCGCGAGATGGTCCGTCTGCGGAGCGACTGCATTAGTGAAATGTGGTCGTTACTGATCGTCGTGAGCTCCGCGAGTGTCTGTCGGGGATTTAACGTGAACGGTGAGTTTATAATTGTCAAAAAGTTTGTGATGTGTTCGAGGAGTTTAACTTGTGGGTAAGGGTAATTAAAAAAAAAAGGGTGCGTGTGCTTATGTACGCGCGTAAGAAGTTATATTTTATTTTTATTAAATTTATTTTCTTTTTTTTTTAAATATGAAATAATTAATAATAATTTTATTTTTTATTTTTTATTGCTTAGGTGAGTGGACGAGCTCACAGCCCATCTGATGTTAAGTGGTTACTGGAGCCCATAGACATCTACAACGTAAATGCGCCACACACCTTGAGATATAGTTCTGAGGTCTCAGTATAGTCATAAATATTTAACGTTAATAATTTAATAATATTTAGTATGAATTATATTTAATAATAATTTTGTCATTTATATTACTAAAAAATGAATGCTACTAACACTTTTTTTTATGAGTGTACATGCGCGAAAGTTCACCTGCGGCTATATTCAGACTCGCCAAGTTACGTCGGTCGTATTGTAATGAGCAATTTAGTGGGCAACTTCATTCTGTTAATTTTGTGTCACGGTGCGCGCGCATCGTAAAATTTCACTCTCATCAATTTTTCATAACGCGCCTAAAGAAGTATAACTTAAAAAATGTTACATTTATTTTGCTCCTTTATTTATTGCATAGACTGGTAGACGAGCACACAACCCATCTGGTGATAATGTACGCCAACAACGTAACAACGTAAATGCCGCCACCCACCTTGAGATATGAGTTCTAAGGTCTCAGTATAGTTACAACGGCTGCTCCACCCTCCAAACCGAAACGCACTACTGTTTACAGGTTACAATAAACTCTACTACCACTACATAATTGAGAAGATTCACATATTTTTGCGGGTTTCATTATAATTGCACGATGTTGTATTACTGGTTAGTGGAAGCCGTTTGTGTTAAGTGTGTGTTTCCTTGGAAAAAATTGTCATTAATCCGTGTGTCGGCATCAGACGATAAGGGTGAATTTCTCATTAAACCACGGATACTTAAATCGAAGTTGAAGCACAGAGAAATACTGTAGGTACATTTTAGTCGGTTCGGGCGTTTCGTCAATTGAATAGGTTTTTAAAGGACATTTCGTTGTTTTCCAATCGATCCTTCTCTTCAAATAACGTTTATAATTGGAGCTCAATCGTGACGGAATCAGATATTCGCGCTCACGTTTGGCAATTAATTTTTTTCATTGTGTAAAGGAAAGCGAGCTGACGGTCCACCTATAAGTGGTTACCGGAACCCATAGACATCAATCACAGCGTGAATAAACTATCTGACATTAAGTCTAAATCTTAAATGTATAGTTATAACGGCAATTCCACCGTGATATGGGTATATGACAAGGCTGCATGTAGCTGCTATAACTAAAGGAATAATATTTATTTTTTAATTTACGGAAATGCCTCTTACTCTCGCTCTTGGCATCTCAATTCCAAGAATAAAATTTTTAGACCTATCATAAAATGGCCGCAGAACCAACAATAATTAAACTTGTTCAATTTATTTTAAATGAGAATTACTTTTTCATCGTTCAACCGTACAAGTAATATCCTCATAATATTTTTGTTACCTTGATTCCACTAGTCTCTTTAATTATTATCATGATTATTAGTAGAAGCGTTACTTGTAAGCTTTGTTTTTACTATCAACATGGCTATTCACGAAAGCACAGGATTCTTGGCCGCAATAATTTTGTTGGTCTCGTTTAGCTTATCTTCGGAACCTTGCTTATAGAGACGTCTTTTAACAATATATTTTAGTTATTAAATTATTATTATTGTTATTGTTATTTTTTAAGGTTTTTAGTTTGCGGTTCATTGTCAGAGTTTATTAAACTTTTATCACATCTATTTAAGAAAACTTTGTCGTAGAAATGTTTATATTATGTAAACGGTAATCTAACAAACATTTTCAATGGATTATTGAACACGATTTTTGTATTAACTTCTCCATGCCCTTATTCCACATCATATGGGGTCCACGCGGCATGTCACTATTCTCTTATCATGCTGCATAGGGACTTGACTTGAGGCTTGCGATCAGCCAACTGCCCGGTGTCAACCCTCGCTGAGTCTTCGAGTGTAATTAACGTAAAATAATAAAAGAGCCAGTGTGCTTAGTGCGAGTTTTTTAACGTTCTCGATAGCGTAAAAGTTTACACATATTTGTATGGAATGGGATCGTTTGCGTACGTTTGCCGCTAGGGGCGCTGTTCCAACTGCATACAAAATTGGGTTAACTTTTACGCTATCGAGAACGTTAAAAAACTCGCACTAAGCACATAGAATACTGTTAATACAAATTTTGAAACTTCAATAGCTCTGTGTTAACACGACATTATTTCTTCATCTTTGGTGTGCTCGCGCGATCTACATATAACTGTTCAAAGATTAATACATACCAGGATTACGATAATGTTTCATAATAAGTGAATGGATTTCATTAACACTTAATAGTATGGTTATATCTAGTTTCTGTGATGTCCATTTGTGGAGACCAATGTCAATAAGGAGTTTTTATTGATAGACTAGCTGACCCGGCAGACTTCATAGTGCCTCAATCGATAAATAAAAGACCCAAACTTTTGTATAAAATAAACTTAAAACAAACAAAAGAACCTCTATCTACCTTTTAAACCTTCTCTGGACTTCCACAAATAATTTAAAGCCAAAATTAACCAAATCGGTCCAGCCGTTCTCGAGTTTTAGCGAGACTAACGAACAGCAATTTTTCTAATGAAATACGTACTCAACAAATGTTCACGATTGACTTCCACGGTGAAGGAATAACATCGTGTAATAAAAATCAAACCCGCAAAATTATAATTTGCGTAATCACTGGTGGTAGGACCTCTTGGGAGTCCGCACGGGTAGGTACCACCGCCCCGCCTATTTCCGCCGTGAAGCAGTTAATGCGTTTCGGTTTGAAGGGTGGAGTAGCCGTTGTAACTATACTGAGACCTTAGAACTTATATCTCATGGTGGGTGGCGCATTTACGTTGTAGATGTCTATGGGCTCCAGTAACCACTTAACACCAGGTGGGCTGTGAGCCCGTCCACCCATCTAAGCAATAAAAAAAAAACAGCAATTCATTCTTATATATATAGATAGATGAGCCAACGAGCACACAGGTCATGATGTTTTGAGTGGTTCTAACACAGAGACATCTATCGTATCCTTCAGCCAATGACATCTAAACATAGGTCTCTCACAAGCCTTATCACAGGAAGGGACTCGCGCTGCCTGAATCCAGCGGATGCCTCACCTCAATAGGTCCTGGACATACAAAGACATTACAAGCGATAATAACGCTACTCACCTGGAGTTATGGTTGAAGTCTCAATAGAACTTTGTGACTGTTATACCTTGCAGACCAGAACATACTTCTTTAAGTCGGCTACAGTAAGGCAGAGTGAGCTTGGTACCTTCTTTTCTAGGTTTATACGACATCCGCTAACTCATAATGGCCCATAGATTTATTGGCCAGATTGGCGCATTTGTATCGGATGTACCATACACCCACAGCCTTCCTAATTATTTTCTGAAGCCAAAGGTAAAATTTATTACTAAGAAATGTGAACGATCAGGAGTACTGGCATTAGACAAAGTTATGACACTCAAAGGTCAAGTTTGCGTATGAATTCTCGTTGCGTATGTCAGTCTATTGTCAGTGTACAGTAAAAATAATGTAGAAAAAATAATAACCGTTCTACATTCGACGGAAGGTTGGATCTGTTAAATTTGCTTTCAAATAATATGCCCTCAATCTCAATTTTTATTTTTATTTTTTTTATTTAATTAAACTAACAATCACGCCACGTTAACTGGTCCCGTGCTAAGTTCGTAAAGAGCTTGTGTTACAGGTACCAGATAACGGAAATAAATGTAAGATTTTTATTATACACATACATATATTTAAGATACATCCATAACCAGGGTTCCAGGGAAAATACATTTTATATTTATCATACAAATATCCTCCCTTGGCGGGATTCGAACCCGCGACCCCCTTGTCTAGTGACCATGTTACTTACCGCTACACCAGACGGTCGTGACGCCAAATAATTAATCCTGACATTTTTTTCTGTTCTTCGTCGTTCTCTTCATTTGCAGAAGGTCGGGTCTAGACTGAATTTTCCAGGGATTAGAATTGCTAGTGACAATAATAAAAGAATAGTCTAGAAATTTCGATGTCACAAAACATCGATACGTCCGATAGAAATACAAAGTTTTAACCGAAGAACCATTTTTTCTAGACACATTCTTCAACTCCATACCTCCGCTTTATGCCCTGGACGATTGGACACAATGCCAGCAAGCCGGAGACGTGTACTGTACTGTCGACGCCGTGCTGAAAGTGGCGGAACCAAAATCATCATTACTCAGTTTATTACAGGTAATCAATCTTATTTCGTAATCCGACATCTAAAATTGGGTAGATTGTGGCTACTAATGTTGAAAAGCAAATGGACAAAGGCGAAGTATGAATAAATGTTTGTGTGTTAGTTATTGATGCGTGCTTCTAAGTGGCGTAAGAGAGAGAATTAATTTGCGTAATATAGTTTTGATCAAAACAGATAGCTTGCGCCAAGAAAATGGTTATTGGGTCGCGTTGTTAATAAACAATAGGGAGTTGATGAGATTATAATTATATAGTAGTTTTACCATCTGATTTGCAAGCTTCAACTTACACTTGTTTTGGGTACTTCAGAGAAGATCTTATCATATGACATCATACGGTACGCGCATGTTAGCGCACGATTACAGTTAACAAATGTGTGTCTTTAATATAAAATCAGCAATTGATTTTTTCAATTTTAAAATATACGCGCTGGTGCTCAATATCTCGCCATCTCTCTCGTACATGTGTACTTCAATGATAGTGACGCCATATTCCATAGTGCTTCGTGTGTCCTGAAATTCGTAGCCTGCAAAGCCCCAGGCTCAATTCCTTTTTTTCCCTACCTAATCTTCGGTAGCCTAAGGGGATAATACAACTACGCGCTGTCGGATAAGTGAGCTCAAGGGGTTCAACCTGAGAGAATTTGCTAACATCTGCCCTAGCAAGAGCAGTGCTTCGCTGAACCTACTACCAGATCGGAATCGCGACCCATTCAGAAGATCTGGCGAGAAACTCAGTGGGTTGTGTGGGAATTATGTTTAAGTAAAATCAATTTCATTACGATAGATCGTATCGCAGTACGTGAATATGTGTGACCTTGTTCATTTTGTAACATGCGATGGTGACATTCGTAAGCCGATATTGCTTTCTTATAAACCGGTCTTTTTCATTTATTTAGTTCACAGATTTTATTGCTTTAGATTTACAGAGGAGTTGACGACCGACCTTGCACTAAGTGGTTACCGAAACGGATATCAAAGTTAGCCTTAACTAATCTATCCTTTAGTCCGCGCATACTTTGATTTTCATGAGATAGATCTACCAGCAATTCGCGGTATCCTAAACTATGTACTACACGAAACAATTGAGTAAGTTTTTTAGAAGTTAGACAACAATTATACAATGTAATGGCAATTTGGACATTATATTTCAAGGTGGGTGTCGATATTGGAGTTGCAATGTCTATTGGCTCACAATTAACACTAGATTGTGGCGGTAGTCGTCACAGCACACAAGATATCTGACAGATGCCTGAATCTCGCTTACGACATTTCCAAGATTACCTTACATATATATTCAGAAATTCGAAGAATTCAGAAAATTCGATCATGTTTCTCATTTTCGCAAAGAACTTAAATGGCTCCCTATACGCCTTCGTAGGAATACTCGAATATTATGTCTCCTATTCAATATCCTACATAAGCCCACTTCTCCCTTATATTTACGTGAGCGATTCTCTTTCATTCGTTCTCCTGATGCTCCCTGCAGGTCCAACCAACGTTCTGTTTTGTTATTCCCTTCCCACAAAACCAATTTCTATTCTCACTCCTTTACTGTGCACGCGGTCAGACTGTGGAATTCGTTGCCGGCTGACATCCGAGTTTGCAAGTCTGTTTCTGTTTTTAAATACAAGGTCAAACAATTTTATCTCTCATCAACCGAATGATCATGGTTCTATACTCTTCGCATATACGAGTGTTACTGTGTTACTTATAATATTTGCTATGTGTATGTGCTATAATTCTCATGTTGTATTTGTTATTTTAGTTATGTGTTATTTGTTCTACACACACTTATCACTTTTTATTATTATTCTCATTATCCTCTCGCAGGTCTGCTGGAGGAGATTTCTCAAAGAAATAAGCAGTGTCTTTGTACATAATTTTCCTATTACTCTGTACTGTGTCTTGTTTTCTGTGTTTACATAAATAAATAAATAAAAAAATAAATACCAGTTCCGCGCAACAACATTCGCATTCCCGATCCTGCGGAAAGAATGGAAAGCAGTCGACGTCGCCCCAAGCACGTCATTTCGGATCCTCCCGATCCACTAACGGTGCTTTTAGGAAGGACCGGTCACCGTTCCCGTCGAACCTGTCGCTTGCGACGAAGGGCTCGACGAGTAAATTAACCCACAGCCGATTGAGTTTCTCGCCGGATCTTCTCAGTGGGTCGCGTTTCCGATTCGGTGGTAGATTCTGCGAAGCACGGCTCTTGCTAGGGCTCGTGTTAGGAACGTCGTCAGGTTTGGGCCCTGTGAGCTCACCTACTAGTTAAAGTTACGCTGGAATAGCCTGTCAAGGCTATCAGCAGCTTAGATAGGAAAAAAAACATCATTTGGATCGTGTCGGCTACCGAGCAATATCACTCGCTTGGTGGAGTCTTCCTTTCATCGTAAAGATAAAGATAAGCCGTGAACTCGAATCTTCATCTATACCATACAAAAAAGCAGTGAATGTCATGTTATCTTTTGGCTGCGATGCGGGGTATGCTATATCTAAACTTGTGACGTATTCTTCACTGTTGAGGGTCGTGACCACCCTTTTTTATCACCTTCACACGCATGATCTTTCTCCATTTAATCTTGTCTCTGGCGGTGTGGATGGAGGGCGTTGTAAAATGTGGAATCAAAAGCGATGCGGACCAACGTATGCTTAATGACCTTCCTTCCTTTAACGACCTTTTTCCACCCACCTTGCCGGTCACGATGAGCCTCTCGAGATCGCTACCATCCTTCCGTGCAATGTAACAGAAGTACTAAACTCATTAAGTAATTTTTATAATTACAAAGTAAGTAAAGAATTAAGTCGTCTCCGATGGTACAATCATATAAGCCCGAAGCCGCAGGCCTCCAGACTACGTCAGAAATAGATGCCTCAACCTTAACGTACCAAGTCGAAGAAACCGCGGTAGGCCCAAGAAACGCTGGTTGAATGTGGTAAAGGATTTGGAGGAGAATAACCTCACACAGAAAGATACTAAAGACCAGGCAAAGTGGAGTTTTAATAGAAAAGCGGACTTTGGTACTAAGCCAGGAAAACGCTAGGAACAAGACGAAGATTGAACATGAAATGTAATTTAAAAATATATCTTTGTAATTCACCAGGAATATTCAAGTCAAACACTGAAGCACTACAACAGAACTCAGATACACCGCGGCGTCTGTGTGTCCAGATGTCGGAGGGAGCAGCCGGCTGACACGTCATGGAACTCAGTCCAGAATTGTGTCAATCAAAGCGTTTTGAAATATGGTTTGCAGGTAGGTACATGTGCATTTTGTTTTATTGCTTATAAAGCTAAACGAACTCATGTGATGTAAAGTGTTTATTGAAATCCATAGAGGCCACAACGTGAATGCAAACATCGATTTTGAGACTTCTAAATACTACAGAATGAATGAACAATAAAAGACTTCATTGCGGTTTATGTAATTTATTATATGAATATTTCAAACAGTATTATTAAATTATCCAAAATTGAACTGACAGATAAGGTAAGTGAATCCGTCTAAGACAAATCTTGTTTTTAAATAAAGAGTCTTAAAGGCTTAAAGGGTTAAATACTAAAGGTTTTTCTTCACCTACGTATCTCTACTTAAATTTTTATTTTTTGCGGGTTTGAAATCATATAGTGAACATAAGTTAAGTGTGTATTCATTAGGAAGTTGTTTAAGGGTAGCCGTCCTGTGTTTCAGGCCGAACTGCTGTCCATGGACTGGTGCGTCAGCCAAGACGCGAAGCCAGTGAGTGGCTCAGCGCGGGCTCTTGCTGTTTTCTGCACAACATTAGTTGCGATCGCCTGTCTCGCGACAGTGCTGCACGTGTTGGCTGAAAGATGCGTTAAAGTTGACGGTAAGTGTCCTTCTTCATTATTTTGGACCCGAGATTAAAGATCGCTAGTTTTGGGAAGTTCTAATTTCACTGCTTTCGGCTTAAAGATGATCACCGGCTTCCTTACTATTGGTTCCTAGTTCATTCGATTTTGGTATTACAGTATTCATATCTCCTCACTGTCCTTTTTTTTTTGTTTTCTACCTATGCCTTGAGAGCCTTGAGAGGCTATTTCAGCGTACCCTAGCTTGTGTAGGTGAGCTCGCGGGGCTCAAACCGGAGAATTGCTAACACCGCCCTAGCAAGAGCAGTGCTTCGCAGAATCTTTTTTNATAGGAACAAGACGAAGATTGAACATGAAATGTAATTTAAAAATATATCTTTGTAATTCACCAGGAATATTCAAGTCAAACACTGAAGCACTACAACAGAACTCAGATACACCGCGGCGTCTGTGTGTCCAGATGTCGGAGGGAGCAGCCGGCTGACACGTCATGGAACTCAGTCCAGAATTGTGTCAATCAAAGCGTTTTGAAATATGGTTTGCAGGTAGGTACATGTGCATTTTGTTTTATTGCTTATAAAGCTAAACGAACTCATGTGATGTAAAGTGTTTATTGAAATCCATAGAGGCCACAACGTGAATGCAAACATCGATTTTGAGACTTCTAAATACTACAGAATGAATGAACAATAAAAGACTTCATTGCGGTTTATGTAATTTATTATATGAATATTTCAAACAGTATTATTAAATTATCCAAAATTGAACTGACAGATAAGGTAAGTGAATCCGTCTAAGACAAATCTTGTTTTTAAATAAAGAGTCTTAAAGGCTTAAAGGGTTAAATACTAAAGGTTTTTCTTCACCTACGTATCTCTACTTAAATTTTTATTTTTTGCGGGTTTGAAATCATATAGTGAACATAAGTTAAGTGTGTATTCATTAGGAAGTTGTTTAAGGGTAGCCGTCCTGTGTTTCAGGCCGAACTGCTGTCCATGGACTGGTGCGTCAGCCAAGACGCGAAGCCAGTGAGTGGCTCAGCGCGGGCTCTTGCTGTTTTCTGCACAACATTAGTTGCGATCGCCTGTCTCGCGACAGTGCTGCACGTGTTGGCTGAAAGATGCGTTAAAGTTGACGGTAAGTGTCCTTCTTCATTATTTTGGACCCGAGAATAAAGATCGCTAGTTTTGGGAAGTTCTAATTTCACTGCTTTCGGCTTAAAGATGATTATTTTCTCACTAAACTCCATAGTACCTACTATAATAGGATAAGTCGATAAACTATTAAACGGAGTCAGTAGCGTAGAGTGGGTGTCAGCCGCCCGGGGCGGAAGACAATTTTGCCGCCCTTTTATTTAGGTATTTCACTTTGATGTATACTATACATTAATTCTAGAATTTTTTTTGGCATCATTATTTTGCATTATATCCACAGGTAAGATTTTAGATAAAAAAGTTTATTTAAGTGTTACGTTAGTAAATCGCGTTTATTATTACGAAAAATATTCTACTTCAACCACTTATGGCAGCCACACCGCCCCCGTCCCCATCACGCTACGCCACTGAACGGAGTTTATTCGAATTGGAAAAATAATAATAATAATAAATAACTTAAGTAACTGGGATAAGATGGAGCACGGTAATCTGGTCCCAATTTTAAGATTTGTTATGGGTACTAGAGACTGATTGACATACTTATATAGCTTTTGTACTGATACAATACTTAGAGAAGGTGTTACTCATTCTCTTGTGGCTCTTTGGGGACGCCTTTTATAGACTTATAGCTGAAGATGGGATGATGTTATTCTAGCCACACCCGCTTCTCTACTACTGGATCGTAGTTCATTCGATTTTGATATTACATTATTCATATCTCCTCACTGTCCTAACGTATACTCAATAACATCAATTAATGTGCCACCGTGGATTAAAAGATAAGACGCCCGGTGCAATCGTATCAAGCGATGCATCTGTGTTCGAACCCCATAGGCAGGTACTAATTTTTGTAATGAAATACGTACATAACAATTGTTCACGATTAACTTCCACTGTGAAGGCATAACATCGTGTAATAAAAATCAAACCCGCAAAATTATAATTTGCGTAATTACTGGTGGTAGGACGTTTTCTGAGTCCGCACGGGTAGGTAGCACCGTCCTGCCTATTTCTGCCGTGAAGCAGAAATGCGTTTCGGTTCGAAGGGCGGGGCAGCCGTTGTACTGTAAAAACTGAGACCTTAGAACGCATGTCTCAAGGTGGGTGGCGATATTAACGTTGTAGATGTCTATGGGCTCCGGTAACTTAACACCGGGTTTTATTTTTAATGCTTAGTTGGTTGGACGAGCTCACAGCCCACCTGGTGTTAAGTGGTTACTGGAGCCCATAGACATCCACAACGTAAATCCGCCACCGACCTTGAGATATAAGTTCTAAGGTCTCAGTATAGTTACAACGGCTGCCCCACCTTTCAAACCGAAACGCATTACTGCTTCACGGTAGAAATAGGCAGGGTGGTCGTATCTACCCGTGCGGACTCACAAGAGGTCCTACCACCCGTAAACAAGGTGGGGCGTGAGCACTTCCGCCCACCCAGGCATTAAAAACTAATCAAAATCAATTGATTCCAAAGCCACTCGACGTTTCAGGAAATAAATACTTAATGGCATTTTCTCTGAAACGTAACTTGGACGTTTTGATTCGCAATCGATGCGGCCCGAAGACTCAACCAAGACTGAAGGACGTTGCCAGCATCGAAGGTATCAGGTGACTATTTCAAATTTTACAATCGATGCGTTTTTTATTTTATTTTTTATTGCCCTTGTACCTACAGACGAGCAAACGACCCACCTATTAGTAAGGGGCTATCGTCGCCCATAGACTTCAGCAATGTCAGTGGCAGAGCCAACATGCTGCCTACTGTTAAGTACTCTCCATAAGCTTCGTTTGAAGAAGGACATGTCATAGCGCTCGGGAAAGACCGTAGCACAATTTTTCCCCTCCCTCTCTTACCCGAAATGACCTTAATACGTGCGTATACAAGTGCTCCGAGGCTTTATTAACAAATAACCCTAAGACACAGCCCACTGAGTTTCTCGCCGGATCTTCTCAGTGGGTCGCGTTTCCGATCCGGTGGTAGATTCTGCGAAGCACTGCTCTTGGTAGAGCTAGTATTAGCAAATTCGTTAGGTAAGAGTCTCGTGAGCTCTCCTACTCACCCAGCGAATCTAGTATAAGCCCTCAAGGCTACTAGAATAAGTAAGAAAAAAATAAACAAAAATCAGCCGTAAATAAGGTTCGACGCTCTCAACTTCCCACGCTCTGAAGTAATCGAGAGAGAGAAGATCTTCCACAGAGCTGGTAAAGACATACTACGTGAAAATTTTATGGTTTGGAAGATTAAATGCTTTTTAATCTTACAGCCGTGGAAGCTGTTAGGACACTTGTTCGTGTATTTGATGATACATTCACGATTACAGGTTCTTCGGCATGCAGTGTGTTATATTTTCAAACGTTTTGATATTTTACGTTTATTCCTACACAGACAATCCGGAGTTTATTGAAAAAGTGAGTTCTGAACCAAATAATTTATAAAATATTAGCCGAAAATCTATAAAATAATTCCTATTATGAACTAAACTAAGCATGAACATTGGACACGTAATAGATTGTTAGTAGCTGCCGTCCTTTCAAGACCATAGATATGGCGCGGCAACAGCTTTATTTTTATCATAAGTATAGAACGGCAAAGGAATCATGTTTTTTGGCACATCAGGCGTTAAGCGGATACTGGAGGCCATAGACATCAACAACGTAAATGCCGCCCATCCATCTTGAGACATGAGTTGTAGGTTCTCAGTTTTTACAGTACAACGGCTGCCCCGCCCTTCAAACCGAAAAGTATTACTGCTTCACGGCAGAAATAGACGACGTGGTGGTACCTACCCATGGAGGTTCAGAAGACGTCCTAGTACCGAAACGACGAGATTCCGATTAGTCCTGAAAATATCGTTGTCACGATACGGTTTTATAACTCTATTTCTTCTATTTTATCTACCTTGTATTCTTTTCCGAAAAAAGTTATTACAGTCTGTTTGTGATATGAAGAAATAAAAATTCATTTCATTTATATACATAAACATTTAAATTGAATAACATGTACATGACATCTATACTAATATATAGGTATAAATCTACAGTGGTTTTTACGGATATTCCGTTATAACTACTGAACCGTGCATCCGAATGAATTGAAACTTGGTATCCATGTAGAAACTACATGTACTTAATGGATAGACTAATATTTAGATGAGTGTTGGACTCCCTAATAATAATGACAATAAATAATAATGTTAATTTTAAATGCCCAGCGAACCAGGCGAGTATGGCTAGTAGGATATAAGTACTGAAATACAGAACAATCCAGTGTCTAATGTTAATTTTTATTATCCACAGCTGTACGATCAGTTCCCTTGGCAGATGATAGTCAATTCTCCGCTATGGGTCCAAGCGTTCTTCTCTATCTCGGGGTTCTTGACCGCGTACACGGTTCTGTTGTCTTCCGAGAAACGTTCACTAACGATCTTCAGCTGTCTTCAGTCAGTTTTAAATCGATGGATCAGGTAATCGTTCTGTACAGGTCGCGGATAAGTCGTCCAACTATTGCAATTCAGTTAACACAGTTTTGCTTTCATTCATCTATACTAATATATAAATCTACAGTGATTTTTACGGATGTTTCGTTATAACTACTGAATTATGCATTCTATTGGCTTGAAACTTGGTATCCATGTAGAAAATATATGCACTTAATGGATAGGATGTTTATATGAGTGTTGGACTCCCTACACCAGTTGCGGGGGCGTTAATGATGAGAATCTTTGTGGTGGTGAGAAATAATATTAATTTTAAATGCCCAGCGAAGCAGTTGCTCTTGAGTTGTTAGGTCTGCTTCGGAGGCGCTCGGGCAGCTGTTAGCTAATCCCACCCTTCCTAGCTGAGCCTTTGCTCGCCCACATGCGCTGGTAAAACTGGAAAGGTCTCCCGGGCAACGAGTAACCCTACAATCATAACAAAGTTATTTCAATTTTTAACTTTGAAATGGCAGCCCTGTAAAGCATGACATTTACATTTCTCCTTCAGTGGCGTGGCAAGTATAACTCGCGCCCGGGGCACAATACCTTTTTAGCCCCTATTTAGGCTATTAGTGTTCTTTTTTTCCTTTCTATTTGCGAATTAACATTTATTATATGATACAATGACACAAAATTTAAAATATATTTTCCAAGAATCAATTATAATACCAATAAAAATTATCCAATTTATTTTTTTATTTTGCGGTCTATTTGGCGCCATTTTTTGAGTAGCGTCTGGAGCATGACACGCCCTCGCTACGCCACTGTTCGTCTTATTCACGCTTTGTACAGGTATAATCTTTGCATCAATTCTAAAGTCCACTAAATATTATGTCTACTCTGCATTTTGGTTCTGGGGTTGTATTCTTAGTGCTAAGCAAATATCTCTAATATTAATATCTAATCTCAAATATTAAGTGTATAGTGCTAAGGTTGTGAATATTATTTTTTTTCATTTTGTGTCGCCATGGTGAATGTCCAGAGTGAAACTATCGATCTATAAATTGGTTTGAAGTCTCTGTAGCATTTAGAAAATGGGAATGGTGTGTCTTAGTGTTTGACGGATGGCAAAAATGGGGACGATGGTGATGCTGGAGAACTCTTGCCATCATTCCAGATACGATTTAGGATGCGAATTATAAAAAAGCTTGTACTACTGCTATAGAGACGTAATAAACTTTAGTAATAGTATGGTCTGGTGGTCGGTACATACCCATATCTTCCAATGCCAAAGAACCAGTATTATAAAGTAAGTTCTTCTTCTTTGGGTCTCAATTTCTAACACCCTATTGCTCCACAGACTAACGCCGATGGCGCTGTTTGCGCTATGGTTCACGATAGCCTGGTTCCCAATGTTGGGCTCTGGCCCGCAGTGGGCGTGGCTGGTGGATAGAGAAGCTAAGGATTGCTCAGAGCGATGGTGGTACCACATTTTGTATATCCAAAACTTTTTGCCGAGCGGAAAGTTCTGCATGGGACATACCTGGTAAGAGTGTTATGGTGTTTGTCATTGTTATTGGTTGAAATGTGTTATCGATTCATGTCTTGCGGTGTAGTGCCTGCTTCAATTTATATATCGAAGGTGGAAAGGCTGTTTGGTTTAAGCGCATTTTTTTTATTGCCCTTGTAGGCAGACGAGCATACGGCACACCTAATGGTGAGTGGTTACCGTCGCCCATGGACTTCAGCAATGCCAGGAGCAGAGCCAAGCCGCTGCCTACCGACATTTTGGCAAACTTACAGGAGAGCCATTTAAAGTTTAAAATTTGAAAATAGTATCATAACAAAAAACTTCACCTATTCGAATGGAGTAAACTTAATTGAAGTCCAATTAAAACCATGGAATTGTTGATGCTAATACCAAATAAAACGGACTTTTAATTACAAAGATAAATGTCGTGTATCAAGCGAAATATCGCTCAAACTAAATAACGGTTACAAATACTGTTCAGAAATTGAACAGTATTGCTACGCACTGGGTTCGGGATGAATAAAAATTTCTACCGACGTGTAAATTAATACGTACTAGAGGTCCCACAGTAGTCGAAATTCGACTATAATTAATTGGAATTGTAAGTTTGTACACTATTATTATTGTAATTTATACTTCTATAATCACAAATTTCGCCAAGACTACACTATAAAAAATATTAACAAAGACGGTTTGTCTATATTCTATTCTCAATTTGACAACAGACGTCAAGAATAAAAATTTGACAATAAATAGTATGCATGCGTGTGTGCGTCAAATACATGTTATGTAGTGTGTGTAATGTTTTCTTTATTGCTTTAATGTATCCTTTACGCATTATTTTAAAAAAATATTAGCATTGTGCACTTCTTCTCTATATTCTCTATAAGTGTGCAAAATTTCATACTCCTCCGTCCGCGCAATTTTCGTAAAAAGGGATACAAAGTTTTTTCTTCACGTATTAATATATAGATTAACGCTTAGAGCACTTAAAACACTTCACAAACACTTTAAAATTCTCAATTCCCTTCTTCCGCTTCGGTTCATGTGATCCGTATTAATATATAGATTAACGCTTAGAGCACTTAAAACACTTCACAAACACTTTAAAATTCTCAATTCCCTTCTTCCGCTTCGGTTCATGTGATCCGTTCGCTGTTTCGCTTCGAGTAGTTCCGATTACTAACTAACTGCGTGCCATCTCTGCAACGCTTTTATAGTCGATACGACATCCCTAGAATTATCGAGAACATTCCTCACAAGGCGAGTATTTTCGATGTGTTTCCGCTATCTGACAATAGATGGCGCTGTACTTGTCGATCGTTCTAGATGCTACTAGATCCTTTGATATTCGTTTCGGCTATACGGCGATAGATGACGTTACTCTCACCGGCGTAGCAGTATGTAAATAAAATATGTTACGTTTTCAAAATTCAATACTTCAAATGTTCGTCGTTTTTTTTTGCTTTGTCATCAGATTCTGTGCTATTACAAGTTTCTTTACATAAATAAAAATTAAATCAAAAGGGTGCGTTCATACAATCTGTTAAGCCACTAAGGCGTCCTCAAGAAATGTTTTAATTACTGTAGAGCTAATTCGTTGGATATATTCACGTCTCACTAAGCCGACCTCATTGCACGTCGCTAGGTATTTAGCAGCATCCATGCAGCTCCACGTATTAGGAATGATACTCCTAGTTATCCTCATGAAGTACCGGAGTGCCACCGCTCTCGTCCTGATGATCTTCATGGCCGGTCCTGCAGCAGCAACAGGCTTCGTCGTGTACTGGCACGACCTCATGCCAATTGCAACTGCTTATTCGCCGGAGTAAGTTATAATAGATACACATTTACCTTAGACTTTGACCGACTCGGTGGTGCAGTGCTTACCGCCCTTGACTCTTGTGCTGATGGTCGTGGGTTCGATTCCCACACCGGGCAAACATTGTGTTATAAATAGTTTGCTTTGTATCTCGGTGTTTGTTATCTATATATGTAAATATTTAAACATATATAAGTATGTATGTCAGTCCTTTATACCCATAACACAGGGAATCCTAAATCGAGGCTGGACGTTATTATAGTTATTATTACTTAACGATTACAAATGCGAAAAAATAATTCACTCAATAATTAACTAAAACTGACGTTTCGATCGATAATTCAGATTAAACTATTAAATACTCGAAAAACCAAACTTGGCTTATTGATAATCTCATCGTAACAAGAAGGATTGTTGTTGTAAATGAATATTGTTTGTGTCAAAACCAAACACGTAACTAATGAAATATTTACAGGCTTATCCGGACGATATTTGCTGGATCTGAGATCCTGTCGCTGGTGCTGCTGCCTTTCTGGATGAACCTGCCCGGCTACATCGGGGGCGTGGCGGTGGCCTTCCTTCTGTACCATAACCAGACGAGCGGGAACAAGCTGGCCAGGAATATGGTACTTTTTTTATTGCTTAGGTGGGTAGACGACTCACGGCCCACGGTTAAGTGGTTACCGGAGCCCATAGACATTTACTACGTAAATGTCACCACCGACCTTGAGATTTCAGTTCTAAGGTCTCAAGTATAGTTACAACGGCTGCCCCACCCTTCAAACCGAAACACATTACTGCTTCACGGCAGAAATAGGCAGGGTGGTAACTACCCGTGCGGACTCACAAGACGTCTTACCACCAGTAATTACGCAAATTATAATTTTTGCGGGTTTTATTTTTATTACACGATGCTATTCTTGCATCGTGGAAGTCAATCGTGAACATTTGTTGAGTACGTATTTCATTAGAAAAATTGATACCCGCTGGCGGGATTCGAACGCCGGTGCATCGCTACACACGAATGCACCGGACGTCTTATCCTTTAGACCACGACAACTTTCTTACCTTATACTTCCGTACTTTATTTTCTCTTTTTTCTTCCGCCATATCAGTTTTGATGGAACATGCAACTAACTACGTTATATTTTGTGTTTTACTTTTATGACCAGCCTCTCAATTTTAGATCGCGATTAAGCCGTAAGAGTGAGATACTGAATCAAACTGCGGACAAATTTAAGGTCCTTTTCTGATTTTTTTATAGTTTAAACGTGAGCTGAGTGGTTACAGGAACCTTCAGACATTGATAAGGTAAATGCGATATGAGTTCTAAGTCTCAGTTTGTATAGTACAACAGCTGCCCCACCCTTTACACCGAAGCGCATTACTGCTTCACGGTAGAAATAGACGGGGTGGTGGAACTTACGCGTGCGATCTTAATCGCATGCGTAAGTTCCACCACCCCGGTGGCATTTTATTTTATTTATTTATCTATTATAATTTTTTTTTTTGGTACCAACATGCTATACATCATCACAGAACATTACAGGTATCTTATACATTGATTTCACATTAAATGCCAACACAATTACAGGTACCGACTGCATGTATTGATAAAAAAAAGCGGTTCATTGTATAAAAAATAATTAAATATAACATTACATGAAGACCCTACACATTTACTACCAATCGTACAATTTCTCCACAGTCGTTTAACGTGATTTTCCACGCCGCGTTGTTTGTCGGCTTGGGCGTGACGCTGGGCGGCAGTGTGTTCCTCCGGACGGCGTGGCCGCCCTGGGCCGCCGCCCTGTACGCGGCTCTGGACCGGACCCTGGTCGCTGTGTGCTTCAATCTCTTCCTACTCGGCTGCTTCAGCCGCTGTAAATGTAAGTTACCGCACGCTCTAGTTCTCAGGGTAGACCAACTGTAAATGGGACAAGCTGTAGCTTATTTTTTTGTTGAGTGCGTCTATGAATGAGCTCACAGCTAACCTGGTGTTAAGTGGTTACCGAAGCCCATAGACATGTACAACGTAAATGCCGCCTCCCACCTTGAAATATGAGTTCTAAGGTATCAGTATAGTTACAACGGCTGTCCCGTCCTTCAAACCGAAACGCATTACTGCTTCACGACAGAAATAGGCAGGGTTGTGGTACTTACTCGTGTAGACTCACAAAAGGTCCAGTAAAACCAGCTTATGATGTATCTGATGTTAAGTCGTTACCTTCTTCTTCTTCTTGCTTCGGTTTCCTCAACACTGAGGGTCGTGATCACCTCCTCGCAACAAGAGTTTATTGCGCACCATTCCGCGCCATTTGCCTCTATCTGCCGCCGAGTGTAGAGCATCGTGAACTGCGGGGTCGAGGGTAGTGCGGATCTGGTCAGTCCAACATGTCGGGCCCCTACCTCGTGGTCTTCTCCCGTCCACCTTGCCAGTCACCATTAGCTTCTCCGAGCTGCCGTTATCCTTTCTTGCAATATAGCCAAAGTATTCCAGAACTCTACGTAGGCGGATGGTAGAACGCCTCGTCTTTACCAAAGCTCATTTAATTTGAGGCCACGACATGGTGTGCTCTTAATGTTGTGGTAATGTGAAATGGGATCTTCGCTTTCAGCGTTGGTACGAGACGCGCTGGAATGGCGCGGCTTCCACGCTCTGGGCAGGCTCTCGTACTGCGTGTTCCTGGTGCACTTCACGGTCCTCAGGCTCACGATGGCGGAGAACACCCACGTGGGACACATCAGTCTGTTCTCATTAGTGAGTGAATAACTTAGAAAAAACAAACCTTCATCCTACCCTATCCACCCCTGCCAGCTCCTGAAACCGGAAAAAGAACCCAATTTTTTTTATTGCTTATGTGGGTGGACGACCTCACAGCCCACCTAGTGTTAAGTGGTTACTGGAGCCCATAGACATCTACAACGTATATGCGCCACCCACCTCGAGATATAAGTTCTAAGGTTTCAAGTATAGTTACAACGGTTGTCCCACCCTTCAAATCGAAACGCATTACTGGTTCACGGCAGAAATAGGCGGGGTGGTGGCACCTACCCGCGCGGACTCACAAGAGGTCCTATCACCAGTAATAATTAATTGAAAATATACATAACATAAATAACATTTTAATTAACTTTAAAATACTGGTGAACTATTTTACTGGTGGTAAGACATTTTGTAAGTCGGCGCGGGTAGGTATCACCACCCTCCTTATTTCTCCGTGAGGCAGTAATGCGTTTCGGTTTGAAGGGCGGGGCATCAGTTGGACTGTTAAAACTGAGACCTTACAACTCATAGCTCGAAGTGGGTAGCGGCATTTACGTTGTAGATGTCTATGGGCTCCGGTAACCACTTAAAACTGGATGGGCCGTGAGCTCGTCCACCCATCTCAGCAATAAAAAAAGAATAATATAAGGTTTCAATGAGATTCGTCTCAGTTGTGGTAGGTGTTATTTTCCAATCAATATTTTTTTGGTTACAGCTTTCACTGTTCATCACAACTTCGGTGCTATCATACGCGGTGTCGGTGCCTCTGTGTCTCCTCGTAGAGCTGCCCGGGCTGCAGCTCTGGAACGCGATCGCTTCAGACCAAACGAGGGAAATGCCCGCCGCGGAAACCCCAACTCGAAGACCAGACAAACCTTGCGATCTGGTCTCGCAAGTTCGGCGAAGACACGAATATTGTTGATTAAATGAGGCTGTCAGCGTAAAAATGGCTTAACCCACAATTTTTCATAATCATTTTATTTTTATTTTATTTTTTCCCACCTAGCTGATAGCCTTGAGAGGCTATTTCAGCTTTACCCTAACGTGTGTAGGTGAGCTCACGGGGCTCAAGCCGGAGTGTTGCTGGCACTGGCCCTAGAAAGAGCAGTGCTTTGCAGAATCTACCACCGGACCGGAAACGCGACCCACTGAGAATATCCGGTGAGAAACTCAGTGGGCTGTGTCTATGGGCTAGCCTAATTATGCTTTCCTATATGTATGTTGCGATTTATTTAAAATTTAATAAATTTTGATGCGAGACCAATAGAACCTTCACCAATAGAATCAGATAACAGATGGGTTTATGAACATTATTTTTGCGCGTATTGTTTTTTTGTCTATCCAAATTTAAATTCATGAAACTTAAACCTCATTGCTCCATAATAACTATGGTAAGCTTAGGCCATTTTTGCGCTGATGGCCTCAAATGTAATACGTAATTTTAGTTTTTTGTTTATTGTGAACTTGACACGGGAATCGTGTAAACTGTAAACAAATAATAAAACTTGTCATTAAATTATTAGAATATTGGTTGTTTTATTTGATACCGGCACGTGTGTGTTAAGTGTATTATCTATGGTTGTGTGTTTGCGCTAACAAGTTTATTATTATATTATCTATGGCACCTGCCCAGGAAATATCTCTGACTCTTTTAAGCCGTCACTTGCCTTGAAACAAGTGATGTCTGTAGAATAGTAGAATACTGGTGGTAGGTGTTATGAGCCCGCACGGGTAGATAGGACGGGGTGGCCGTTGTACTGTAAAACTGAGACTTAGAACTTAAATCTGAAGGGGGGTTGCGCATTGATGATGTATGTCTATGGGCGTCCAACCATCTAAGCCATATAAAGAAAATATATTAACCATGCATTATCCTCTGATCTCAAATGTATTTAAAAAAAATGTGTTTTCGTTGCGTATCGCGTATCGTTATTAATGCGGTCCATCGTCCGATTCAGCTGTAATGTTTTAAAGTTACTGGTATTAATAGGAACCGGGTGGCATGCGCATCGTCCCATCAACGATAGATACGGTTACCTTTAAAATATTAAAGTTTTAATTTTAGGTTATATTTTAATATTACGATAAGAATGATTTCCGCGCTCTATCTGTTGCTAAATGAAAACATAGTGAATACAAAAAAAAAACGTGTCTCCTCACATTAGCGAAGATTGGAAATGTAAAAAATGGGGGTTGGTGGTAGAAAGGTGTATATAGGTATTTCTTAACGCCACATCATAAAGTAATAAAAATGTTATTACCATAGATTTTTTTTTTCTACAGGCGTTTCCGATTGTTGAAAGACAGTTTGGCCACCACCGCTGTGTTTCGGAGTACATGACTATTTCATGGTAAAAATTTGAACTGGAGGGCGTATTTCTGGCGCGAACCAATCATGCATCAGCTTTGAAGGGTGAGACAGCCGTTATACATTACCATTGAAACCTCGACCTCATGATTCTAATGTCCACTGAACACCCGATAGAATGTGAGTTCATTCACCCGTTTATAAAATAAAAAATACAGAGCGCGTTAATTTGCTCATATAAAATTGATTTTGTTATTTTAATTTTAAATTTGACGTGCACTTTTCATGTTACTACCTTTTTAATAAAACAAATTCAATGTCTTCATTATATTTATTTAATAAATCAAAGTAAAAAATAATTATAGAATATTAATAATCATTATACAATAATTAACTGGCCGTGTTTTTTGTACATATAATTATTACTAATTATTTGGCCGATAGTAGTGCGACAAAGTTATTTCTTTTTCAATAAAAGTATCTAAATTCTATAAAGAACTTACTCGATATTTAAATCAAGATTGGCATTCGTTGGCAGATAACCCTATCCGGGCTTGGTAAGCCGGTTATAATAACAAACATTACGTCATTCAAATTTAAAGTAACAATAATTACTTAGTTCTTAATATGAACATAGATAAACAATATATATAATAAATTATATATAATATATATAATATAAATAATAAATTATGTGTTTTAAAACATAAAAAGTAAGTGGATGTTCCATTGAGACAGTCCTAATTATTTTTCCAAACAAATGATAATTATACCTACATGCAATAAAGCAATGGAGTCCATTGTCTGTAGGAACATCAAAGTTCTCGCGGACGCAGTTGTGGGCGGGATTATATTATAACTTCTTTTGATTGATGTTCTCTCAAACGTGTAAATGCGTGTAAATCGCATATTATGTATGTTTGTAATAAAAAAAAAAAAACAAATATGTTTATGTCATATTTAAATTTACCTGTGTTACCTGTGTGGAAAAAATCCGAATGACGAGATATAGAAACTATAAATATAATCTAAATGACGTATATAAAGTGTTTAGGTTGAGTTAAATCTTTCATGATTCACCATAGGTCCACATGATCGCAGTATTTATGTTAAATTCAACTTGGTATCTCTGGTGGCTCCCGAAAAAAATGTTTTAATAGACGTCTGAACAAACACCAAAACGAAGAAGGAAGTGATTGTTTTTTTTTTTTGTGAAGTGATTGTCTAATATCTCCATAGTTATTGTATTTAGTTACCAGACTGATTAAATGAGTTTTGTAGTAAGCCTTTATAGCTATTACTAAAAAACAATACTCGATGACAAGCCTTCCTTTGTAGCCCGCGTCTCAAATTTGTAAGTTAAAAAATTTTTTGCGCCCAAACCATCGTCTTTTTTATCGCGTACAAATACTCGTAGAATATTTGGCTGTGGTAATAAGTTTTGATTACGCAAATTTGAATGGGGAATAATAGTTTTATTAGCTGCCAAAATCAGGGAGTTGTCAATGTTAAGAAATGTTTAAGAGGCTCACGATTCAGAATTGACTATAATTTGCGTTGCATTTATTTAAATCAATTTGTAGTTTACTTTTGGTGTCAGATACGAAACATACATTATGACCGTCTCAATGAACACCCAAAAACATATTTTGGAAACATCTACTGGCTTACTATTGCCACACTTGGTTCCACCAATCATAATTTGGTTATTATAGCTAAATGAAATTTATTCAATAGACTTATTTATTAAAGTATTCGCGCGCCACACATTTAGTGTTGCCAGTAATATAATAATTTTGATTATCTCTTACAGGACATAAGACGCTAAGACGAACGAACTAAGAACTAAATTACATTAGCATGTCATCGTTCATGTTCCATAAACAAATTTTAAATACCTAAGTTTAATACGGTGTTAAATATGGCGAGGCTTGACAGCTGTCAACAACGAAAACTCGTGAGAGTTGTCAAATGAACACAGATTAGTATCCGGCGTCAGCGTCGTAACTGCTCTTTTGGCTGCTGTACTGATCTGTAAATAAATTTAAATTTAGTACTAAATCAGATATGACGACTAGCCGAAATTATTAGCGAGGATCACCTTACTGAGAATTTCGGCAGGGCTGATAATAAAGAACAAAACGGTAGAATGCACCAAGGTTTATCGATATTACAAAAATTGTTATTTAACAGGTTCTTACCACGATTTTTATTTATTAACTATTAATGAGTTCCCGCTATTGTAAGCGTTATGAGCATCAGTCAGTCTACACCAGAAAAACCCATTTAAATAATATTTCTTTACGCTACTCCAATAGCAGACTCATCCGCTATAAAACAACGTGCGAGTGTAGATTGTATTCACATTATTTATCTCGTAATAAAAAACCACAAAAATCGGACTAAGAAGAAAGAACTTTCGAAGAATACTTGAAGCGGTGCCATATTCACATTTTTTCACATGCTTTGCAAGATTATCAATGTGGAGTGCCCATTGGAATATAATATTTCGGTATAGTTCGTATTAAATTTGTATTTTGAATGCATTTTTCAAGAAATTTCACATTTAATAATTTTAATGAACTGTTTTCTATGTGAAAGTTAGAAAGTTTTATAAATCTTACCTCTCTTCGTGTCTGTAAGCTGTAAACTCTTCAATATTTCCTCTGGTATCGGGGGCGCGGTCGGCAGATGAGCTCCCTCAGGCCTGAAGCCGTTCTCATCAGCGGTATAAGACACGGAGTAAGTTTGTCCATCATCACCGACGTAGGAGAAAGAGCCTTTCACGTTTATAGAACCTTCCTCTGGTTTAGCTCCGGGCACAACCTGACCTGGGGATTGCTACGTTATTTACATAGGCGTTTCATAGCAATTTGTGTTTAAATGGTGAAGTTTAATCTATATATATATTAATACGTGAAGCAAAAACTTTGTATCCCTTTTTACGAAAATCGCGCGGTCGGAGGAGTATGAAAATTTTCACACTTTTAGAGAATATAGAGAAGAAGTGCACAATGCTAATATATTTTTTAAATAAGGCATAAAAGATACATTAAATTCATAAAGAAAACATTACACACACTACATACCATGTATTTGACGCACACACGCATGCATACTATTTATTGTCAAACTTTTGTTCTTGACGTCTGTTGTCAAATTGAGAATAGAATATGCTTTGTCTTTGTTAATATTTTTTATAGTCTTGGCGAAATTTGTGATTATAGAAGTATAAAATACAATCATATTAGTGTACAAACTTACAATTACAATTAATGATAGTCGAATTTCGACTACTGCGGGACCTCTAGTTTGTTTTAATATACAGCATAATTGTTTTAAGTCAGTGCCAACCTGTCAAGTCCTTGGTGAATAATCCGGGTGCTTTTTCACCTACCTATTCTAGTAATCTCGAGGGGCTATACTAGATTCACAGAACGAGGTGAGCTCACGGGGCTCTAACCTGACGACGTTGCTAACACTAGCCCTAACAAGAGCAATGCTTCGCACAATCTTTTACTGGTGTTAGGACCTCTTGCGAGTCCGTTTCTATTTTTTATATTTATATTTTTTATATTATTATTTTTATTTCTATTTCTTTTGCCTATTTCTGCCGTGAAGCAGTCGTTTCGGTTTGAAGGGTGGGACAGCCGTTATAACTATACTGACACCTTAGAACTTAGCAGAAATTGGCGAGGTGGTGGTACCTACCGGCGCGGACTCACAAGAGCTCCTACCACCAGTAATTACGCAAATTATAATTTTATTAGGTTTAGTGTCAATTAAAATATAGTAAAATGCAGTATATACCTTCTTGCTCAGCTTTCGTTCCATCGCTGGTCTCAAAAGCGTAATGGTATCCATCTTCATTAATCTCATTGTCATATCTCAAGATTTCAGCCGGCTGGCCAGATTGGCTTCCAGTGAGAGCCTGGTGACTACCAGCAGAGTTTCGTGGGCCTTGGAGTCCTGCGCTGGCTCCTCCTGAAGACCCAGCGTGGGGGGGAAGGTACAGGTCTTTGTCAAGTCGATCAGCTGCCACCGCCGCTAAAGCGAAGATTATCAGCTGAGAAAAACACAAAATTTCATATTTAAAATGAAATATGCTTAATTTTGTTCTTTGTTATTTTTTAGGTGGGCAGATAAGGGGGTGCATCTGTATTTCAAGGGAGTCGTTTAGTGGTTGGACATATCAGTAGTAGTAGTATCATAGCACTAGTATCTTCAGCCATCAAGTCTCACATACCCCATACGTCCTTTAGCCTCGGGAACCTCAAAGCAGGATCGGCCACCAGACCGATAATAAAGTACACCTAAGCTTTTATCGGTGCTATACTAAGACCTTAGAACTCATATCTCAAGGTAGGTAGCGCATTTACGTTGTAGATGTCTATGGGCTCCATTAACCACTCAAAACCAGGTGGGTTATAAGATCGTCCACCCATCGAAGCAATAAAAAAAAAGGTACCACAATCCTCTCAATTTTTTAACGCGAAGCATCATGCGTTCCAGTTGAGAAGGTGTACCAGCCGAATAATACAGTGATATTTCGCCCCGTGTCTCAAGCTGGGTAGCGGCATGTTTATGTATGATGAAGAATTGAAAAAATAGCTTCAAACTTATTCAATTTCTGTTGCCCGTTCTAATTTAGCTTCTGTATACGTTTTGTAAAGTCGGGGAACCGCATGATGTTGTGGTTCAAAGATAATAACTAACTTCAATCTGTGGTTTCTTTGTGAACGCGTGAAAACCGCGTCAAGCGCGTATAACATTTCATTTATTGTACTTGCTCAAGGTATTAAGGGTAAGTTTCACAATGTTTTGTAATGTTTACAAGGACTAGTGGTCCCGCAGTAGTCGAAATTCGACTATAATTAATTGAAATTATAAGTTTGAACATTATTATGGTTATATTGCCAAAGACTATTTATTATAGGTACTTCTATAATCACAGATTTCGCCAAGACTATAACAAATAATATTAAAGATAAACAATATTAACCTATTTTCAATTTGACCACATACTTTAAGCATTAACTAAAGTTTGACAACAAACAAAAAGTAGGTATATATTTACATATGTGTGTGTGTCAAATACATGGCAGTGTATGTAATGTTTTCTTTATTGATTTAATGTATATCTTTTATACATTATTTAAAAAATATATTATCAGTGTGCACTCCTTCTCTATATTCTCTATAAGTGTGAGAAATTTCATACTCCTCCGTCCGCGCAATTTTCGTAAAAAGGGGTACAAAGTTTTTGCTTCACGTATTAATATATAGATACGTTGGTTTATTAATTTGTAGTCAGGTAGGAGCTTTTATCGCGTTGAATTAGATAGCTGGACGAGCGCACGCCCCATCCGATATTAAGAGGCTACGACAGCTACGAAAGCGTAATAACGTCTATCCCACCCCTCAAACCGGATCGAATGACAGCTTCGCGGCAGGAATAGTTAAGATGGCGGCACCTACCCATGCGGTCCCAGAACACGCCCTACCACTAATGATACGCAAAACGAAAATTTAATACGCAATGTAAATTTCGAAATAATTTATTTTATTGCTTTGTTGGGTGGACGAGCTCACAGCCCACCTGGTGTTAAGTGGTTACTGGAGCCCATAGACATCCACAACGTAAATGCGCCACCCACCTTGAGATATAAGTTATAAGGTCTCAAGTATAGTTACAGCGGCTGCCCCACCCTTCAAACCGAAACGCATTACTGCTTCACGGCAGAAATAGGCAGGGTGGTGGTACCCACCCGCGCGAACTCACAAGAGGTCCTACCACCAGTAAAGTAAAGTAAAAATTACTACACATTAAAGTTGAAAGATTAATAAAAAAATACGCTCCGAATTGAGAACTCCTCGCTAATTAAGACGCTTTTATTAGCTTCATACGTATGTTAGTATGAATGCTTTTTAAGATATTATCAAAACGATAATCCTTCTACTTATATCTGTCAATAAAATATTTATAACTATTGATACAATGCACAACATGGTTTTTTTTACAACAAAATTTTTTACAATTTTTTTTGTTGGATTTTCTATAGATACGATTTTTTTTGTTTTTTATCTATTTTTTTTTTTATAGTGATATACTACTAATAAAATTTTGTTTTATTTTATTTTTTAAGTCACACGAAATGGCATTTGAAACAAAATCGTTTATTTCAAATTGAATTTCAAATTGATGTCATTTTAAATTCATATTTACTGAATTTCAAAATAAATGTAATCACTGATTCCATAAAGAGTCTTCCGTAGAACTCAAAAAACGACTTCAGCTCGCTTAAATAGCAGAAAAAAATGGATATTTAATTTGGATTTATTTTAAAAACAAAAGGAATTATAATTTCTTCACTTCACTTGATTCGTATAACAATTACTATGAAAAAATAAACGTAAGGTCTGAATTGAGAATCTCCGCTTTATTTATTTAAAAACCAGTCATGGCATATTTGTTAATTAAAATGAAGTAATTAGTAAGTTTAAGATGCGTCGCTGACATAATAAGTTTTCGGGTCTCATAATACAGCCAGACACACAGCGCTAACAAAAAAACAAAAAAAACTTATCCCACAGACACAGCCCACTGAGTTTCTCGCCGGATCTTCTCAGTGGATCGCGTTTCCGACCCGGTGATAGATTCTGCGAAGCACTGCTCTTGCTAGGGTCAGTGTTAGCAATTCTCCGGTTTGAGCCCCGTGAGCTCACCTACACACGCTAGGGTAAGCTCAAATAGCCTCAAGGCTATCAGCATAGGTAGGAATAAAAAAATAAATAATGACGTAACTTATTTCGAGCAGGTAAACCGTAAATCAAATATATATTATGTTACGATGTATTTAGTAAGAATGTTAATGCAAATAACTATCGACAACTCTAAAATACGGGTGACCCTTAAAAACGACACACCATCTTATGAAATCCACTCGATGAACGAAACACACAACACAATATGCACTTGAATAATATTATACTTGAGTTAAAAATTAAATAAACACTATTATTGCATTATACTAACGTAATTCATGGTTGCCACGTCTTCTCGATGAGATGTTAGTAAAGTGTGATCGTTGGGCGCATCTGCCGCGATTTTATAGTACGAGCCTATGTCTTTCTAAGTTCTAGTTACGGATACGTCCGTCGCGCAAAAAGCGGTAAATGAAAAAGCAAACGCAACGTATTTTATACGTTAAATTTACGGTAATGGTTATTTTTTTATAAATTATTTAACGGGCTCTTTATTTAACGTATTATAACGATTTTTACGTGTAAGTATTCCAGGTATTCGCAAAATACGGTTTGATATTACGGTCGACGTATAATATTTTATACTTTATATTTAAAATACACAATTGCAGCTTGCTTACTCAATGACGGGTTGCTTATTAACCCACTAAGATTAACACAAATATTATATCCTACTAATATTATAAACGCGAAAGTTTGTAAGAATGTATGAATGTAAGTTTGTTTCTCTTTCACGCAAACCCGCTGGATGGATTTTGCGGAAACTTTACAATAATATAGCTGACACATCAGAATAACACATAGACTACCTATATAATATATTTATAAAGATATAGTGGTTTATGGATATGTGGTTTACCCAAAATAAAGCGATAAGTGTCAAATAAGCAGGAAAAAATCTGCCATCTTATTTTCATAATCGCTATTAAATTACAGTTCCCTAAGCGAAGCGAGGGCAGGTCGCTAGTTTTATAATAAAACTAATATTGAATAGATCGCAATAAAATGTTTACAGCATCGTTAAAACTCTCCCGTATCTTGTGTATCAGAAATGATTAAAAACACTGTATTTCTTTATATTTCTCGACTAAATCAATACATTATATGTTATGTGTCTGCATAAATGAGCTAAAAAGTAACAAAAATTGCGAACAAATTCACTTTAAAAATATATAATTACTAAATTGAAATCAATGTTTTTATTAGCCCCTTTGTACTTATCGGTCGATAGTAATAGTGCACTCTATGTACAAGCAAAGCTAAAATGTTTTTTATCAGCTTTGATTTAAGTGATATTTTTGCATAAATCTTCATTAAGGTAGAGCGATTTGTGAATTGATATTCGTTTGAATTCTGCACGGTTAGTAATTCGGATATTAACAACCTTGTTAGAGGTTTTTGTATTTAAGTGTTTACCTTCAAATGGGATCAAATACTTTATAATTGCTGATGATAGCCAAAACGCACGCACAGATTAGCTTAAACATCGGCTAGCTCCTTACGAGGCAAGGATGTGAGTCTGTGATGTAAGGTCCATTCGCATTCGCGGCAGATCACACATTCGATAGCCGGATTTATTGAAGGCTGCTCTATATAATTCACCCCACGAGTGCCCCAGTTTCGCTTTGAAGGGCGGGGCACCCGTTGTAACTATACTGAGAGCTTAGAACTCATATTTTAAGGTGGGTGGCGGCAATTACGTTGTAGATGTCTATGGGCTCCAGTAACCACTTAACACCGGGTGGGCTGTGAGCTATCCACCCGTGTAAGTGATAAAAAAAAGATAATAACCAACTTCAACCATAAACAAAATATAGCTTGATGTTTTTTTTTATTTGGAATTCGTCGTGCCCTAGAGGATAAGACGCCCGGTGCATTCGTATCGAGCCATGCGACTGAGCCGGTGTTCAAATTCCGCAGGCAGATACCAATATTTCTAATATAATATCTATATATTAATACGTGAAACAAAAATCCTTTTTACGAAAATTGCGCGGACGGAGGAGCATGAAATTTCCTACACTTATAGAGAATATAGAGAAGGAGTGCAGAATGTTAATATTTTTATAAAAATATGCATTAATAATATGTACGTTCAATAAATATAAAAAATTACACACACTACCATGTATTTGGCACACACACGCATGCATACTATTCTAAAGTGTAGTTTGGCGAAATCTGTGATCAAAGAAGTTTAATTGTCTTTGACAATAGTATCATAATAATCTACAAAATAATATTTTTAATTAATTATAGTCGAATTTCGACTACCGGGAGACCACTAGTACATACATACTAGTACATATAAATGTTCACGATTGACTTCCACGGTGAAGGAATAACATCGTGTAATAAAAATCAAACCCATAAAATTATAATTTGCGTAATTACTGGCGGTAGGACCTCTTGTGAGTCCGCGCGGGTGGGTACCACCGCCCTGCCTATTTCTGCCGTGAAGCAGTTATGCGTTTCGGTTTGAAGGGTGGGGCAGCCGTCGTTACTATACTTGAGACCTTAGAACTTGTATCTCAAGGTGGGTGGCGCATTTACGTTGTGGATGTCTATGGGCTCCAGTAACCACTTAATATCAGGTGGGCTGTGAGCTCGTCCACCCATCTAAGCAATAAAAAAAAAAACGTAATACATGCTAAGCAAAAGACTTCCACAATTGTATATTGTAATTGTCTTTTTCTACTTCAAAGATAATCCCGAAAGCGACCCGAAGACGTATTCGCTTTATCAACGAGTACTAATTAAATCATTTTATTACAATTTATTTTGATTGGACCTCACGATCTCCCTGTTATAATGCACGTAAATCTTACAAAACAGAGTTTCCATCTTGTTTCGCATAATTCTGTTAAAATTGCGTCAAATTACATGCACTCAAGATATATATGTCGCAATTAATATTTTTACCAGTCTATTGGCCAATTATGATACTTGACGCATCATATATGTAAGTTAATTATATTTAGGCTATTGGTTTTCTGCTTAGATAGACAGCAAGCCTCAATTGCAAGCATCAATTGAATAAATATTTAATATCTAAAAATTTACCCAGGTAGAAATAGTCTTACAATAATTCAATTAAATTCTTCAAAGTAGATGCTACCCGCTTTTCTTTTATGAAGTTTTCCCACTGGCATTATGCTTGAGTTACAAATCATACAGAGAGAGTGAGAGAGAGAGAGTCCAAAGAAATTTAAATACTAAGATCTCTCCTATATAGACTAATAAGTCCTACGAAAAACGAAAAAAAAAATCGGAAACTATGATACCACTAAGCAATCTAACTAAAATTTAGTTAGGCGTGGCACGATATCACTTTTAACGTGGCCACCGCTAACTACATATCCGACCCAGGCGACGAAGCAAAGCAAGCCCTTCTTCGCCCAAACCATGTCTTGTCGGATCCCCTGGATCCACTCTCGGTGCTTTTAGGCTCTTAAAGCAGTCGACTCCGATATTGGACGTGCGAATTAGCCCATAGACACAACCCACTGAGTTTCTCGGAGGATCTTCTCAGTGGGTTGCGATTCCGTAGTAGATTCAGCGAAGCACTGCTCTTACTAGGGCCAGTGTTAGCAATTCTCTCAGGTTGAGCCCGTGATGTTGGAATAGCCCCTTAGGCTAGCAACGATTAAAAAATTAAAGTGTACAACTGTGACAAAATGAAACAAAGACGCTGGACGTGGCTTCTAGGGTTCTCCCAAAAGGCCACCGAAGTAAATGGCAATCATTTTACTGAGACTTTATTTCATCACATCTCGTTTCATCCAATTGATTGCAGTCTCTAATCAATCAACTTCATCTCATTTTGCTCCATACAATTTTTTCATTCAATTAAGTAAGTAAATAATAAAATACTTTTTTTTAAACTCGACACTGGCAACAATGGTAAATTATAGGGCAAGAAACTGATTGCTATACTTAAATATAAAATAGAAGGAGTAGTATCTAAATATTGAAGTGCTATTGAATTCATTCGGCAAACATAATTTTATTATTAAACCGGTTATTTTTAGTGCAAATTTTATTTTGTACCGCTACAACCTACTAGCTATTATCTATACTCTATACTAATATATTATATAAATCTACAGTGGTTTTTACGGATGTTCCGTTATAACTACTGAACCATGCATCCGATTGACTTGAAACTTGGTAGAAAAAATACATGTACTTAATGGATAGGCTAATATTTATATGAGCGTTGGACTCCCTAATAATAATGACAATAAATAATAATGTTAATTATAAATGCCCAGCGAAGCGGGCGAGTACGGCTAGTACACTAATAACTAGGTAGATTTGGCACAAAATGTTTTCTATAGACTAAGCTTCGATTGGCATTGCACCCGACACCGCTTAAAAAAATGTAAACATTTTTTAATCGCGTGGCAATCATTTTCTTGTTTTTCTTTTGAAATAAAAAAACCTTTATTTCCATTTTTTTCTCTCACATTTTTTTAAATATTGAACACACGACATTGCGTCGCTATATCACGTCGCTAACCAATTACAAACTACACGAAATAAAAGTATACAGTACTAATAATAAATATGTAACTCTTTCCTTATTTACATTACCATTGGACATAACAAGCGTTGCATAGCAATAACTCGCAGTAATGCTGTTAGCTCCATTATCACATCGTTACAAAACTGATTTTATGTTTCGTAATAACTACTACATACTTGTTCGATTGCAAGAGATTTCTTTTTGTTTTTCAATTATATTTTTCGTTGGTGTTTTGCGAAATATGAAATATGGAGGATAGACGTCAGAATGATAAGTCGCTTCGTTGAAATCGCTCTGGTAATTCACTCAGTCAAACCGATGATGATAAAAAACTACTCACTGTGTGAAGAGAGCTCATTGTCGGACTCCTATTTAGAGATTACCTCATTTTAATCTAAATCAGGGCTACATACTTTTTTTATATTGCTTAAATGGGTGGACGAGCTCACAGCCCACCTGGTGTTAAGTGGTTACTGGAGCCCATAGATATCTACAACGTAAATGCGCCACCTACCTTGAGATATAAGTTCTAAGGTCTCAGTATAGTTACAACGGCTACCCCACCCTTCGAACCGAAACGCATTACTGCTTCACGGCGGAAATAGGCGGGGTGGTGGTACCTACCCGTGCGGACTCCCAAGAGGTTCTACCACCAGTGATTACGCAAATTATAATTTTGCGGGTTTGATTTTTATTACACGATGTTATTCCTTCACCGTGGAAGTCAATCGTGAACATTAGTTGAGTACGTATTTCATTAGAAAAATTGGTACCCGCCTGCGGGATTCGAACACCGGTGCA